CACGCATTAATGTCATTTTATCCCCACAACAAGTCTATGAAGCAGGTACTGCTGTTCACAACCATTTTACAGAAAAGGAACCGAGGCTCAGAAAGGTTAAGTAACTTACCCAGAGGTCCACAGCTGATAAGTGGTGAAGCTGGGCTTTGAGATTCAGGCTGTCCTTCTATCCCTGACACATTTAAGCCACGTGTAGGTGATTTATTCCGTGATTGGGCTCACATACAAGGGGGTGTGTCTGGAGAGATCAGTTGACATTGAGCCCAGTGGCAGAGACTTGAGCTACACATGAGGAAAATATGAGTGAAGGGGAACCTTGTAAAGGTGATTGCTTCTACAGGCCATCTGTGTGCAATCAGCCAAGTCCTTTAACCCATTATTGATTAAGGAAATCTGGCTGGTGCACCTGACTCAAAGTGGGTCTTTCTGCCTCTCTGATCTGCCTTTGAACTCTGCCAGACACTGAGCATGTGAAAAGATGCTCAACCTCACTAATAATAATAAAAAGGCAAATTAAAACAAGAGACAGGTTTCTCCCAATCCAATCAGCCAAGACTACAAAGAACAATAATGTCTGGCCAAGAATGTCATGTACGTTAGGAAACAAGCTCACACCCACTTGGTGAGTCTACTTGGGTACAACCTTCCTGGAAAACCACCCAGAATATGTTTCAGCATTTTAAATGTATACACCTTTGGAATCAATCATTCCTATTCTGAAAATGTATCATAAGGATAAGTACACAAAGACATATGTCCAAGAACATTGCAGTATAGTTTATAACAGCAACCAAAAGAGAAAAAGAAGCAAACTAAAATTCCATCAACAGGAGGCTAGTTAACAAAAGTACTGTCCAGTCAGAAAATGAAACATCGCACAGTCTTTAAAGAGGATAATGTAAGGGCAGGTATGGTGGCACAGGCCTGTAGTCCCACCTACTTGGGAGGCAGAGGCAGAAGGATTGCTTGAGTCCAGGAGTTTGAGACCAGCCTGAGCAACATAGGGAGACCCTGTCTCTACAAAAATTAAAAAAATAGCTAAGCGTGGTGGGGCATGCCTGTGGTCCCAGGATTACTTGAGCCTGGGAGGTTGAGGCTGCAGTGATTCCACCACTGCATTCCAGCCTCAGCCTGGTCAGCAGAGCGAGACTCTGTCTCCAAAAGAAAAAAAAAGAATAATGTTGATTTCTATGTCTTTCCAGGAAAAGATATTATAAAGATAGAAATGTCATTTATAAAATAGTATACATAATATAAACCAATTCACGTATGTAAGTACAATTATGTAAATGGATTGGATCATAGATACATTTTACATATACATGTATGTAAATATTTATGAAGCACAAAATTCTATAGGATGTACACAACTTCTCACAATTGCAGTTCTTGTGGGTTGGAGGTGGGAGGGGCAGGTGGATTTCACTTACTACTTTTTTTGCATTTTTATACCAATCATGAATTAACAGAAAATATATTTCTACAGGGAGCAAGGATAAGGGGAATCCCAAGAGAGTCACCTCACTCCAACTTGGTCTTTGAGGCACCTCCCAAGATCAATATTGCATGGTTTTAAGATTAAGCCCACATAGACAGTGAATTCTGTGTCACCCTCACATTAGGGAACGTTCTGTTTGATGCCAACACGGACTCTATTCATCCCTGCTCAGGCCTTTCCGGTCAGCATTTAGTGTATTATGTGGTAGTGACCAATGTTATGTCTTCCTCCTGGACCAGGCTGTGGACATCTTAAGGGCAGAGAGAGCATCTTATTCATGCCCACACCCTCATGTCCATCACGGGACTTCATATAGAGGCAGTGAGCATTTCATTCATCAGGCAAATATTTCATGAGCACCTACACCTGTGCCAGTGCTGGGGCGCCGTGGGTAAACAGATCAGACCGGGGCTTACATCCTGAAGGTTGCAGTGCTGCTGGAATTTGTTGAATAACTAAATGACTCACAAGCAAGTGACCGGCAAGATGAACAGACTCAAAGGATTGGGGTAGCTGACCTAGTGACCCTGTGAGCCAATACACAAGAACATTGGCCTGGAGCAAACAGACCAACCCTGTTCCACGGTAGTGGTTTTCGCTTTTTTTTTTTTTTTTCCTTGGCAGTGGAATCTTTTCTCAATAAACAAAATAGGTAACAGTATATTATTATAAGCTGATTTTATAAGTTTAATTCAAAGCATTTACTGATCATACAACCAAGATAATTTTGGTTGACAAAAAACATTTGGGACACCTGAGTGGAGGTAGTATTTTTACTAGATGTTTAATACTTGGAAGATATAATAAAGATTAAATTCAAATAAAATGTTTGCAGAACCCTGGTTTAAAAACCACTGTTCTGGGCCAGGCGTGGTGGCTCACGCTTGTAATCCCAGCACTTTGGGAGGCCACGGAGGGCAGATCACGAGGTCAGGAGTTCGAGACCAGTCTGACAAACATGGTGAAACCCCGTCTCTACTGAAAATGCAAAAATTAGCCGGGCGTGGTGGTACACGCCTGTAATCCCAGCTACTCAAGAGGCTGAGGCAGAAGAATCACTCGAACCCGGGAGGCAGAGGTTGCAGTGAGCCGAGATCGTGCCACTACACTCCAACCTGGGCAACAGAGTGAGACTGCGTCCAAAAACAACAACAACAACAAAAAACAACAAAAAAAACCCACCACTGTTCTGGAAATAAACATGTTGCTTTTTTTGTTTTGTTTTCAATAATAAAGAGAACAAATGGTTCAAATTTTAAACTCTCTTAAGTATTATTCATTTGTTCATTCAACCTGTAGCTATTAAGCACATTCAGTGGGTCAGGAGTTCTTATAGTGAATTCAATATTAATAGCCTCAAAGATCACAAGGAACCAGGAGATTAAGGGAAGGTGCTGTTGGAGTCAGGGGAACAGCCATAATAGATAGGTAGGTAGATAGGTAGATGGATGGATGGATGGATGGACGACGGATGGTTGGATAGATGATGTGATCAGCTGAATAACAGCTCCCCAAGATGTCCACATCCTAATCCTCAGAATTTGTGAATATATGTTATCAGGCAAAGGGACTCTGCAGATGTGATTAAGCTAAGGATCTTGAGATGGGGGGATGATCCTGGATTAGCCAGTGGGCCCAAAGTCATCACAAGGATCCTTATCAATGAAAGAGGGAGGCAGGAGCGTCAGAGAAGGAGACATGGTGATGACGGTGGAGGTCAGAGTCAGAGAGAGACGTGAACGTGTTACAGAGCTGCCTTTGAAGACGGAACAGGACCATCAGCCAAGGAATGTGGGCCGCGGCAGAAGCTGGAAAAGGCAAGGAAACAGATTCCTAGCGCCTCCAGACAGAATGCACCCCTACAGACCACTGATTTGGGGATTTCCAGCACTCAGAACTGTCAGATAACACATTTGTGTCTTTTTAAGCTACTACGTTTATGTGATATGTTATAGCAGCAATAGAAAACCAATATAAATGAGACAGAGAGAGAGAGACAGAGAGAGATGATACATAAGCTTATGTGATTTGTTATAGCAGCAATAGGAAACATATAGATAGATGAATAGATAGATAGATTAGATATAGGATAGATAGATAGAAAGATAGATAGATAGATAGATAGATAGATAGATAGATAGATAGATAGATAGATAAACAAATTTGTCTTTGGCTTCTTAAAAATTGATTCTCGTTAAAATCCTATCCTGACTCATTTTTGCCTGGGGTGGGGCAGGCACCACGCACATAGGAGTTCAGCGAACACGCCATATGGATGAAATGATCTCACTGAGCTCCCCCTCCCTTTCCTGAGCCTAGAAGTTGTTCCCTTAAGAGAATTCTAGGACTCAGTTGTCCTATGATCAGGATCACCTACCCCTGAATCTGCTCTCTGGAGTACAGACAAATCTCGTCTTCAGGTCCTTGGGCGGCAAATGAATGGGACAGTGGGGGTCTCCTGCTGCAGGTATGTTCCAAGCTAAAACACTTTTGGAGGGCAATTTGGCAGGGTCTACTAAGATTCGACCATTCCTCTCAAACTTGCAACTACAAGTCTAGGACGTGAATTTTACCCATGCAAGTCCCCAGAGATGTTCATTGCTGTATTGCTTAGAATTGTTGAAAATTGGAACCAACCTAAATGTCCATTAGCCAGGAACTGATTCAAATTAACCAAAGATACCCATAAAGTTGGATCCTGGCAGGCCATTAAAGTGAATGAACTAGATCTTTATGTTACTGACATGTAGAGATGTCCATAACATTCATTGAGGGGTTGCGGGGGGAAACCTTACAAGCACGTGTATCACGAGAGCCTATATGTGTTAAACTATACAAGTTTAGGTTTATATATGTCAAAAAGTTCTTCCAAGGTGTATGTCAAAACTTTAACAGTAGTAAGTTTTTGAGAATAAACATACATATTCTTGTACTGTTTGACTTTCTATAATAATCAAATTGTAATATGATGTAATCAGAGTGGGGGAAATGACTATTTGAAAATTCTAGTCTGGCTGTCAGCGGCAGGCTGGGCAGGAGTAAGGGGTGACCAGTTCTCAGTCGAGGTGACCACACGGCCACAATGACCCAGAATCTTGACCCAGAGACTCCTGAATCTTGAGCCCCTGGGCCCCCAATACTCTCTACATCCAGAGGAAAAGAAAATGGCACACATTGGCATCACTCATGGCCTCTAAGAATCTGAAAATCAGTGACCCCTGTAGGAGGCCAGCAGCATGAACCCAGGGCAGTGCTGTGTCCCAGGAAGGGTCTGGGTTTGGAGTCCCAGGGACCAGGACTAGAAACCATCTCCACCACCTGACAGCCAGGTGACCGTGGGCAGGTCGCTGGGCTCTCCAAGCCTCTGTTTCCTCATCTGTACGACGGAGGAAGATTCCTGCCTCACAGGGACGTTGTAAAGACAGATGTTGTCAAGACAGACAGCACATGCCCCTGGCACATAGTAGGGCCAGCTTCCCTCCCGCTCTTATGACCCCTGTACCTGCAGCCCCGGTCGGCCCAGCGCTGGGCGCAGCGCCTAGCAACGCGGGCCCGCGGGATCCGAGGACATGGTGAGGCGAGGGGCGCTGGGGCCAGCCTCTCCATCTGGGCGGCAGGGAGGAGGGCAGGCTCGGCCATGGGCTGGCACCTCGAGGATCCCGGTCCGACGTGGTGCTGCCGCAGTGAGGATGACTCGGTCGGCAATGTGAGAGGGAGGAGTGAGGCAGGCCCCGTGGCACACCCAGTTCCCACACACCCTCACGCAGGATGAAAGTCCAGCCTCCTCCTGGGGCGGGGCTGGCTTGGCCGGGGCCACCTACAGGCAGGCACGCGGGGGCACACACATGCCCCTGAGTCCCGCCCACCTGCACTGGAACAGCAAAGTGGAAACGGTGCCTTTCAAAAACTGTCATGAAATAAGACTTGCATGGCCGCTATTACCTACAGCCATCCTGATTTCAGAGTAAAACCACATGAATAAAGCACCTGGCTAATATGGGTGGAAGAAAGTGCCCACGACCCAGGGGTTTTTATCTGGCTGGGCTACTCCCTCTGAGACTTCTCTGAGCCACGGTTTCCTCCTCTGTGAAACGGGGATGGTGACATTTGGAAGGAGACAGGAAACAAGCAAACAGGAAGGTGTCAGGGTGTAAAGAGAGCAGGACCTGGGCATGAGGGCGGGAGGATAGGAAGGGAGCAGGAAATGGGAGTGGCAAAGTGAGGGGGCATCCAGAGAGCCTCCCGGGATTGGCCTTTTGGCCGGGATGTAAAGGAGAAGGAACTAGCTGGGAAAAGGCTGGGGAAGGGGGAAACCCGGGGAATTTAACCCCCTCATCTTTAAAATGAGAACTTGAATTCATTCATTCAGCAAATCTTTATGGAGCTCTGTAGGAGCCCTGGGGGCAGCGACCAGAATGTCTGAAATCTAAGAGCAGGAGTGTGTGGACTCAGCTGAGAGGAGAGCAGAGGCTGAGTGTCAGGGTGGGGAGGGGGAAGGGGTTTCCAGGTGCCGACAAGGACACAAGCCAACGTGTAGCAGTAGGGCATTTGGGGGATGTATGAGAAGCGCTCCTGCCAGCTTCCCTGGCGGTGTCCTATTCCCGGCATCCATTTTGGACCATGAGCCCCTTCTCTTGCCCTCTGGCCAAGACGGAATGCCACGGACTTCCCCAGATTGCCCGGGCCTGCCCTGCCCTCCTCTAAGGCTCCAGGTGTCAATGAGTCTCTCCAAGCAGCATATTTGCCTGTACTCCAAGAAGAGAGGCCCCAGAGTCCTCCTCAAGGAGGGCCCCCAAGTCTATGGGTCCCTACAGTCTGAAGCTCTGCTCTGTCCTGAGGGAGGCAAGAAATAGGCCCCAAGAAACTGAAAACAGGACCCCACTGGGGCCACAGAGCCCAGGAGCATGCATGGTTCTGGTGTCAAAGAGAGGAAAGGCCTCGCAGCACAAAGGGCCCTGAAAAACCCCAAGTCTCAGGCAGCTGTCACTGGCTGGAACCTGCGGACTAGGGCTGTGCAGAAGACCATCTATCCACTTCTCCTGAGCCTCCTCCTGAAGAGGAGACAAGGGAACCACGCCACCAGGAGGCCAAGGAGCTGGGGCCCAATATGTACGTGAATTATCAGTGGAAGTGGGTACAGAACTACTTGGGCAGCCATAGGGAGTTTTGTGTGGGAAACATGGTAGGTGCTTAATAAAGGTTGGGTGGATGGATGGATAGATGGATGGATGGATAGATGGAAGAAAGAATGAGAGGTTGGTTGGGAAAATGGGGGATGAGAGAAGGGATGAATGAGAGGATGGTGGTTGGCTGGATGGGTGGGTGGGTGGATGGTTGGATGGATGCATGGTTGGATGGACAGATGGATGGATGGATTGATGGATGCTTGGATGGATGGATGAATGGGTGGATGGGCAGGTGGAAGAGTGAATGGCTATGGGCATAAATATGTGAGAGCACGAGTGAACGAATGAATCACTGAGCCATTAGGTGAATGGGTGGAAGAGTAAATGAATGAATAAATGCTTGAGTAAACAAGTTAGTCCTGGGTAAACGAACTTCTAGTCCAGAACTGAAAATCTAGCTCATTGTCATCTTCCTTAGGTGCAAGGAACCCTTCAGAAGAAAGCAGGAAGGAAGAGAGAGTGGCCTGAATCTTGTATGGCCGCACTTTCAAGCCTCCGTAAGGAAGTGCGCTCTTTGCTTCCTGGAGAGCCGCCGCGTGTACTCAGAATGAACCCTGGAGAAGTGAGTATACCCGCGCTCAGGGCAACATTCCTCATCTCCGGCTGAGCCCTGTCCCAGTCCCCCACCGGAGTATCGGCCAGGCCGGTTAGATCACAGTGGAGTGGCTCAGACCTGTTGGCCCTGCACCCTGGCAGCTCGCCAGCACCTCCCCAGGCAGCCTGCCATCAGCTAGGCCTCTCACTATTGCAGAGACTCGTCCTAGGCCCCTCAGACCCAGAAAGTCCCCCAGGGCCTGCATGTTGTGAGCTCAGCATTTCCTCCCTGCCTTTCTGCCCCTCCAAGCAGCCCCCACTCCCCACTACAGCGTGGTCCTGTGTAGTGTGATGAAGTGGAGCCTCATAGACTTGGGGCTGATCCTCAGCTGTGCTACTTAGGCTGTGTGACTTCAGGCAAATGCCTTAACCTCTCTGAGTCACAGCTTCTGCATCATTTAAATGAAAAACTTGCCTGATTTGAGGGGTGGTTGTGAGGATTCCGAGGGATAATACATGTCAAGCACTTAAATGGGGCCTGGCACACAGTGTACACGGAGCATCTAATTTCCAGGTGCTCAACTTTTTTCTTTTTTTCTTTTCTTTTCTGAGACTGGGTCTTACTCTGTCACCCAGGCTGGTGTGCAGTGGTGTGATCATAGCTCACTGCAGCCTTGACCTCCTAGGCTCAAGCAATCCTCCAGCCTCAGCCTCTGGATGGAGCTAGGAATCACAGGTGTGTGCCACCACACCCAGGTTTTTTTTTTCTTTTTTTTTTTTGTAGAGACAGGGGTCTCACTATGTTACCCAGGCTGGTCTCAAACTCCTGGCTTCGAATGATGCTTCCACTTCCGCTTCCTAATGTGCTGGGATTACAGGTGTGAGCTACCATGCCCAGGCAACTTTTTTCTTTCAAAAGCAATTTATGGAATGAAGTGCCAGCCAAGCACCACGCTCAGAGCTTTACACGTGTTGCCACATTCAATCCTCATGATAACCTCGCAAGAGAGTGTTATGGGTCGAACTCTCCTGCTAAAAACATATGAAAAACATGTGAATGCCTAAGCCTCAATACCTCTGAATGGGGCTTTATTTGGAAACAGGGTCTTGACAGAGAGAATCAAGTTAAAATGTGGTTGGTAGAGTGGGCCCTAACCCAATAAGACTGTGTCCCTCTGAAAGGGGAAAATCGGTGCCAGACACTGGCGTGCATATCAGGAAGATGACGGGAAGGCACACAGCGGGGACACCATGGGAGGGCAGAGGCCGCGGCTGGGTGATGCTGCCACAAGCTGAGGCACATTGGAGCCACCAGAAGCTGCCAGAGGCAAGGAAGGCTCCTTCCTTTGCAGGGTTTGGAGGCAGCCTGGCACTGCCAGCACCTTGACTGTGGAATTCTAGCCCCCAGAAGTATGAGCCCACACGCTTCTGGTGTTCTAAACCACCCAGCTTGTGACACTTTGTCATGGGAGCTCCTGGAAACAAATGCAGAGGGGATTGGCCCTGTTTTGCAGATGATGACACAGGCTGAATGGGATGGTGATGGGTGGCTGAGCGGCTTGCACTCAGGAGTCCAGGCCTGTGGCCCCAGGGTTAGGGGTAGAAAATAAGCCTGTGCCTAGAAGGTATGCTGTGACAAGTGGTGTGTCGTTCAACGAGATGCACTGACAGTCAGATGCACCCTGCTTTGCTGACGCCCCTGCGGTGCTCCCATGTCATGCTGGTGACTGTCCTCGCAGGTTCCCTGCGATCTTCAGCCTGGGGAGACAGGTTCGCTGTCCCGAGTGCACCTGACTTTCCTACAAACATCAACCGCGCAGCCTTAAGCTCCATCATTCAGCTCTAGGAGGAGCCAAGGGCATCCCTGTGGATCTGGAGACACACATCCCAGTTAAGAGTCAGAAAAATGGGGCACTTCGTGGCTGTGTGACTTTGGGCAAGTTACTTAACCTGTCTGAATCTCAGTTTCCTCGTCTGAAAATGGAACCATGATCCGACTGAGAGGGCTGTTGTGAGAATCCAGTGGGATAATGCGTGGGCACTCAGTGAGCTGCGGCTGCTACGTGGGGATGATGTCTCTCGGGAGCCTGTGACTAGAGTGTCACGGGATGTGTTTACCAGTCACACGCCCAACTCCTCTGTATGAGTGTGCGTGTGTGTGTGTGCGCCAGAATGGGGACCTCGTCCACATCCACAGAGGCCCGGGGTCTCAGCCCTCACCCAAAGCAGGGAAGGCGTCTCCCCACACTCCCCACAAGTGTTCTCCAGAGCTGTCACCTGCCCAGGGCCCTGAGGAGCGGCCTCATCTGCCTTCTGCCTCAAAGGCTCCAGGGACATAGCAGATGCTCTCCCCAGACCCCAGTGCAGGGCCCACTGCACTCACTCTTCTCGGGGTCGGCTCCTCAGCAGGTGGGGCAGGAGGGCTGGGGGGCTCCACTGGCTTTTCTAGGCCAGAAGGTAGGCTGAACAATGGCCCAGTAGCCCCTCACAGTACAGCGGGGCAGGGCCGAGTAAGCAGTCCCCAGAGACTCCACAAAACGGGGCACTTGGCGACAATGCAGACAACACCAGGCAGAGCTTCAGCCACAGGAAGGAGCTGCCAACAGGCCTCATTCAACGCCACCCCTGCAGCTCCCAGGAGAACCCCGTGGTGACAAAAGCTCGTCAGCTGGAGCAAAGCTCGTGTGGAGAAGGGAGGGTTGTGAGTGTGTGTGCGTGTGTGTGACTGTGCGTGTTTATGGATGCGTGTCATCTAGCCCAGGTTTCTTCCTCATTCTCATTTAAATGCCACAGCATGATTGAAAACAAAATATTTAAATGTGTGAGAGTGCGTGTGTGCATGTGTGGGTCTGTGAGAGTGTGTGATAGTGTGTATGCATGAGGTGGTGTATGTGTGTATGTGTGTCTGTATATGCATATGTAAGGGTGTGTGAGTGTATGTGTCTGTGTGTATGAGAGTATGTCTGTGACTGTGTGTATATGCGCCTGTGTGAGTGTATGAGAGTGTGTGTCTGTGTGTGATAGTGTGCCTGTATGTGTGAGGGTATGTGTGTCAGCGGACATGTGTCTGTGAGCATGTGTGTGAGTGTATGAGTGTGTGTGTGATAGTGTGTGTGTGAGGGGTGTGTGACAGCATATGTGTGTGTATGCATGTGAATGTGAGTGTAGCGAGTGTATATGTGAGGGGGTGTGTATATGTATGTGTGTGAGTGTATGAGTATGTGTGTCTGTATGTGTGAGGGTGTGTGTGAGTGTATATGTATGTGAGTGTATGAGTGTGTGAATGTGCATGCGTGAGGGTTTGTCTGTGTGAGTGTGTGAGTGTATGTGTCTGTATGAGGGTGTGTGTGTATGTGAGGGTGTGTCTGAGAGTGTGTGTCTATGAGGGTGTGTCTGTGTGAGAGTGTGCGTGTCTGAGGGTGTGTCTGTGTACGTGTGTGTCTATGAGGGTGTGTGTGAGTGTATGAGGGTGTGTGAGTGTGATAGTGCGTGTGTGTGTCTATGAGGGTGTGAGTGTATGAGGGTGTGTGTCTGTGTGTGTGTCTATGAGGGTGTGTGTATGAGGGTGTGTCTGTATGAGGGTGTGTGTGGTGTGTCTATGGGGGTGTGTGTGAGTGTATGAGGGTATGTGTGTGAGATAGTGTGTGTCTATGGGGGTGTGTGTGAGCATATGAGGGTGTGTGTGTGTGTGAGATGTGTGTGTCTATAAGGGTGTGTGTGTGAGTGTGTGTGTATGAGGGTGTGTCTGTATGAGGGTGTGTAGTGTGTGTCTATGGGGGTGTGTGTGAGCATATGAGGGTGTGTGTGTGTGTGAGATGTGTGTGTCTATAAGGGTGTGTGTGTGAGTGTATGAGGGTGTGTGTGAGAGATAGTGTGTGTGTGTCTATGAGGGTGTGTGTGTGAGCGTATGAGGGTGTGTGAGTGTGTGATAGTGTGTGTGTGTGTATGTAAGAGAGCATGTTGGGATTGCACAGCGGGGCAAAGGGCTGGGGAAACAGGTACTTCTAATATACCCTTGGGGCCACTTTTTGGTCGGGCAACTTAGCAGTGGCTGCAAAATGTAAACACATGTCTTATATTCAACAGTTTCTCCTTTCAGAATGTGTTCTCTGGATAGAAGCACACTTGTGTGCAAGGATTTAGATTCAAGAGTGTTCGTTGCAGCCTGTGCATAAGAATAGAAACCTCATCCAGCAAATTCAGTGGGGCTCAAATCCCAAAGGGTGGCTTTCTGCACCTGATGAGGAGCTCAGACTTTACAGCCCAGGGACAACGGAAAGCATGGAAGGTGTGAAGCTGGGAAGGGACATGTCCCAATTTGTGCTTTGGGTGGATCATTCCAACAGGGCAGAAAGAGCAGAGACCAAGGCCAGGAGACCAAAGGACAGGAGACAAGCTAAGATTTCAGGCTCAATTCTCTCTCCTTTGGACATTTAGAAGTTGTGGTGGCTGGTGGGGTGTGGAGTGAGGGAGAAAGAAGGGATAAAGATGATGCCCAGTTGGTACCTTGGAAGGCCTGTCCCTTTATCCCCTGACCCCCATCATCCTGCAGCCTCTGGAAGCTTACGCCTCCCACCATACCTCCCCCAGAACCCCACCTGGGGAATAACTGGCATGGCGGAGAGGGACCTGGTACTGGAGTCATGGGGCCTGGGTTCAAATGCCAACTCTCCCAGTGTGACTCTGAGCAACTTAGTAACTGCTCTGTGCCTGTTTCCCCATGTGTAAAACAGAGGTAACCAACCTATCTTGCAGAATTCTTACAAGGGCTAAAAGCAATCGTATGTATTTGTTTTTTTGTTTGTTTGTTTTTTTGAGACCGAGTCTCACGCTGTTGCCCAGGCTGGAGTGCAGTGGCGCGATCTCAGCTCACTGCAACCTCCGCCTCCCGGGTTCAAGCGATTCTTGTGCCTCAGCCTCCCGAGTAGCTGGGGCTACAGGCATGAACCATCACACCCGGTTAATTTTTGTATTTTTAGTAGAGATGGAGTTTTTGCCATGTTGGCCAGGCTGGCCTCGAATTCCTGACCTCAAGTGATCCACCCGCCTCGGCGTCCCAAAGTGCTGGGATTACAGGTGTGAGCCACCATGCCCGGCCAGTAATCATGTGTATAAAGCACATAGAAAAGTGTCTGACATGTAGTAAGCACTCACTAAATGTGAGCTACTCTTATAGCTATTCCTACTCCTACCAAACTAGGCACTTGGTAGACACTCTGCAGCTATTTATCAAATATTTGTTATTAAGATCAGCCTGAAGTTCAATCAAGGAGTGAGTTTGAAATCAGAGAATGGAAGTTCAGAGCAAGTCCCCCATCCCCATTGAACAGATGGAGAAAAGGGTTGGGCTTTCCCAAGAGGGTCCTAGATGGCTTGAATCGGGGCCAGGGCTGAGTCTCGGACCTATGCTGGTTGAATGAATGACTTGGTCAGGCCTGGTAGGTTTGTCAGGGTTCCCCCGGGCATGGGAAGCCCCTCGCTTCTTTAATATGGACCCACACCCTCCGGCCCAGCCCTGCTTTAAGACCCCTCTGAATTAAATTGGCCAATTTCTCCCAGTGGGCCGGTTCACTGCTCCCATGACCTCCCAGACTCGGGCGGCTTCCTGGAGGGCTGGAGGTCATCTGCGATGCTGGAGAACGGCTGGGTCCTCTGGAGGCTTTTGCATGTCGGTCTGAAGAGGAGATGAGTTGTGGGTTCCAGGGAGGCACCACAGTTGCCAAAGTCCTCTTGCCTTCCTGGCAAGCCTCTCCCATCCACTTCCGCCATTACCACTGCCCTGCTGACTCCAGGAAAACCAAACTAGAAACAAAAGGAAGGTTGGGACTAGGGATGCCATTGGGATAAGAGTAAGAAAGAGACGGGTAAGGCCAGGCGCAGTGGCTCACGCCTGTAATCCCAGCACTTTGGGAGGCTGAGGCAGGTGGATCACCTAAGGTCAGGAGTTCGAGACCAGCCTGACCAATATGGTGAAACCCTGTCTCTATTAAAAATACAAAAATTAGCCAGGCGTGATGGCGTGTACCTGTAGTCCCAGCTACTCGGGAGGATGAGACAGGAGAATTGCTTGAACCGGGGAGGAAGAAGTTGCAGTGAGCCAAGATTGTGCTACTGCATTCCAGCCTGGGCAACAGAGAAAGACTCTGTCTCAAAAAAAAAAAAAAAAAAGGGGAAAAGAAAGAAAGAGGCGGGTAAGTGATGGGGGTGGGAAGGGCTCTGGATAGATGGGATAGGGTTCTTGTGCAGGGTCTGAAAATCTTTTCTCATGCCACAAATGATATAAAAACAGGTCAGGCTGCATAATTCGCAGGGTTCAATAGCAAATTAACACGGGGGGTCTTTGTTCAAAAATTAAGTATTTCAACACAGCAACAGCCAAGCATGAAACCAAGCCTGGGACCCTTCTGAGCCTGGGACCTTGTGGCGCTGCAGGTTACACATCTGTGGATCTGGCCCCGTCCACAAATCTCTGCGGGCGCATATAGGAGTGAGTTTTCCTGGGAAAAGGGCCCTCAGTGGTCAAGGTAGGACCTGAAAGGCTAAAAATCACTACAACTGAGGTAGGTGAGGGGCCCTTGTTTTCACTACCTGCTCCCTCCACTCGGGCAGGGTGGGGGCTAGTGAATACACTGCATGAACCAGCTTCAGAGTAGGGCAGGCTATGGTGGCCAAGGGGACAGAGAAAGGTGGACACATGAGAGATGGAGATTAGAGTTGGGAGACAGAGGCGAGAAGGCTGGCTCCCAGGTTTGTGACTCGAGCAACAGAATCAATCCACAGTGGTGCTATTCATGGAGATGAAGAAAAGCTAGCAGAAGATCAAGGTGCTGTTTTGCTTGGCTGGGTGGCAGTGAGAATCAAGATTCCTATTCTAGGCATGAGAGGGTGTCAAGCAGACAGATAATAAAGCTTGGGAGGAGATGAGATGAGACATACACATTTGGGGGCCATTGGTATAGAGATGGCATCTAACCCTACTGGAATGGCTGAGGTCTCCTAGGAATTCAATGGGTGCGAAGGCTCTTGGGTACAACATCTGATTGCCCTGACACCTCACATGAGAGTATGTGTGTGTGTGCCTCATTTGTAAATGTTCTCATTTGTAAATGGAGGTGAGAATCATATCCCCATCATAGGATTTCATAAGTAAGCTTGTGGAAGGGGAACACTTAAGACAGGCCTTGGTACCTGTTGAGCCCCCAAGGATACCAGCCATTGTAACAATAATAATCACACCATGTCATCCTTCCACAAATATGTACTGAGCCTCCAGCGTGTGTCTGGCAGTGTCTTGGGGCTTTGGATGCAGCCATGATCAAATGTATTAGAAGGCGGTAAGTACTACGGCGAAAGGAAAGCAGAGCAAGGTAAGATTAGCATGATGCGGAGGATGGGGCGGGGGCTTCAATATCGAATAGGGTGGCCAGGGGAGCCCTGCTTAAAAAGTGACATTAGAGCAAGCCCTTGGAGGTGAGGGAGTGCCTCACGCAGATGTCTGAGGGAACAGCTGGCCAAAGACCATCAGCAGAGCGGTGGAGGGTGAGGCCCTAGGGTAAAGGGTAGGGGACCTTTGTAAAGGCTCCTTGTGGCACAGGGGGGCTGGTCCTCCAACAGGGCAACACCAGGTCTGCCCCACAATGAGGCAGAAGGCTCTCACATGCTGGAGACAGCCCGTTGTCCAGCATGGCCAGGGAGCATATACCTCTAATATGGTAGAGGCAGCCTCTTGCCCACATAGCAGCTGCCCAAGCCTTTGGGTGGGCCTTGAGGCTCCCCCTGGCCCATGGAAGGGCCTCACCTGGCACAGCAGGCTCACCAGCAGGGCCTCTCCTTCTCTTGGCCGTGGAGTGTCCCCTTCCAGCAAAACTCAGCCGGGCCTTTGCTCCAGGGCTCCCAATCCAAGCATACATCGGAGTCATTTTCCTCTGAATCTGTGGAGACATGAGGCAAGGCCTCTTGGCTGATCACATGCTGTCTCCCACCCCTGACCCAGGAAGGAGTCCCCTGGCAGGCCTGGGTGTCCCTGCAGCCTTGTCTGAGGGTAAGGCCAAGGCAGAATCCTATGAGCCAGCCTTGAAGCCTCAGGAAGTCTTCAGGGCCTTAAAGGGTGACCAGGGACCAAGAAGGAAGGCTGTTCCTGTAACTCAGAAAATGGCCATATCCATCTACTAGAGGGGAGGACACATGGGTGAGCAAATGACATACCGTACTGGGCATGGGCCAGGAGGAGGCAGTGAAGCGACACAGTTATTGACCCATCCAGGCATTTGTCCACTAGTTCATTCATTAACAAGTATCTGAGTACACAGGCACAAGGATCTCCACTGTAGCACTGTTTCGTGGTGAAACACACACATGAACAATAAAACACCTAGAAACTGTGTCCACGTCCACAGATCACAAGAGGTCTGGGTGACTAAGCTGCGGCACAGTCACACCACATGGAGACCCAGACCTTCCGTCTGACGGCTTGTCATGAAGCTGTTAAAATGTTTGCATCATATCTGTATCTTCTGATTTGCAGGATATCTATGGTATATTATAAGCAAATTGAAGAGAAATGTAGTATCCTTTTGTTTAGAAAGGCAAATGCTGCCCCCTTCCCCAATTCTTTTTGAAAACCTGCACATGTTAGTAAGCATGCGCACGAGTTTGCTGACAGACTCATCTTGGGGAGGTAAGGTGAGAAAAAGGAGGGGATGGGGAAGATTATTTTTCTTACTAAACTCTTGCATTGTTTCACTAGTTGCAGGGAAGTAACAAAGGTTGTTTGTACAATGGGCATAATATCAGCATCTTCTAGGATGAGGGTTAACTGAAGACAGACATGTAAAATTCAGCACAGGACTTGGCACAGGCCTTCAACGGTGTTGGCAGTTAGTATGTCTTACAAGTCAGTAGGAGCCGGGCATGGTGGCTCACGCCTGTAATCCCAGCACTTTTGAAGGCCAAGGCGGGTGAACCATGAGGTCAAGAGATCGAGACCATCCTGGCCAACATGGCGAAACCCCATCTCTACTAAAAGTACAAAAATTAGCCGGGCATGGTGTGGACCTGTAGTCTCAGCTACTCGGGAGGCTAAGGCAGGAGAATTGCTTGAAACCAGGAGGCGGAGGTTGCAGTGAGCTGAGATCGCACTACTGCATTCTAGCCTGGGTGACAGAGTGAGGCTCTATCTCAAAAAAAAAAAAAAATGTAGGATGGCGTGAAGTGACTGTTCTTCACTAGAGAGAGTATTTTTTGAACATAGAGTATGTGTGAACTGTTGTTACATTCATTTTCTCATCTAATCCTCTTAACAACTTCCTGAAGTCAATTACTAGTATTTTTTGTACTTTACAGATGAGGAAGGTGAAATCACTTGTCCAGGCTTACAGCCAGGGAGTGGTGCTACTGGATGCGAATTCAGCCTCCCCACTCCACAGTTCCCACTGGGTGCGTTTGGACTCAGGGGATTTAAAGGCAGCTTTGAATTGAACACCTTGCTCCAAGGGCCACCATGAGGGGCTGTTGCACCACTCTTCTGTTTCAGCCCCAAACCCATCTCTTTGGAGATTTCCCTTCATCCTTCTGCAAACTCCTTTCAAATCGCAAAAGTAAAATACTGGCAGCAGGGCATCTTCCCCTTGAAGGGGGTATGTGGCTTCCTCCACCTTATGGCCATGTCATGGTCAGACAGTAGCACTGTCCTCCACTGACCAGCTTCTGCAGGAGTTGAGCTGCCCATTATCATTTTTGCCTCAGTACCAGTTTCATCAGGCAGCTCCCCTTTCCTTCCCACTTGCTCCTCCTTCGACTTGGGAAAGTGCATCCTATCGGGTACTCCACACTTAACCCTCTGTCTTCTGAGGCCTGAAACTGCCCTGAGGAGCCAGCAGGAGTGTTGGAGGGGTGGGGATGGGGAGGAGGCGGCAGAGCCACTCCTGTCTGCTTTTCAAACTGGATTTCAGGCAAACTGATTCCAATAAAGGAATCCACAGCAGAATAGAAAACCACAGGTCTGGGTGGCCTGACCCCTCTTAGCCCTCCAAACCCTGACATTGGGTCAGTTCCCAGCACAAGCGCAAAACACACACAATAATATCGGGAATTTTAGAAGATGGGGAACCTGAGGGAGGAATGCCCACCTCACTTTAAGGATGGTTTCTCTTCATTGCAAAATTAACAAAGGACTTATTTCAAAACGCCACATGACACCAGGGAGTAAACAGCCTCTCAGGAGAAAGTCTGCGGAGGGCTTGGGGTGGGGTAGGTTGTGGATGGTTTTGGAGTTGGGCCTCCAAGCAGAGTGAATGCCGGAGGAGATTCACGCCGCAGGCCTTGACCTGGGTGGTAGGAGAAATGTCTCCACTCCGAAGAAGGCATCCAAAGCCACGCCACCTACATTTCCTCCCACATTGACAAAACCAGCATTGGTTGGATTATTTTCTCAGCCTACAGGAACCTACCACGTGCCAGGTGTGTATGTGTACTGTGTGCCCTGCCCTGTAAGCACCTGATATGTATCGACCACTGGAGCCTGTCACAACCCCAGGGGGAGGTACTAGTGTTGTCTCCATTTTGTAGATGAGAAAAACAAGGCTCACAGAGGTGCCCACCGTCACGCAGCTGGTAGGTGGCAGAGTCAGGATTTGAAGGCAGACAATTGGCTCTCTTAAGTTCACAGATGTATGACCTTGGACAGGTTGCTTCTCCTCTCCAAGCCTCAGTTTCCCCAATTGTGATATAAGTATTATTATGCAGGGTTATTCTGAGGATTAAGTAAGATTATGCATGTCCAGTGTTGAGCACAAGGCCTGGTACATAGTCAGTGTTGCAAATAGGTTCACTATTATTAGGAACTATTAAGCAAGGATGACTTTGGGAGGCCGAGGCAGGTGGATCACGAGGTCAGGAGATCCAGACCATCCTGGCTAACATGGTGAAACGCCGTTTCTACTAAAAGTGCAAAAAATTGGCCGGGCGTGGTGGCAGGTGCCTGTAGTCCCGGCTGCTCGTGGTCCCAGCTGCTCAGGAGGCTGAGACAGGAGAATGGCGTGAGCCCGGAAGTCGGAGCTTGCAGTGAGCCGAGGTTGCGCCACTGCACTCCAGCCTGGGCGACAGAGCAATACTCCATCTCGAAAAAAAAAAAAATAATAAAAGAAGCAAGGATGAGGCCAGGTGCGGTGGCTCACACCTGTAATCCCAGCACTTTGGGAGGCCGAGGTGGGCAGATCACCTGAGGTCAGGAGTTCGAGACCAGCCTGACCAACATGGTGAAACCCCATCTCTACTAAAAATACAAATATTAGTCAGGTGTGATGGCACGCACCTGTAATCCCAGCTACCCAGGAGGCTGAGGCAGGAGAATCACTTGAAGCCAGTAGGTGGAGGCTGCAGTGAGCCGAGATCATGCCACTGCACTCCAGCCTGGGTGACAAGAGTGAGACTGTCTCAAAAAAAAAAAAAAAAAAAAAGGATGAAATCTGAACCTGTGTCTTCCAGAGTCCAGAGAGACAGCTTTTATCACCAGTAGCAAACAAGTCTGACTCCCTACCAGCTGTGGGGCCCAATGCCTGAACTGTACCCCTCAGGGAGAGCTATGGTCTACCCTGGGACTATGAGGAGAATATACGTTAAATAAACATTTTCTAGAGACAAGAGGGCATCCCAGGTTCTTGCTAGGAACTCCCAATAATTACACAATTTCAAGTCCCTACATTTGAGATCATGGGGCTAGTGGGGGTGTGGGGAGGCACTTTTCACCCCGCCTCAACAACATCTGACCATTGCTGGCAACATGTGCTGCGCCCTCCCTGCCTAGCTGGCCAAAGGTCATGGCGCTCAGCAGCAGGAGGTGGAAGATCAAGTGGTCCCCACAAAGAGGCCTTTTTTTTGGGACACAGGATCTCATTCTGTCTGCTGGAGTACAGTGGTATGATTTCGGCTCACTGCTGCCTCGACCTCCCAGGCTCAAGCAATTCTCCCACCTCAGCCTCCTGAGCAGCTGGGACCACAGATGCATGCCACCACACCTGTCTAATTTTTGTATTCCTTGTAGAGACGTTGCCCAGCCTGGTCTCAAACTCCCGGGCTCAAGCAACCTGGCCACCTTGGCTTCCCAAAGTGCTGGGATTACAGGCGTGAGCCACTGTGCCCAGCAGGAAGAGACCTCTTGCTGAAGGGGATGCTCAGGGAGACACATGCCAGAGGAGCGTAAGTCCCACTCCTGCCACACAGCCAGGCCATATCCTGGCCCAGCCACCCCTAGCTTCCTCCACAGCCAGGTTGGTCCCACCTCTTGCTCCTCTTGCTCCCATGCTGAGGTCAGGGTGAATGTCAGTTGGCTTCCATGAGCCTGCCTCCCAAAGAAGCCAGATCCTTTCTGATACATGACCTAGGCAGAAAACAGTGAGTGGTCTGCAGGTGCCTGAAAAATGCCTAAGGCTGCTGTATCCCATTGTACAAGCTGTTTACTGCACAATCGAGAGGGTGAGCAGTGAGCTGAAATCCAGCCCATGCTCTGCTCACAGAGCCTTGTGCCCCAGCTGAAAGGGGCACCTGGAAGTTCATCTCCTGGAGGGATAACCTCTGTCTAATTTGTTCAAAAGATCACTCTCAAACTCTAGGTTCAAACTCTAGGACTCACTCTCGAACTCTAGGTTAAGAAACCCTAAACAACCAAACCACCTTTCCACTGAAGAGATGACTGCTTGTATCTAAGCCAGCACTTAAAATGACTGAACGAAGCCCCTTCTGCAGTTGTTTCAGGACACACTGGCCTATTCGGCCACCTGCCCAGCTCCAGGATTAAGGTCCTGCCTGGGCAGGGTAAGCAGCTCACCTTGGCTAAGTAAGAAGCGTAGCCAGACGATCAATAAGAACAGCAAACCCACAGGGAGGCAGAACCAGAAAACCAGGAAAGAAAATGTGAGGTCGTTCACCAGTGGCATCAAAGGGCACCTCATGGTGCATGTGTGGCTAAGCTGGGCCAGCCTGGGCTGGGCTGGCAGGGCTGCCCCAGGGGACCTGGCAGGCTGGGCCATGCTCTGCTCTCAGCCCACTTGTGACTGAGCTGTGAGGTAACAAGGAAGTTACAGTGTCCTTCAGGCAAAGTACGCAGGGGACACTCTGAGGGAGAGGTGTTCTGGACGAAAGGGTGGGAAGCGAGGCAGTGAGACAGAGTCTGGCTGAGAATTAAAAAGCCCAGGTTTCCAGGCAGGCCTGGGTTTGAATCTCAGCCCAGTAGCTATTGGGTTCATGACACCCCTCTGATCCTCTTTCTTGTAAGATGGAGATAATTTTGTTAAATTAGAAAAACAGATGGGACAAAAATTACCCTCGGGATCGGTGTTCATATACCTGAAGTCACAGAGCCCCTCCAGGAGCCAGCTGGGTCCCCAAGTCCTGTAATACCAGCTGTGTGTGCCCACATCCACACTGTGGGAGTGCTGCGGACTGCGGCAAACTGGGTGGAGCTTACTGCATCCTAAGCATGCAGTGATGGCAGCTCCCACCAATAACTGCTATGAATGAAATGCAGGTCCATTATTGCAGGACTCCTAACTTTCCCAAGCCAGGCAAAAAGTCTAGATTTCTATGTGATATCTCCCAAGTTTAAAATGTTGGGTCAGACCTCGTTAAAGCACTGTTGGCTAAACCAAACGTCTGCCAGGCTGGATTGGTCACTGGGCTGCCACTTAAAACTTTTGAAATCTAACACATAGATTATTCTAATTACTAGATTAAATGACTATAAATGATTATTACTTAATCTGGAAGCTTCTGTGCCTTTCCTTATTAGGGTTTTCTGTGAGGGGCTTCTAACGACTTGAATCTTGTTCCTTTATTTCCTGAGTGGCCAGAACACTTCCACATGCCATCCTCATCTTCTCATATCTGTTATCCGTTCACTCATGAAGTATTCAGTAAACCTCCATGCGCCAGACCACGGCAGAAAGGCTGCTTCGGACTTCCCACTGGAGTGGCTGCTGCACGGTATTCTCCAAAAGGACCCCTGGACCACCTGCCTAAAGCTGCCAGCAGATGGGTGGGTGCTGGAGTGTATTTATTAAACATGCCAATTCCCAGGCTCACCTTCGTCTCCTTAGACCTCTTGGGGGTGGGGGTGTGGCTTGGGATTCAACACACTGATAAGTAACCAGAATGATTCCGACACAGGCTTGATTTTGAGACCACGGCATCTCATGACTTAAAAGCACCTGTTGAAAAGGCAAACCCAGGTCCAGGCTGGGGGAGCAGCTGCAGGAAGTGGGCGGTAAACCTAGGGAGAAACATGGAGTAGAAAACCCACTTATAGGAAAAGACACCAATTCAAGGAGAAGGGCGCATGGGGCCAGCAACAGGAAAAAATAAGAGCATGGGAGGGGCTGGGAGAGCTGGGGCATGGTTTCGAGACTCCTAGCCCAGCTGTGGGATGGCCAAAATTCCTACAAGAGGAAGTCTGGGAAAATGGACTAGAATGCGTGTCCAAGAGGAGCAGTGCCCTGGCAGGGGGCACCTGATGCAAGGCCCAGAGGCCAAGAGGAGGAGCAGGCGGTCTGGGTTGGGAGTGGATCCCTGGCACTGGGTCCTGAAGGGGTTGGGGTCGGAGAGAGCTGAGCAGCATAACTGGGAAAGGCTTGAGCACACATTTTTTTCCGGTTACAAAACCTTTCCAGACACCAAAACAGGGATATTGTGGTCAGCTTCCCTGGCCACTAGGCCCAGCTGGAGGTCCTGTTGTGAGTGGGCAGAACAGGCAGAACAGACACTGCAAGGTAGGCAGCTCCCAGGCACAGTTCAGAGGGTGGCACACGTCAGCAGCTCTTGGCACAGGCATGACCACAGTGGTTCTCATGGTTGTTTCAAGTGGTCCATTCACTCCTCTATGTGTGATCTAGGCCTGAAGGCGCTCATCTGGCTCCAAGATGCTCTACACAAAGGGGGCAGTGGGCAGCAGGGGATGATCTCTGCATCTCCCCACTTTGCTGACTGTCTAGCCCTGGTAGGGCTCAAATTTTCTGCAAGCAGAGGGCACAGCCGGCACTTTCACTCCCATAACGTAAGTATCTATCTCCTCAGCAATTCCCAGCCTCTGAAAGGTGAGCCTCTCTTGGCAGTGTTTTAATTATACAAGCTCCTTCCAGCAGAGAAGGCCAAATATTTTTCTTAAAATTAATCAAACTTTGAGTATTTCATGAAATACTCATTTAATGTTCAATTAAACTACAGATCTAAATTATACAGGGCAGCCAAAGCCGAGGAGACATCCCCTGGAAGGGTAAAATTCACAGCACCAGTGTAGGAGTAAACCCCCAGCCTGTATCCAAAAGCACACACAAAGTTATTAGATAAGAATCTCCTTAAAATTTAATTGACTAAATGTATTACATTCAATATTCCATGGGCTTCTGGACAAAGGATCGGCATAAATACAAACAAACCTCTGGACCTTCTTCCCTAACCGACGAAGATGAAACACAGGAGGCAAGGGGCACGGGTACACCTTCATATTTACACTTTGCCTTTACTTTACAGTTCAGTGCCAGAAATATTTACAGAAAATACAATAAGAAAAAGAGCATGTCTTGGCAACACACTGAAATTCATACAAACTGTATATATGATTTCAAGCAAATAATGATACTGCTTATTTTTTAGCCACAACTGCCAATCCCTTCAGAGGAGAAAGATGTCTTGGTCACTGTAAGAGATGAGGACTTGGGAAACTTGGTTTGCTTCAACAAGTATTTATTGGGCGCCTACTATATGCAAGGCACTGTGGAATCCTAAATTACACCTTTTCCCTCATCATTAAAAAAGAACATGAGTTGATATTCTGAGAAAAACACTGTAAGTACATGGCTTCTTCAGCTATTAAGAAACCCATCGTTTGATTCCACTTCGTACAGATGGACCACCTCCAATCTCTCCAACTCAGGAAAAGAGGCTGTCATGGAAATCTTTAAAACAGACCATCTGACTCCAATCAATCGTCATTTCATGTAAACACAGCAATCAGTTCTTTTCAGGAAGACAGAACCTGAATGGGCTTTAAAATGGTGAATAGAGAACTACTGCCAGAAAGAGTGTCAAATTACCTCCAATACGTGTTTCTTTCTTTCTTTTTTACCAACTACCACAAAACACATCTTTGAGTAAGGCTAACTTTCACTTTGGGTAAAGCTCCACCTTCCAGAAGAAATGACTCTGCCTCTCTAGAACCCAGTCTGAAGACTCTGACAAATGCTTCCCTAGTGTATGGAGAAAGTAACTATTCATGAAGGCCTCATACACAGAACCTGCAGGTGACCAACAATACTGGTCAAAGGTGTGGGTATTTGTATTTATCAATGAATCCAGAGGAAAATGGGCTGCCCTGAAATAAAGGATATGGAAATGAAGGAAAATGTGCATGAGTATGCGTATGTGTGTATATGTGTGTGTGTGTGTGTGTGTCATTAGTTCTTTCAAAAGCCCAATGGATGGAAGAGGGTCTCAGGAGGAAGCCCGAGACAAAAAGGAAAGCTAGCTAAATAAGGAAATGATTAACAAGGTAAAAGCCCTCCTCACTGTCCTCAGTGCTCCCAACCAGAGAGGAGCAGAAAAGCTCCCTCCTGCAACTTAAGAAGGCAGAAGGGCAACCTTACTTACCACCTTCCTCTTCACAGAATGCCACACTCACCCACCCCCTGGCACATCCAACAGATACAGCAACTGAACTGTTTAAGCCACAGACAAAAGTGGTCCTGGCTTTCCCCCAGAGGCTAGAACGTATGCTGGCAAATTTATCAAATGGACTACAAAATATTAATATTAGGTGCTAAATATGTTCCTCTGGTGCTATTCTACTCAGTGATTTTTAACACAGGCAGGTGGGTGAACACAGTGACCATGAACTCAGATCCATAGAGATGGGACAAAAATTACCCCCGGCATCGGTGTTGATATACCTGAAGTCACAGGCCCCCTCCAGGAGCCAGCCGAGTCCCACTGACGAGTTAAGGATTCTTAGCACTCCCTCTTTGGGCAGATGTTATTTTGAGCAGAAGGAACCAGCGCCTGGTAAGGTACGGTACGGGTATCCCATAGTCCACTGGCTCCGTACACACTGGGAGTTTCATGCCTTCAGGGGCTGCACATCCCTCCTTCCCTGGAAGACCAGGGAGTCTCCCAGATCACAAATGCATTCAACATCATTGTTTACGTATCAAATACATTGGAATTACAAAGAGTTGCCAGAAATTAGACCTAACTGAAGGATCAGCAAGTCCAACCCTCATACACACACACAGCATATTTTTCTGAAATTAACTATGCCAAAGGTAAAAGTCTGATCTGAAGAATCATATTGAAGAAGTACATCTACATCAGTTACTTTTAACCTCTGCAATGTTGTAAGTTACATGTTAATTTATAGCCTTCTCTGCTCACTTCAACTAGAACAAGAGCCCATTTTCCCCTCAAAATGTCAATCTAGAATTACCTTGAAAGTTATTAAACCTCATCTTGTTCCTGTGAACCACTAGAACATTTTTTAGGGTAGAATGGCTCATCTTTATCCCGAATGCCCTCTCCCATGCTACCATCTGGAAACATCAATTTATTGCCCAGCTTAAAAAGAAAATCAACTATTGAATAATAATACTATAACCTGAATGGAAACTGGAGTCATAGAAAGAGGAGGTTATCTTTACCTGAGCTTAAAACAAACATGAAGAACAGGTTATGGCAAACTTTAAACCAAGAGCTGCTATGCCCATATTTCTTGCTTATAGATGGCAAAATGCATACTTCTGGAATAAGAGACTTTTGCACAGGGAATTAGGTCCCACACTATCCCCGCCCCCTAAGTAACCCACCAAAACATCAAACCAAACAGATCGTCGCAGCTCTGACCCACAGTCTACTGACATCAGAGTTCAAGGGGGAAAACACCCCTTACACAACTGTGATCATTTCTCTTTGGACTTTAAATATCACCTATTTTCTTAACATAAAATAATCTTACTAAAGAAGAAAGCACATGAGAATAGGATAAATGAGCAGTGTATACTGTAGCACTGTAACAGGAATCCTTGTAAGGATGTTCTGGGTCTGGCCACCTCAAAAGTTTTATCCCTGCAGAAAAGTAGCAGCGAGGTAACAGAAGTATTTCCAAAACCTGCCAGGGATCTGTTGGCTGGCAAAGTCCAGAAAACATGACAACAACAGCCATTTCTAACAGTAGCCACCCAAAGAGATGGTCACTCATGTTTTGTCAATTATGAGGAAATCCAGTAGTTCTCTGGGAGATCTGAATTAGTAGCGCTGAGAGGCTATTCCTGAACCCCATTTTAGAATCCTTCATAAACTACTGCAGTTTGCTGCTTGGTCCTGAAATAAGAGACAATGGATGAAACCAAATAATTTTCAACCCTTATTGTGAATTTACATTTCTTTAAATGATATTTAATGAATGAATCACAAATGTTTAACCTGTCATTATGTCACACCGCTGGACAACAATGGAGAGAGTGGGGGTATCACTGCTATCTTAAAACTTTTAACCCCACAAACTTTATTTGTATCCCCATTAAAGGACAAGGCCATGCTCCATTTCTGATCTGTTCCTGGGTGGCCCAGAAACTGAGGCTTTCAGACAGATCTGTGCAGTGATGAGAAGGACAACTTTTTGAAATGTGGAGAAAAAAATATGACATATTTTAATGTCAGGCTTCTTATCTGAGCAAAAAACATGTATCATCTTTTCTTTTTGTCAGTGTGACAGCTGGATGACAAGAAGACCTACAAGTGAGTAGAAGGCTGTGACTTCTTTCCTTCTCCTCCATGCTATCAACATGAGTCTTTAAATGTCCTGGAAGATTCTGAGAAAGATTTTAATTTTGAATACAACCTCCTAAAAAGTGAGGTATAAAACTATCTTCAACTTCTATATTGCAAATTTGTTGATACTACCAATGCATGTGTTTAACTGAGATGCATAAAAGCCTTTCTCCTCAAAAGGCTTATGTTTAACTAAAATTGTCACCTTTAAAAGAAAGTTTATGGCTAAAATGTATATCATCATGATCAGCAGGAATATGATTGTGTCTGGGAGCCCATTGCACTAGACAGCCCGAAGTCTTCTATCAAATGGGTTATAATGTGTTTCTTCTATTCTGGTGATTAAACAGTAAGCTCTTGGGAGTGATTTGTTTTTATTTTTACAGTGATCACCTATCAAACTGTTCTGCTGTGTTACAGTTCCCGAACTGGAGTTCAACAGTCTTAGAAATTCAGGGGTCTAAGAACTGCAGTTCTTGAGTCCAACCTCCTGGAAAAGTGAAGTATAAAACTCTGGCTCCAACTGTTTGTTCCGGTACTTGTTGACAATGTCGGTGATTTTCTGTTTCCGGCGGACATGGGGTGGACTGTAGGAGTCACTCTCCAGTCTCTTCCTTCTACAAATATTAATTACAGTCTGCCTCACCAGAAAGCCTTGAAAATAGAGAGTTTTAAAATAAATGTTAAAAACTAGTCACTTAGGTAGGTGAACTATAAGTATTCAGGTGAACTACCCTACGCATACTCAAACTATTTCATTCAACTTGCAAACTTCCCATCCCCAGAGAGATAGACATAGTGCCAAGATAAAACTGTCACAAGAAACACACAATGACAGGAAAAGGAGAATAAAAATCTAGTCTAACAACCTATTTTCTGTCCTGGATGACAAACAGCTATCTTCAATATTTTAATACTAGAAGTTGGTGAGGTTTTACTTACACTTACTAGATTAAGGACAGATTAAAAAAGAACAAAACATGCTCCCTTTTTAACAAAAGCCAGACCATTTCCTACATGTGGAAACTATTAAGTAATTATCACCATTTCCTTATATTGACTTCTTTTTGGTTTATAAAAATGATAAAGAGAAAGAAAATGTAACTCTTCAGCCACATATGAAGACCTTACCAAGAGCTCGCCTGCTGACAATCATCCCATCCACAAGAGGGATGACCATATTAAATTTTCCAGTGGCTCCTTGAATTTTTATCCGGAATAATCCAGTGTTTAAAGGGTGGATGAAGATGACAGGAACTTCTTTTTCAAGAGTCGTAGATCTTAAGAAAAGAAAATTTTTATCTCAGACACCCAAGAGTTGAAGTCCCCCACATACAGCCTAAGATCACTAAAGGGACCTGTTGCTTGGCAGTGGTATGAGAAAAGCCAAGGGGTCAGTCTGCTCAGAATCTGCTTTCTGGGAATCTATGCTGCTGCCCCCTGTAACACCTGGTCCTAAAGGTTCATTACTGGCTCAGGCTTTCTAAGCTAACAGAAAGGGGCTGAAAAAATATATATACCTGGAAAACCACTAGGGACACTGGGTGGAAGGAGAGGCCAGAGAACTCTATTGCATGGAGTTAAGAATCTAGCAACCACCTATGGGACTTTCACTTTAGTTCCTCTTCTTGTAGGGAACAAAAATGTGGCCGGCCAGAGTACAGGGAATTCCAGCATAGTCAAGGCTGGTAATCCCAGAGCAGAAGCAGGAACACAGCTTTGGCCCATTACAGGAATCCCTGATATAATTTTTTTTCAGGGTGGGGAAGGAGGTTGGGAGAGCCATTAATCCAAGCCAGCTGCAAGTGTCCTTCCCCGCTATGGTGATAAATGGCCACATTGTGGCAGGGCCAAAGCCCTCACAGCCTCTGGCCAGGCAGCAGATGCTAAAGTCAGCAACTGCCTCTATGGAGGGGTGAGTTACTCATTACACACCAGGGATCGGCCAACCCATCTAGTATGACATGTTATTTGTGATGCTACATGTTGAGGTCTTTTTGCAACCCAATGAGTTTTCTTTCTATATAGGTAAGGTGATTTTGGCCAAAGCAACACTGAATCAGTGTTTCAAGACATTAAAAAAAAAAAAAGAAAAAGAAAAATCAATCCTCGAGTAATTCTGTCCCCAAGATAAATTATAAACTTTGCTAATCTACCAATAAAATATACATTTTACTGTCAAATTGTATTACAACCTTTGACCTAAAAAGATGAAAACTTGAGAGGCCGAGGTAGGAGGATCGCTTGAGCCCAGGAGTTCGAGACCAGCCTGGGTAACATGGTGAGACCTTGTGCCCAATTTTTTTTTTTTTAAATTAAAAAAAAAAAGGTGAAAACAACAAAGACAGTATATGATAAGTCTCTTCTAATTAGTTCTAGAAAAGTCTACTCATGACTATTCTATAGTCTCTTCTTTAGCAAGTTAGTGTCATAAAGAAAAAAGGACTGTTCCAGATTAAAAGAGATGGAAGGAATTAAAACCAGGTATACAGTCCTGGAGTGAATTATTTACCAATTGTGAAGAATATTTTAGTAAAAATGAAGAAATTTGAATGTTGCCTATTAGATAATATTAAGAAAGTATTAGTAACTTTATTATTGTGATGTTATGTTTAGCTATCTGACTTTTCAGATGCATACTGATGTATTTGTAACATAAAGATACCTGTAATTTGTTTTAAAACACCAAAGCATAAAAAGCATGGAAGTTTTAAGAATGACTTGCCCTCTTTTAGAAATTTAAAATGATAATGCTAAAATAAATCATCTTTACTGACTCCATTTCAACAACAATCATCTAACAATATTAGAATAAATTCATCTTATATGCAATTTGAATCAGCTCACATAACTAAAAGGAACTTAAAAATATCAAGTTTGAGGGTATCTCTGTGATGAGAGAGATGCAGGGCCAATGCATTTGGGGTCAAAGGCCTGGATTCAGGAAACTTTCTCCTGCATTTACTGGATGTGTGATACTAAGGAATAACCTCTTTGAACCTATTTTATCCCACAAATAAAACAGGGAAAATAATTGTTAAACTCTTAGTTATAAACCAAAAACAAGCAAGCAAACCTTGAAAACTACAAAGCCTACACAACTACATTGTTACCATTCTTAGAATCAGATTATTCTCTTTTTATCCTTCTTGTGAATGGGCAGGTAAAACAGAAATTTTAACCCAATTATAAAGTTAGTATTACATTTTGCTTAGAAACATTTTTCCATTAATTAGCTCATATGATTTAGGATATTTTAGCTGCTATTTGGCCACATTGTTTTGGCCAATTTAACTCCATTATTTCAATCTAATATTGCTACCCTATTATTACGGTCTTTATTAATATTAAATTGCCTCTACTTCTCCATTTTTCTTTTTGCTCTAGATAACTGTAAAATAGTAATTAATTTTACTATTAAAACTCTTGCTAAAGCACCCAACATCACTAATCATCAGGGAAATGCAAATCAAAATCATAATGAGATAGCACCTCACTCCAGGTAGGATGGTCATTTTCAAAAAAACCAAAAGAAAACAAGTGTTGGCGAGAATGTGGAGAAAAGGAAATCCCCTTGTATGCTGTTGGTGGAAACGTAAACTGGTGCAGCCACCATGGAAAACAGTATGGTTCCTCAACAAATTAAAAACAGAATGTTCATATGATCCAGCAATCCCACTTCAGGGTATATATCCAGAGGAACTGAAACCAGGATCTCAAAGAGATAGCAGCACTCCCATTTTCACTGCAGTATTATTCACAATAGCTAAGACATGGAGACAACTTAAATATCCATCAATGGACGAATATATAAGGAAAATGTGGTGTACACATACAATGAAATATTATTCAGTCTTAAAATGGAAATCCTGCCATTTGTGACAGCATGGGTGAATCTAGAGTACATTATGCTAACTATAAGGCAGGCACAAAAAGACAAATTCCACATGATATCACTTATATGACAAATCTAAAATAGTTAAACTCAGAGAAGCAGAGAGTAGAATGCTAGTTGTCAGGAACTGGAAGGAGGGAAAAAATGGGGAGGTATTGGCCAAAAGGTGGTACAAAGTTTCAGTTATGAAGGATAAGTCCTAAAGATCAACAGTACAGTGGCTATAGCTAATAATACAGTATTGTATACTTAAAAATTTGCTAAGAGGGCAGATCTTATGTTAAGTGGTTTTTATCACAAAATAATAATAATAATGAATTAAGTGGGCAGGAGAAAACTTCTGGATATGGTAGAAGTGCTCAGGAATAGATTGTTGTGATGGTTTCATGGAGATATACTTATCTCCAAACTCATCAAGTTGTATACATTAAGTATGTATAGCTTTTAACATGTTAGTCATACCTCAATAAAGTGGCTTTTAAAAAGTCCATGCTGTAATAATTTGATAACCTTGTATGTTGTATACAAACTTCTTTGATCTTTTTTCTCTATTTTTATTTCTAATTGTCCACAACTCTTTTGTTTCATAATTCTTTATTTATTAAGCTGCAATCAATATATTAAAAAAAGACATGCTGTTGAAATTCAAGCAAATAGAGTGTACCTCAGTGAAGTGCTACTATTTGCAGTAGTTTCCACACCAGTACTGATCTCTGTCATCAGCTCTGAGAGGGGAAAGTTTTCTGGAAGAAAATAATAGCATTATAATTAATATCTCCCTCATTTTCCCAAACAAATAACAGGAAATCTAATTTTCTAATCTCTTCACATAAATGAGTGGCAAATATATGGACTGTGCTGTCCTGAAATATTATCTTAATTATTCTCTACAAATTAAAAAATCATCTCTCATTTTTTAGCTAATTTCATCTAAAGCAAAGAGTTTTTAGAAAATACATTCTGTGATCTTTGAGGGCTTTGTTGAAAAGTAACTATCACATTTTCCCAAAAACTCTGGGCTGGATGGGATTTTAGGCAAAGTATATAATTCTAATGCTCAATGTTGCTTACGTAAAAATCATGAGAAACTTACCCAGAGTGAAACTCTTAAGGACAAACTAAACTTTATACTAAAACGAGACAGTAGAGCATGTGGGTGAGGAGAGGGTAAGTGAAGCGCTTCCCCTTCCCCTTTCCAAAGGTCCTGGGATGACTGAGACCAACTGGCAACAAACCACTGACTGTGATGCCAACAGGAATAACTAAAAGCTTTGTATCTACTAGTCTCGTCAAATCTTCACAACTATGAAAAAAGTACCAGGATTTAACAGAGGAGTAATCTAAGGCTGAGTAGTGGAGCTGGGGTGCAAACCCAGGCTTACTGAACTCCAGGACTAGCTCCTGGCCACACCGTGCTTATATGCCCACTCCCTGTAGACATTTAGCAAGTCATTGTCATATATTGTCATTTTATTTATGGACAAAGTCCTCATACAGTACCTATATCATCATAGCGTTCCACCCAGACTACAGAAACTCTTGTCTCAGGTCCAAGGGGAGGAACAGGGCGACCCTGAGGCAGCTTCCTCATTCTGGAACTGGGACTGAGCTATATGAAGAAGAAGACAGAGAGCGGGAAAAACAACAGCAACAAAAAACTGGCTTAATAAAACTACCCAGTCATTCATTTGTCAAGGTGCTCAGTGATATAAGTATCAGGTCATGGAAAATCACTTTAGGAAAACATGTATACATTTGCAACAAAGCACTTCTTTGGCTCCTGTTCATCAGTCTTAACCTAGGACAAGAAAATGAAGGCTTAAAATTGTCAAAGAAAAAACAAGGAAGGAATATTGAATAATAATAATTTGCATTAACAAAAACAAAATTTACACGCAGTATCTTAATGAGGGCTTAAAGGATTTGAGTCTATCTCTATTAGGGCCAGAAAGCAGTTTGCTTCCCCATCACAGCAACATCACTACTTGTCTGGGGATTCTCATCTCTAAAATGTCCCATCAGCAAGTTATTCCCAGATCCCAGAACAAATGTCTCCTACTGCAATTTATGCTTAATTCCTTTTTCTCATCAGTAGAAAGAAAAACAAGTTGTCTGGGCCTTCATTATCATGCAGTGTGCTTCTGGCTTCCCGCCACCCTAATCAACTCTAAGCTCCACTGCAAGGTTAACAGGACTGTGTGGCCCCCCTTTAGCAAACTGTTACCCTGAGTTGCACTTCTTTTGAGGCATGCAGCAGAGCTAAGTTGTGCTAAAGCCCTAAACAAAGCTCATGTGTACAGAGCGGAGAATCTCATACTTGAGGTGAATTTTAAAATTAAAACTTCTTTATTAGCACAGAAATATACATGTCTTTACCAGATGACCAGAGTCCATGGCAAGTCCCCCGGATGCTTGTATCCACTCTGACATTCACAGAAAATGGCCAGACCAAGAGATTTCTCCCAAACTAGTGACAGATATGTGGCCATATTCACAGACTACTTTCTTAGCATCAAAGCCCCTAATTAGCTTTGACTCTGACTTCTTCCATGTCTGACGTCTAGCCCTAGATTTAAAGAGCTCCTGTAATTAGGTCAGGTCTACTTGGAAAATCTCCCTTTTGATTAACTCAAAATAACGCAATTAAACCCACAAGATCCCTTTGCCAAATAATGTAACATAATCACGGTTATCCTATCATATTCACAGGTTCTACCCACATGCAAGGAGAGGACATTGTACACAGGCAAATGTTGCTGGGGGTTATCTTAAAATTTTGCCCAACACCCTGACGTTTTCCCTGCAGTCTTGCTAAACTCACCTCAATAGTTCTAGTGAATTTAAAAAAAGATTCCTCAGGGTTTCCTACTTACATGACCATGTCATCTGCAAATACATACAGTTTTACTTCTTTGTTTCTAATCTCTATGTACTGTGTTTCCTTTTGTCTTATTTCTCTATGTAGGTCCCTCCTCTACCATGTTGAATGTAAGTGGTGAGAATAGGCATCCTTCCCTTGTCCTCCATCTCAGAGGAAAAGCATTCAAGAATAATGTATAATGCGTAAGTATAATGTTAGCTGTAGGTTTTTAGTAGATGCTCTGTATCAAGTTGAGAAAGTTCTATTCATAGTTTGCTGAGAACTTTTCTCATAATGAGTACGGAATTTTTGTCAACTGTGTTTTCTCCATGTATTGAGATAACCATATGGTTTTGCTTTTTTGTTTGTTTGTTTTTTTAGCTTGTTAGTGTCTGCAAAGTATACTATAAGTGAGAAACAAAAACATGGTGCTTTATCTGGGTTCTAAGGAATAACTATGCTGGCATTCAGAAAATATGGGCAGCTCACCACTGAATTCTAGTTCTGTTCACAAATCTCAAACAAAAAAATTTTTTAAAGTATTAGATTTGGCTAAAATCTTGCATTGCCATGCAATACTGACTGCTCATCTCTAAATTGTATTCTGCAAAACCTTTAAAAAACTCCTGATTTTCAAATCAGTCTACTCCAGGGACTATTACACCACCTGGCCTTTTTTTCCTAGATCAATTTTAAAGGTAAAAACCTCCCCATATTCTCTTTTAAGTATATACTTACATTAAAAGTAATTTTCACTGTGGAAGGAAGCCAACCTAAACTCTTGTACAATGGAGGAACACCTTTAAGTCAAGCTGACACTTCTGTCTTTGTTATGATTTGTTCTAAGTCAATCTTCCTACACTTCTGACATGATCACAGATAAAAAAGTAATATTTGCTGATAAGGTAAAAAAAAAAAAAAGATAAAAGCAAAAAGCTCCTCTTGTAGTAAGTGCTGTGTTCCTCACTCAGAATATTTATCCATACACTGAGTTATTCTCCACAATGTTCCTATATTTATATGGTCAGACTTGTTTAAGATGAACATTGCAAGATTAAAGATAAAAAACATGTAGTTACTGCAGTAACTTTTGTGGATATTTCAGGGACAAAATTAAAACCTTGGTTTAAAAAGGAACAGAAGAGAGAATCAAGTATGGGATCAGAATAGTGAAATCAAGAGAATCCACAAAGGCTGTCTCAGAATAAACTATCTGTTGCAGGCTGAAAAAGAGAAAATCATGAGAATTTTATTTTAAAAAATTAAGTTACTAAGGAATCAGTACTCTGATAGAATTACTCTCTGGGTTAAAAGCTTTTCAGGCAGGATTCTATAATTACCCTGATTTCACTACAAAATTTTGGAGACCTATCAACAAAGTAACTTACCCTCTGTGAGGAATTAAGATTGTCTGTATGATTGGGGAAAAGCTCAAGTGTCAGGGATGGCTGTTTCAGAATTCCTGGCATAAGATCCATATTTGAATCACTATCTTGGTCCGAGATGTTACTTTCCAATGAATCAGCTATGGGGTAAAGGAAAAAAAGCAACTATAATACATACCACTTATTTGGAGCAAGACTGTTAAAAATAATTACGCTCACCAGTCTAACTGAAATCACTTAAAGCATTGCTTCTAGAGCAAGGGCTGACGAACTTTTTCTGTAAAGGATCAAGTACTAAGTATTTTAGGCTTTGCTGGCTATACAGATCTCTCACATATTCCTCTTTGTATTTTATTTATAACCCTTTAAGAATATAAAAACCATTCTTGGCGGCATTTGGCTTGTGCCACTGTGGTTTGCCAGCTCCTGCTCTAAAGGATAACCAAAATAAGACTAGAAAATATTTGAAGTTTCAGATGTAGAATATAATACATGCCATTATTACTCTCTGAATCATTTTGATTATATATTCGATCAAGTAGCATTGTGCCAAATAGGCACTGGGACATCCAGAAGTTACAGAAGATCTAGTCTCTATGATTAAGAGTAATGTGGTTAGAGATAAGTTCACAAAAAGTTATCCTCCACCCCATCTAAAAAAATCCCCAAATATCAGAAATAGGAGGAAGCTGAGTAGGAGTGGGCACAGTTGGCATAGGAGATGTTTCACAACAGAAGACAAAGACCCAACTGCAGGAGCTTTAGTGTAAGGACAAGGCTCTAGCGCTGGGAGGACTTGTCTGGTACTAACAGGCTGGGCCAGAGAAATTAGGCAGGTATGTCCCCAAAGAGGATGGACAGGTTCTGGCTTCTGGAATTAAAGTAGTAAACCAGAACCTTGACAGGAAGCCCAACAGCCGCTATAATTCAAACCTAAACTGTAGAAGGTCCAACCTTCCAGCGACACAGCTGGACCCAGAGAGTAAGACAGAGAGGGGCCTAGAGTGGGAAATCAAGGGTCCAAGGACAAAAGTTAGGCAGCTACCAACGTAGGGCACAACAAAAGTCGTTAGTCTGGAAATGAGACTGTGAAATCGTGATGTACAGTATCCCATCCTAAAAATGATCTCAAAGAAGAAGGTGAAGTTTTCTATCTACTGCCTGACCACCTACTTGGTCAGGCTTGAACAAACAGGCTTAACTTGCAAAAAGCAAAGGTTCTGGGCAAAATAAAACTGTGAGTTCAGACTAAGAAGTAATAATTACTCCCAATTCTTAAAAAGAAAAGTCTTGGACCACCATCTTTTCTAGGCTGCTTAAGTTTCTCTTGCTCAGAAGAATAGCCAGATGCTATCATGAGATCCTTCCCGTTGTAGGATTCTATGTGGTTCCATGCAAAGGCTCTCAAAAAGTAAGTGAGGGATCACTCGTAATTATAGAAAGAAATGAACTGGAAAATAAGCCTATGTACTGATTGATTAAATTAAAGAAAGCATATCAGTTGAAATGAGATTCCTTCACTATTTAAAGATTATCAGAGGGTCAGTCTGCTTGTCTTTAACTACTTTCCTTAAAAAGTTAAGAGAAGATACCTTGTGCCTCTGCATATTCTGTTATAATGCCTTAGAAGCTAAAGAATGCCTTAGATCACTTCAAAATATCTTCCAAAGCAGCAATATCACACAACCCAGGAATATAAATATAGATCCTAAAACAGGACCATGCAAAATGGTCTTACTTAAGGACTCCACAGGAGAAGGAACCACAAAAGCAATTTCCGTAAGGGCATCAGCATAATACAGCACCTTCTTCTGTCCATTGAAAATGCTAGCTCCAATATCTTCAGAGGAAATCACTTCTTCTGGGAAAAAGAAACACCACATTACAGCTTCAAAAAGTAGAAAAAAACCAGTATCATCTTGCTACACGAAATGTTAACTGGTTAATAAAGTGATAAATAGAATATATGTTTCCAGCAAGAACCAATTAGTATGAAAGAATAAAATATAATGCTTATTAGATGTCTTTATTTTTAAATCATAAAATCTTAATTTCATAATTTCTCAAACGACTATATATCAGACCACTTCTGATTAGCAGGGCTTTTAATTCATGTGTATGAAGCAGATTAAGGGAGCAGTCCTTTGGATCCGGTGAATAAATAATCAAAAGGAAGACCATCCCAGTACCTCAGAAGGGAGTTGGGCCAGAGAGACAGGCAGGCAGGCAGGCAGAGAGAGAGAGAGAGAGAGAGACAGAAAGAGAGAGAGAGAGAGGGAGAAGAAGGAGGAGGAAAAGAAGAGGAGGAGGAGGAGGAGGGAGGAAGAGACAGAGAGAGAGAAGAGAGAGAGTACACATGTGCGTTATCTCTGGACTCTGGCTTTTAAGGCATTTCTATCCCTGGTCTCTCTCTATGGCTCCTCAAGTTGGCCTATGTTCCACCTTCCTCAATGGTCAGTGACATTGTATAAAAATGTACAGCCAGTTTTAGTAATAGCATCTGCTCTAAGCCAGGAAGACTGAATTAACAAAAGAAACACTCATGAGAGCTATATAGTTCTCAATTAAAATGAACTCAGTGTCCTACCAGCAGTACATAAAAGACCAACAACCTGACCAAAAATTGGACAGGGGAAATGAACAAGTACTTCTCAGGAAAGAAATAAAAATATGGTAAGATATGCTCAAGCATTATTAAAAATGAAAAATTTCTCACTTAAAAAACTGGAAGATACCTAATGCTGGTGAAGATTCGGCAAATAGGGAGCTTAGACAAGAGGTTAGCGAACTTTTTCTGTAAAGGACCAGACAGATAACATTTTCGGCTTTGTAGGCCATAGGATCTCTGCCACAACTACTCGATTCTGTCATTGTAGCATGAAAGCTGTCATAGACAATGTGTAATCTAGAGTGTGACCGAGTTCCAATAAAACTTTATTTTCAAAAACTGGGCTTTCGTTTTCTGACTCCTGGTGTGGGCTCCGGGCAGGGACTTTGTATCTGCTGTAGTAGATGCTGTGGTTACTATCCCAACAGCCACTCTATCCACCCCTATTCTGCAGCAGGCAAAATGTGCATGTGGGACTGACCTCTGATACTAGTTCTATCTTGTCTGTATCTCTCTACCAGAGTCATTCTTTCTTGCCACAAGGACAGGCTTGGGATAGTCTAATCACCATATAGTTCCGGATTCGGGGAGTAGGGGGTTCTCAGATCTGGCTAATCTCTCCTCTTCAGGCTGCTGTGGTATGTGAATGTAAAGCCTGGAATTGCCTTTCTGCACTAGTAGAGAAGCCAGGCTGGTGACAAAGCCAAAATATGGAGAGCAACGCTAAAGGAAAATTGTAAAGAAATAAAACAGGAATGCTGATCAAATGACACCAAAGCTTAACCAACCTCTAGAATTTTCAGTTACATGGGCAATAAATTATCTTCAAAATCTAAGGCAGTTTGGGTCACGTTTTCTGATACTTGCAACCATAAGTATCCAACTGATATATTTATCAAAATGAAAAATGTGCACTGGGCATAGGCATTATCCACTTTAGAGAGGTAATACTAACTTTCCAGTGACCTCAGGAGCCCAGCAACACAAAGCATTAGCCAGGTGGGGCAAAGGTCTTAAGTTTAAATTTATACTTGCTCTGGTACTTGTTATCCTGATTACAATTCCTCAGAGGATGTGAGGGGATGGGCAAGAATCCTCAGAGATGGTCAGCTGTTTACTACAAAGGTTTTGGTATAATATCCCAAGAATCTAACCTTTAAGTATGACTCTTCTGATAGCCACAGTTGATAAAACACACTGGTTAACAGAAAACTACTTATCAGACAAAACATGCTTGTTAGGAAGCTGTATTGTTTGTATGGATGACCTATATTTATTATACAATTTGTATAGAAAATTGAATCTTATGCATATTATAAAAAAGGAACTTATCAGCATTGTAATAAGCCAGTCATTTTATATTAATTAACTCTATCATTATGTGTATATATTTCATATACACTGAAAACGTCTAGAAGAATATATAAACTAGTATTAAGTTACCCTGTCAGGACTGGGATTAGGGGAAGGATACTTTTCCTCTATATACCTGTTTGTTTTTTAGAGTCAGGGAGTTGCTCTGTCACTTAGGCTGGAATGCAGTGGCATGATCACAGCTCCAAATCCTGGCCTCAAGTGATCCTCCCACCTCAGCCTCCTGAGCAGGCAGGACTACAAATACGTGGCCCTCAAGCCTAGAAAATTTTTTCATCTTTTGTAGAGACGGTGTCTTGCTATGTTGCCCAGGTTGGTCTTGAACTCCTAGCCTCAGTCGATCCTCCCACCCGGCTTCTCAAAGGCAGGCATGCACCACTGCACCCAGCCTGGTTTTGTATTTTTAATAAGACTATAAATCATAGTAAAGGGGGAAAAAAAACAAGACTAACAAAACAAGCAACAACTGACATTTGAAGCACTGTGAGTTTTACCTTGTTGAGATCCTTCACCATCATCACAACAATTAATAGACCAACTGGTAGAAACATGCCCAGTCCAACCAGGGTGTCTGCCCACATCTACTGACCAGCCAAGGGAAAGCAAAAATTCTAGGAAATGTGGCTGAACAGTTCTGGAAGACTCCACATTCTTCAAAATCTGAAATACATACCAATCATCAGCTATAATGAAGGAAGAAAAATAATGTATCAAAATAAAAATTCATAAAAATTGGTTAGCTTTGAAGCTTCTGACAAATCATGTCCAAGCTCAGAATACATTTGAGGATATATCACTATAGAGAAAATGCATTCTCCAGAGTTAGACAGATTTGGATTGGCTGAGCCTTGGGCAAGTTTCTTAACCCCACTGCCTCAGTTTCTTAATCCATAGAGTAGAGATAATAACAATGGTTATGAAATAATGCAAGAAAAGCTATGAGCTCTCTTCCTAGCAAAACAATTACTGAACCAGGCATGTTTACTAAAAGATACTATGTCCTTACCTTTATGAAGTTTACTGTCTGATTAATGAGAAACATTACATAGGGATGCAACTATTTAACTATAAATCTTGACAAAGGCTATAAAACCTACTAAAATTCAATAAACATTAGGTGTAATTAATAAATGAGTATGAAAATATCCTTTTCTTAGGTCAAAGAAGAGAATTTCAGGAAAAATGAAGTGGCCACAAAGTTCTCTCCTCTTCACTAAGCACTAAATGTAAGGCGTGCACTTTCTACTGGCCTCACAAAGCGTCCCTCACTCTAAAACAGTGCTTCTCATCTAGGGATGATTTTGCTTTTCAGCGGACATCCAACATTTGGAGACATTTTTGGTTGTCATAACTAGTGACGCACACTACAAACATCTAGTAGTAGAGGCCAAAGATGCTGCTAAATGTTCTAAAATACATAGGACAGCCCTCATAACAAAGAACTTATCTGGCCCAAGATGGCAATAGTGCTACTCTTGAAAAACTCATTTCTAAAGGAAGGAAAATAAGAAATTCCTTTGCAAATGAAAAACTAAAGGGGGAGGGTGGAGAGCAGAGTGTAACAAAATCATCTGGGAAATCGCGTAAAAATAAGGTTCTCTTCGCCTGCCCTAGACTTCACATTAAAATCAGCGAACGCGGAATCCTGGAATCACTATTTCTAAAAATTCCTCCAAATAACTATGATGCAGCCAGTCCACAGATCACTGATGTCATTCATACAATGCTAATCTATACCAAGATCATATAGAGGCCTGTGAAAGTCAAAATGTAAGAAGTTACATCCATTACATCTGACCCATTGCAAATCACCTCAAAGTCATTACCTCTTAAGCACAAAACCAGTCTATTTTTTTTTTTTTTCTTTTGAGACGTAGTCTTGCTCTGTCGCCCAGGCTGGAGTGCAGTGGCGCAATCTCTGCTCACTGCAAGCTCCACCTCCCGGGTTCATGCCATTCTCCTGCCTCAGCTTCCCGAGTAGTTGGGACTACAGGCGCCTGCCACCACACCCGGCTAATTTTTTGTATTTTTAGTAAAAACGGGTTTTACTCTGTTAGCCAGGATGGTCTCGATCTCCTGACCTCATGATCCGCCCAACTCAGCCTCCCAAAGTGCTGGGATTACAGGTGTGAGTCACCGTGCCCGGCCTAAAACCAGTCTCTTTAGAAGTGAACCTATTTAGTTTACCCATATCCCTTCACATTCTTATGGGTGCCAAGAAACTGACTTAACAACCATTTCTAGTTTTTGCAATTCAAATTTTTATCTAGAAGTAAAACTTTTAAATAAACAATTTTTGAAAATTTAGTCAAGAAGCAATAAGTGAATCCAATTCAACTTGCATGGATTCTGGCAGACAGAAATTAATCTTAATCTACCCTGTGGCTAGGGAAGACAGGTCTCAGACATTCCAACGGAGGTCTCAGGAAATCTTCATTAATTCCTAGTTACCCTCAGCTTCTAAACAGCTAGGGAAACTGGACTGGGTTAGGAGGTGCCTCAAGGGTTTGTGTCTTCTTGTACAGGCAGGAGAAAGTGGCTCCATTATTCTCAAACAAAGAATGCGCTGACTTCCTTCAAAACAGATCCCCACCTCCAGAATTAATCCAATTTTACTGAGGTTCTTCTAAAACACTTGAGTCCATTGGTCTCATCTCTGGCTACCACCAGCCCACTTTCTCTTAAGCTCCAAGTATATTAGACCCCATAATGAATTTTATCAAGATAAAATACTCTCTTTACCCTGAAGAATTTATACATTATTATTACTTTGTCAGTGACAATCTGCTTCTGCCTCCTTACCTACAGTTAATGCACACCTTAAATACCAGCTAGAGTATCTTTCCCTCCAGGCCACCTTCTTAAAACCAGATTAGGTTTTCCCGCTACTGCTCCTAGAACGTGCTTTAATGACCCTATTAGCACCCTTTACAACGGTTGGTTGCTTATTTAATCATCTGTCTTCACCTCTATGCAGTTTTAGGGGGCCAGAAATCTTACAGATTTTGTTCACCTAACAACAGACACTTATTAACTTTATTGACTCAGTAACAAAAAAATAACTTTCTCATAAATCAGCATTCTTTTCTAGGAGCTCACAAATCATTTGAAACAGTGCTTCTAAACATTTGGAAACTTTGGTAAATTTCTTTAGGCATGCTAATTTGATTAGCTGATGGTCTTAAAATGACTACTACAGTAAAATTCCAGGATCATGCAGTCACAGTGCCCTACACATCTGAATACTACATTTTACAAGTCTTCCTTCAGGTTTTTCCTAGTTATAGTCAGTAACTTCCTGCCTATTCTATATTTCAATTATTCCTTTTCAAAAAACACTTCAAGTTTCCTGCCATTTTGCTCTCAGTTTTCCATTCTCACCTATCTCACATTTTTCTTCATCCTTCTCCTAGTCTCTTTGTTACACGTATCCAGCTATGTTTTACTTAGTCCCTCTGTTTTGTTTTGTTTTTGAGACGGAGTCTTGCTCTGTCGCCCAGGCTGGAGTGCAATGGTGCAATCTCGGCTCACTGCAATCTCCGCTTTCCGGGTTCAAGCAGTTCTCCTGCCTCAGCCTCCCAAGTAGCTGGGACTACAGGTGCCTGCCACCACACCAGCTAATTTTTGTATTTTTAGTAGAAACAGGGTTCTACCATGTTGGCCAGGCTTATCTTGAACTCCTGACCTCAGGTGATCCACCCACCTCGGCCTCCCAAAGTGCTGGGATTACAGGCGTGAGCCACCACACCCGGCCAGTCCTTCTGTTTTTCTCCTTTATTTCAGCTGTTATTTCCCCCACTGCACACCACGCATTCCTCAACTGAAATGATTTGTTTCTGAAATTACTAGGAAGGTGAGCTGCTTCTCAAAAGGGAAACTGTTACTCGTTTCTATATCCTGGCATGCTGAGCCACAGGGAAGATGTTCAATAAATATTTGTTGCTGTTGTTTTATTCTTCTTGAGCCTTACTTTAACTTTTTATGACTACCCTTCTTTATTTCAGTTTATTTTGTCTTATGAATCTGAATTCCTGAGGGGGAAGAAAGATATCCTACAGCTCCTACTTAAATCACATTTCTTAAGGGTCAAAAGACTCAGGACTCCAAGTATCATAGTTTTGGTTAATTCTGTTTTCAAACTGGTTCATAGCAAGTCTTTAGGCATCGAGTATAAAACACTTCTTACCATAGACAAGTACATACCATGTAAAATTTTGTATATGAAAATGAAACTTTTTAAGGAATGCGAGTCTCCCTCAAATTATCATGCCCAGAAAGGCACTGAAATGTGATAGCAGTCGCATCTCACTCCTGCTTGAGCTAACTAATAACTTTGAAGCTGCGTGCTATATGGACTCTAGACTGCATGTCACCACCAATAGTTCATAAACTAATCTAATAGTGCTGGACACCACAGCTCATATCCTACAGTTCAATAATTTATATCTACTCACTAATCAATGTTATTTCTGTAAACCAATGAGCATTCCTGAAAAACAACTTTTGTAATCATCTGTTCTCCTGGCTCATCCTTTTTATCTTTAAAAACTTGAGACTCACCTTTGTTCTTGGGAGAACTTTCCAGCATTTCCCATTTCCTCAACTCTGGCCCAAATAAACTCTCCATATTAATTTTGCCTCAATTTTTTTTTCTAGATGTGTATTTACAGCACAAAAATATACCAAAAAAAAAAAAAATTCATAACTCTTACCTCTTGGTTCGTTTTCTGACCTGGCTTCATATAGAAAATAAAAACTGTGTCAAAAGGACGACATGGCAAGAGATCCAGATACCCTATGTCATCAAAAAATCCAGGTATCGTGGAATCAAGTGCAATAAGGTGAGGAGGTAGACGACTATTTGCAGGTTCCTGCCACCAAAAGAAGAAAGGAGCAATTATTACCTATTCTCTTGCATTGTTATAATTATGAAAACAATACTTGCTCATGGTTTAATAAAAATTAAATTTAAAAATGTAGAATGGTAGGAATAAACACAACCATAATCCTAAAGAAATTATTTAACATACTTCCTTTTAGTTATTTGCCTCTTTTTAAATTAAAGACAACTGAGATTATATTGTGTATATAATTTTGGATCCTGTTTTCTCTATAATATTGTGCTTTCTAGAACTTACCTTTAATGTACTTTTTTTCTCATTCATTAATGGTGAAATGTGAAATGGTACAGCTACTTTGGAAGACAGTTTGGCAGTTTCTTACAAAGCCAAACATACTCTTACCATGCAATGCAGCAACTGCACACCTTGGTATTTTCCCACACACATCCACACAAAACCCTGCACACAAATGTTTATAGCAGCTTTATTCATAATAACCAAAATGTGGAAGCAACCAAGATGTCTTTCAATAGATGAAGGGATAAATCAACTGTGGTACATCCATACAATGGAGTATTATTCGGCAATAAAAAGAAATAAACCATCAAGTCAAAAAGACACATTAAATGCATACTGAATGAAGAAACGTTAAATGCATATTGATAAAAATGAAAAAAGCCAGTGTGACAGGACTACGTACTGTATGATTCCAACTATATGACATTCTGAAAAAGGTAAAACTATAGAGAAACAGTACAAAGACCAGTGGCTGCTAGGTTTTAAGTGAGGAGTGAAGAGGGAGGAAAGAATAAGTGGAGTACAGTGGATTTTTAGGGCAGTAAAACTATTTGTACAATTGTAATGGTGGACACACGTCATTATACACTTGTCAAACCCCAGAGACCTGTAGAGCACAAAGTGAACTCTATTGTAAATCACCAGCTTCGGTTAGTAATGCACCAATATAAGTTCATCAATCATAACAAATGCACCACATGAATGCAAGATGTTGATAACAGGGGAAACTGGGCTGTGGGGAAGGTATATGACAGCTCTCTACCCTTTCTGCTCAATTGTTCTGAAAACCTAAATCTTCTCTAAAAAAATTAAGTCTACAAATTTTTCAGAAATGCATGTTTGTTTTGTTTTCCTCTTAATCCCCTATCTTCTTTGAGATTTTGATCTTGCCAAACAAGGTTCTGCTAACCACAGCATATCTTTCAGGAAAGTATCCTCCAGAGAAAGCAAGAATGACTGTCTTTCACACTGGCAAGGATTGAGTCTAGCCTTCTAGTCAATTATATACCATTCCTAGCAAGGTCTAGGGCAATATTCTATAATCAAAGACATTAATCTTTCTGTAGTCAAACAGAAGTGTATTCACCCTAAGTGACATAAAACTACAAACAGCCTCATGTCAATTCAGGTCCAATTTTGTCACTAATGAATTTACTACAAATATATAAAAAATTTTCCAGTTTTCAGTTTTTACTTTGAAATCATGGATAAGGAATTGTGGACCTGAAGCATGTTGTAATACACCTTGTAGACCAGAATGTCCTCATTCTTCTTTCTTTTTTTTTAAAAGTAAGGTATTTCCTCAGCTTGTTCTTCTATATGATCTTCTAATCTAGGAACATAACATTTACATATTTTATATCTCTTAATAATTTTTAAAAGTTTCTTCCTCTAGGTCTTGTACATACTTTGTTAGGGTAACTTTTGTCAATATCACGGCTGTAAATGGGGCATTTTTGCATTGTATTTTTAACTGAATATCACAGGCATAATTACTAATTTTTGTACTTTTGTGTATGGCAATCTTAATTCTCATTTATTTTAAACATTTTATTGATTTTCTTATGGTTGTCAAACTAGAAGTCATATTACCTACAAACTGTCTTCTCATTTCCAATGATTTTTACCTCTTAGTTTAACATTTCATTGACTTTCCTCATTTTTATACTGTACTGTAGTTACATAAGAATTTATCATCGCAGGAAGGTTCTCATATCTTTATTTTGCAATTTCCTGCTAATCTATAATTATTTAAAACTAGAAAGTTTAAAAAACGTCATTGACTAAAAAATTCTCGTTGTTAAATAGTAGTCAAGGTAGATAATTTTTACCTCTGATTTTAACAAAAGATTCCTCTAGTTTGCTCCTGGGTTGTCATTTAGATAAATCTTTTAAAATAAGAACCTACACTAGTAGTGCTGGCTTAGTTTGTTATTTTTTAAAAAATCAGAATATGATTCTAGTAAATACTGACTTACTGTTTCACTGACTGAACTGCTAATGGGACCAAATTATTTTCTTAATAGCTTTATTAATATTTCCTGATAATTAATTGCTAAGTTCCTGGGATAAACCTTACTTGATCATGGAGGACCATTTACTTAACATGCTATTAATTCAGAACTAAGTCTGCTTAGCATTCCCTTTAATACTTTTGTAAATACATTCATAAGTAAAACTGGTTTGTAGTTTTGTATGTATGAGTTGTCAAGTTTTAGTTAATAGAAATATTCTAAGGTTCATAAAATAAACCAGGTAACTTTATTTTTCCTATGTTCTCATACAGATGAGAAAGCATGAGAATTATTTTCTTAAAAGTTTAAAAGTTTCAGCTAGAATAGATAACAGAAGTAGAAAACTATAATCTCAGAGACAAGGCTATTATGGCCTTTCTTGTGTCCCTGAAGTCCATAGGAAGCATTAATTTTCTTCTAGTATATTTTTATTTACTGCTTCTACTCTGTTCAATTTTCTCCACTAGGAATATCACTAATGATTTGTAAGTTGCATCTTTTTTCCTTCCCTTCCATATTTACCACTATATTTCTTAGAATTTTCCTCTCTCTGCTCTTCTATTCTGCATTTTAAGTTTTTATGTTCATATTGCTGCATCAAACTCAATTTTCTACAAAAAAAAAAAAAAATGCAAAAAACATTTTCCCTCTATATGCTGAAATACAAAATCAAATAGCAATGTCCCTATTACTTTCCTACAAAGCTAAATGGCCTATAACCAGGTAGTTCCTAGGGAGTAAGGGCAGGGGACAACTTATGCAATAAGCAACTTCTTGCTTGGCAATCTTCAGTTGTACTTTTCAAAACAAACAGGACTTAGAATAAATTCCAAGTCTACCTCCAGACAAGTTATTTCACATTTTTGAGCCTCTATGTCCACATCTATAAAACAGGAACAGCATCACTTGTCTTGTAAATTTTTTTTTTTCCAAGAGACAGGGTCTCACTCTATCAACGAGGTTGGAGTATAGTGGAGTGACCATAATTCACTGTAACCTTGAACTCTCAGGCTCAAGCAATCCTCTTGCCTCAGACTCCTGAGAAGCTAGTATTATAGGCGTGCCATCACATCCAGCTAATCTTTAAAAACAATTTTTTGGAGAGATGGGGGTCTCACTATGTTGTCCAGGCTGGTCTCGAACTCCTGGCCTCATATGATCCTCCTGCCTTGGGCTCCCAAAGTGCTGGGACTATAGGCATGAGCCACCGCACCTGGCTGTAAAATTGTTTTAAGGCTAATGGAATTAAGAAGAATGGCAATATTTACCTTATAGGCTGGCTTACTTTGTGCTAAGTACTATACCAAGTATCTTCCACGAGTGAACACATTTAATCTTCACATGATCAATGAGATGGATACTTTTATCACCCTCACTTTATAGATGATGAGGAACTAAGACAAGATAAGAAACTCACCAAAGACCACATAGCTGGCAAGCAGTGATTCCAGGACATAAAGCCAGACAGTTTGATCTTATAAACTGGACAATATAAGAAGTGCTTGACTTACAAATACTACAGTATTAACTTTATTCTTTTCTAGAAGCGGCATGAAAGAGCAAAGCTAATTGTAGCTTATATTTTTAGTAATAATGCTTAGTAGGGGAAGATTTTTAACATTCTTTTTCTAATTATCTATAGATTTCATTAACATGGGTACTGCGTTATCTAGGAAAATTCAGAGTTAGGTGTATTATCAAACCAGTCCCCTCAGACTCAGAACTCTGAATGCATTCATGGGGTGACCTGTCCTGGAGCACAAACTATAACCTACAGCAGCACAGAATTTCATTTATTTGTATGCAAGGTAAAATTTTAACCTGGTTTTTTTTTTTTAATTTGCTTATATCCTCATAAAAATATTTTAGCTATTGTCAGCTGATTGTTAACTTGTGAATATATTTATTCATAAAAGTTCATGAAAATTACCTTCAATGCTTCTAAGGACAAAAATCCAAAGTGTGAGAGGAAAAGGCGGGCTGTTTGGAATTCCTGGGCAGGAGGCGGGGGCTTGCAATCCGTAACTGGGTCAGGAAAGCTTCTCTTCTGCAATTCCTCCTCACTCTGTTGCTCAAGGTGTATTTCATAAGCAATCTGCTGGGCCATGCCACTCCTTAATTTTTCATGTCTCTCTTCTAACTGAAATAAACCAAATATTTCATTTTTTGAAAATGTTTTGAAACTAATAAGGCCAATCTTAATTTTTTTTTTTTTTTGAGACTGAGGTCTCTCTATGTTGACCAAGCTGGTCTTGAACTCCTGGGCTCAAGTGATCCTCCTGCCTTAGGTTCCCAAAGTGCTGGGATTACAGGCATGAGTCCCACTATACCTGGCTAAGTCAATCTTAATTTTAAAATGAAAATAAAGCTACAAGCAACAAAGAAAATGAAGATACTTTTCAACGATCAATACTGATTCAGTTCAATACAGAGTATGCCATTAAACAAACATGGTTCAAGGTTAAAACAAACACCAAAAAAACTTCCCTATACCTTCAACAATTGCTTCTTCATGTTCTCACTGTAAATGAAAACATTCAGTCTCTGGTTCCCTTCAAATAGGCAAGAAAGGGGATAGAGTTGTCACTCTCACCCCTCGCTTCCAGATCACTATCCATCTTTACCCTGACGTGCTCCCTGTGTTTGGAATTCCTCATCCATATGGATGACATGACTGTACTCTTAGAAACTCCTCCCACCTTTTCTTCTGATCAATCCTTGTTTAAAATTCCATCCCCTGGTGAGTGACAACCCTTCTAACAACCTGGCTCAGGATTCTACAAGCTCCTCAACCTTCACAACTTTGGCCATCCATGAAAACAAACTTGAACCTGAGATGTGCCCTGCTTTCCAGGGCTGTAAGTCTGAAATTCCCTCTCCAATCATAAGCCCCTTGTGCAGCTCCTATCCCTTCACTTCCCTGAGCTCGTGCTCTACTTTTGCTGTGGGGCACTCAACCCCTCCCCCTGCTTTCCCACTCCATTAGCATCCTTCTGGCTTTATCTGCTTCCCAACTAAGCTGAAGCCCCCACATCTAACAGCTAAATACCTTCTCCTTAAGCACATTAAACGGCTGCATTGAACCTTCTCCTTCCAAATTTCCACACCTGTCAATCTCCACACCAGTCAAATTCTTATGCTTCCAGATCCTAAGGACTTTTGAAGAAAGTCAGCAGAGTGAGTTAAATAACTTCACTGTAGATAATGCTACTTAACCTCAGCTGGACTGCCTGGCAATTTTTAAGAACTGTCTTGGATCCCCTATTACATTGCCAAGAACCAGGATTAAAATTTTCATAAACTTCTTCAATTTCCCTCCTTTCCTCTCTAAATGTCTCTGAACCTTCACCTACTCTCTCCTTCTGTCTTAGAAGTATCTCTTTTCTAGACTACACTCTTGACCCTACTGCATCTATTACTTGTAAGTCCCAATGCCCATCTTACAATGTTAGCCAGACCCCTCTCTCCTGGTTTCTTCCTTCAATCTATAAGCATGTTCATAATCCTCACATCCTTGAATGTAAAAAAATATTTAAAAATTAGCCTTTTCTGGCCGGGTGCGATGGCTCACGCCTGTAATTCCCAGCATTTTGGGAGGCAAAGGCAGGTGGATCACCTGAGGTCAGGAGCTCGAGACCGGCTTGGCCAAATGGTGAAACCCCGTCTCTACTAAAAATACAAAAATTGGCTGGATGTTGTGGCGTGCACCTGTAATCACAGCTACTCAGGAGGCTGAAGCAAGACAATCACTTGAACCCAGGAGGCAGAGATTGCAGTGAGCTGAGAATGCACAACTGCACTCCAGTCTGGGCAACAAGAGCAAAACTCCACCTCAAAAAAAAAAAACAAAAAACAACAAAAAAAACCTAGTCTTTTCTTTCCTTAATGAGGCCATTTCCTTATATAATATTACCCATTCTGTACCCTTCCCTTTACTGTTAACAGTGTGGTTTCTATTCACTGCCTCTTCCTCAATACATTCACTCTCCAGCCCTTCGAACTCTCCCTCCTACTGTACACACCTGTTCTCAAAGGTCACCTAAATTTCATGCCAAAATCCAGGGAACTTTTTCTGTTCTTTCTTCTCCCTGGTCTCTCCAGCACTGGCTAGTGTAGCTCTTCCTCCATTCCTGCTCTTCTGTTCTCTCATGTCCTGATATACTTCTGTCCCCGACTTCTTAAAATTCTTCTCCCTTGACCTAGGAGCCAGTTATCTTAATTAACTCTCTAAATTAATCTAAAGCCAAATACATTTTCCCCATCTTCTCAAACCTATCCTCTTCCTAATGTCTATATTTCTGTAAATGACACTGATATTTGTCACTCAAGCTCAAAATCTAAAATTCTTTGGTTCTTTTCCTTCCCTCATCAATTCAAGACTGCTTGGATCTGCCTCCACAATACATTTTATATATTAAACTTCCATATCAGTGAAATAGTCCTTCCTTTCTTACAAGGACTTGGATCGTCATAATAGTCTCTGAACTGGTCTTCCTTCTCCAAATAACTCTACTAACAGAGTCTGATCATGTCACTGCACTACTGAAACCTACCATGAACAGCCAGGCAGCCCAGTGACAGCTCTAAGAGACATGCAGTTCCTTTCTATCAGCCACAATCTATATTCGTCTTAAACATGGCAACCTCCTGGATGATGGAGACCCATGTCATCTTATAAATCATCTCCAACAACACTAAAAGCATTGGCTTGACCATGGAAGTTGTAAGAATACAGCTAAAAATAATGTACTTACTTCTTCAGTGACTATTTCATGCAAATCTGGAATGCTGAGATCTGCCTTCACAAAAGGAATCTTGTCCACCTCTTCAGGAAATGGCCGATGTTTCACAGAATATTTAAATCCAACATCATTTTTAGGAACTGGGCGAGGTTCAGGCACAAAAAGCTGTTAAAACAAGTAACATTTTGTTTATTATATAGGGTCCAACACCCATCTGTAATGACATGGATTTCCCTGGTCTCTTAGATGGCTGTGTTTCCCTAGGATTACATGTCACAAAAACTTACCCAGAACCTGCAAACGCTACAGATAACAGTAAAGGGAAGTAGCCTGTGCCCCTATGTACTCTATTTTTCTAAAAATATTCACCGACTTCTTATAGATCTCATGACTGACAAATGGGCTGTGGACCTCTACTGCTGCAGGCCCGAATCTCCCACATTCAGCGGTAATCCAGTGGGTAAAGCATTTTGGAGCTTTAAGACTCAAACTTTCTTCCCCAGGGGCTCTCACATCATTCCATATAATTAAAGACAAGTTTGGTTTCACTGGGCATCTCTAGAAAGTGATTTTAACAAGAACCTTAATATGGCTTGAGAGTATGGGTACCAAATCTAGGTCTTCATAGCTCCAAATCCATGCTTTAATATATACATGGTGAACCCTAAACAAATTTTAGCTCCTTTCCTGGTCCCCTTCCTCTTCAGTCTTCAATGCTAACTTATTAAATTACAGAGTTGTTGACAGAATGTGATCTATACCCCCAAGAAAAAATAGACAAGTGTTCCTTACTGGGTGAAAAACACATCTCATCTAACAGAGACATCTAAGATATTAAATGATTTTAGGCACATGCTCCAATTTTGTGGTGTCTCTTAAATGCTGGTGAAATATTAAGTCATATTTAAAATTTTTAGTAGCAGAAGTAAAAGCTTACAATGTTATAAGTGAAAAGAGCAGTACACAAAATTACTCAAATTCTATTCAAGTGTTATTGTTTATGAAAAGAAAAAAATGGGAAGGAAATCCAGTAAAATATTAGCAGTGGTTATATTCCTCTGGGCAGTGAGTAAATGTGATTTAAAATTTCTTCGTTATCTGAATTTTCCAACTTTTCAAGTATTAGTCACATAATTACAAATGTAATAAAATAAACTGCACCCCAAAAGATTTCATTAAATTATACACAGCATATATGTGTGTGTCTGTGTGTGTGTGTGTGTGTGTGTGTATATATATATATATATTTTTTTTTTTTAATTAGGCTGGGTGTGATAGCTCACATCTGTAATCCTAACACTTTGGGAAGCTGAGGTGGAAAGATCACTTGAAGACAGGAGTTTGGGATCAGCCTGGGCAACAAAGCAAGACCTTGTCTCTACAAAAAATTTTAAAACTGCGCTGGGTGCAATGGCATGTGCCTATAGTCTCAGCTACTCAGGAGGTTGAGGCAAGAGGATCACCGGAGCCCAGGAGTTTAGGCTGCAGTGAGCCATGATTACACCACTGCACTCCAGCCTGGGCAACAAACAAGACGCTGACTCTTTAAAAAAAAAAAAAAAAAAGTATACACTATATTACCAATTACTATATAAGAACAAATCATATAAAACAATGTGAAACTAAGTCCTGTTGCTGGACACATCAGAAGTCCCGCCAAATTTTTTTCACATATGGTATATACCTGACTTTTATTATATGTAAAATTACATGGAAAAAAACTGGGGCCATTGTCCAGAACAGTAATTACTCCTAAGTAGATGCCAGAATGACCTGCAAAGCTTTTTGAAAAGACACCTGCCTTGAAGATGTCTTTAAAGAGTAATTGAGTAGATCTGGAATTCTAGGTTCCTAGATGATTCTGATATGAACCCACTGACTGAGAATCTGGCTAGGGATCAAAAATATTTATTTGATCTGTGTTTTCTGTTGGAATGTTATCTAACCTTTAAATTACAAAACACACACACACTTCCCTGTAACTTCTGATGAATACCTTCTGATTTGCTTTTGCTCCTCTGGGTAAAAGACAAAGCTGTTGTGCCCAAGCAAGTCTTCCAGACATCCCCCGGACCAGCACAGTGACAGAGGGGAAAAAATCATCTAGAATAAAATATGTATATAAAAGTTTTAATTTCAGACAACAACCATTTAAAATAAACTTGTTATCAACTGCAGAGCTTCTCACAATCAAAGGCCCAACAGTGTTTCCTAAGCTTTGATCTTTTGTGTACCACCTCTGTGGTTTCTGCCATACCCATGTACTCTAAGTACTATTACTTTACATCAACCACTACTGTGCATCTCTAAATGGAAAATCATGAATTTTGGCATGCTAATTATATAATTTTAAAGCATATGCTTAAAAAAACATAAAATTATGTTCACTAATATATCAACTAAGATCATCTCACATACCTCCAGTGATACATGTACACATTTGTGGGAAACACTGTCCCAGTAAATACTCTTAACCTCCCAATGTTGGGAACACTTTAAGTGCAGAAAGATAGACTGGATGTTTGCAGTGTTAGTGTTATATTTGCCCATGCCTTTGTGTACCACTGCCCACCATAGGCAGACACTGTTCCATCTCAGCAGAAGTTCAGGGGCATGGTGGGGGTTAAAAAACACTCAGAATGGACTTCCTGAGTGACCCAGATCCTTCTTTTTATTCTTCCGTCTCAGGTGTGGGAGTCAAACGTCTTCAAATTTCTCTATAATTTCTTATTATTACAATAAACTACTAAAATGTCCTTGTAAATCTATACAATTCCAACTGCTTATATTTTTGGTAAACTTCCTATGCAATGAAATTATTTGGAATGAAAGTAGGAGAGTCTTTAAAAAGCTGGAAAAAGGCCAGGAAGCCTGAAGGGGACACTGGGATTTTGCAGACTCCTCAGCAGATGGCTTGGGAGTAGGAGGCTGGAGGAATCATGAATAGGCACAGGCTAGGAAAGAAACTCAAGCAAGCTCCAGGTCTAGGGTAGAAAAGGATGAAATGCCTGTAGAAAAGACTTGGGAGTAGCACTTCTGAAGTTAGGCAGTAATAAAACGCACCATTCTATTTGATATTAATGTCACGGCATCTCACCACAACACAACAGAAGGTTATGATGGTATTCTTTTCATCTCAAACTACAGGGAAATGTCTCACTTTCACTTTATGGATTTATGAGCTCCTACTCATATAATCAACAAAATTAGCACAGGACTCTTCACCTTTACAAAGGCAAGAAGGCAAATCTTTAATCACTAAGCAAGTCCTATCACTGCACAACAACAATAACAGAAAGGGACAATACAGGGTTTAGAAAATCTGGGCTCTAGTCCCAAGTAACCCTGGGCAAGTCATACACCCTCTGTGAGTCTGAGTTTTTCACTCATAACTAAGGGAATTGTGTACCAAGTGATTCCATGGGTCACTTTATACCCACATATTCTGTAACCTTCACTCTCCTTCCCCTTCCCAGCAACAAGGGTCTGAGAACATGCTTCTTTTACATACTGGCTGATGCCAATTATCATCAGAAAAAAAAAAATGTACTTGTGGATAGTTTGGGTCGCAGTTTTTATCACATATTGTGAGATGGCTTATAACTGAGGGGGAGGGAAAGGAGGAAAACAGTGCATGTTGTGTTGATGGAAAATCACTGCAGGGTTTTCAGTAGGGCACTGCATGGTCATTTGTAGTTGAGGATGAATACCATGGTGGCAGCAAGTAGGATGGAAGTAGGGAAAACACATGTTAGAACTGGCAAGGGGTTTGGGGGTTGGAGGAATCACAGTAGGTAGGAAACAACTGTAATAATCTAGGTGAGAAATATTAAGGACCTGCACTTGGATGTATCGGGAAAATACAGAGGAAAGGAAAGGTCCAAGGGTCCCTGGGAAGATGGAAACTTAGAAACTAATTACATAAGTGAGTAACAGGAAGGAGCAGGTAAAGATAACTCCTCAAATTTCTAGCCTATGTAGGTGGCACCAACAATTGATATAGAACATGAGGAGTGAGAGGGAGGGGAGCAGAGGGGCAGGATCCAAAGTTTAAAGGGGAAGAAAAAGTGACAAAGATAAACAACACAATGGATCCCACTAAAACATCACCTTCTATAAAACTACAGAGCTAGTTCAGATGCACATCAAGAGCCTTTAAAAGACTCTATCTAATATGTATATTCTATTTTTTGGCCTCCTATTTTTCAGGTGCTATCGTCCCACAGCTAGAAGTCTTTCTGACCTACTTTGAATCTGTAGGCTGTCCTTCCCAGATCCTGGAAACAGCTTCATGGTACTGGTAACACTGATTAAGCAGTAGAGAAGGCTCAAAGTACTAAAACTTACTCTGCTCATTTCCAAGAGGTTGTTCCAGCATTGCCAGGATGACACTGTTATCCAAGACAAAGTACCGGAAACTATGCTTGTTTATGGTTGGCAGCCTGGAGTATTTAATCAAAGTGGTCTCATTCACAAGACTACAAGGAGAGGCAGGACCACTAGGTGAAGGAAATGCGCCGAGCAACTGCATAATGCTACGGAGAATGGAAAAGATAACAGTTAATTCCCAAAGCAAAATCTTCAGTTTACCTTGTGCATCAATGTGTCCCCTTTCACTCTTCTGAATTTTAGTGGACCACAGCCATGCTTCTCGACAGGTCAGATTTACTCCTTGTAGTGAATGCCATGGCATACTGTCCAGACTCTCCCCTCCAAGATTAAAAAGCCCTTTACCCCAGATGCATATTTGTATGTCTATTTCAGAGACATTTAATCTGCCTTTCCAGTCTGGTTCATATCCAGAAGAGAAAATACGGTTAAGCTGGTATAATTTGATCTCAGTGACCTACTCCCTTACAGGCAACCTATTTGATTTGATATCTTAGAATCTTGCATGGAATACAGCAAGCTCATATTCCACATGCTCTTTTTTTTTTTTTTTTTGAGGCAGTCTCACTCTGTCACCCAGGCTGGAGTGCAGTGGTGCGATCTTGGCTCACTGCAAGCTCCGCCCTGGGTTCATGCTATTCTCCTGCCTCAGCCTCCCGAGTAGCTGGGACTACAGGCGCCCACCACCACGCCCGGCTAATTTTTTGTATTTTTAGTAGAGGCGGGGTTTCACCCCGTTAGCTAAGATGGTCTCGATCTCCTGACCTCGTGATCCGTCCGCCTCAGTCTCCCAAAGTGCAGGGATTACAGGCGTGAGCTACCATGCCTGGCTCCATATGTTTTGTGACAACCATCTCTATCCCATTTTAGAAAACCAAAGCCATATTTTCTCATTATTGATCTCCTGGTGTTTAAAAGCCATATTTTCTCATTATTGATCTCCTGGTGTTTCTCCTATTTTCTGCAAACCATTAGAGGCCTGAACTAATGCCAAGTTCTCCTGGTCCCTGAAGTTCTGAGGCAGTCTTCCTTTTAGGAGGAGAGGAAATGGAAGAAAAATAATCTGTTGAGCAATGTTCCTTTCCATTGTTAGAGATCTTTGGGTTCACACCTTAGAGTGAAAGAGGAGAGGCCATTCAAGTTGAGATTTGAGATGACAAATGTGTTGTGGAATACTGGTTTTCCAAATGAGATGCATATGAAGGGGTGGATGATATTAGAATCACAAGATAAAATCTTTGTTTCAAGATACTTTCTTTCTGTGCTACAGTTCCTTCATTACAAAATGGGAATAATAATGGTACCTATCTGATGGACTTGTTATAATATTATGTGATATAATATCATATCACAACAATTCACATAATATCCTAACAATCCTATTCTCATAGGTACCACTATTATTCCCATATACCATTATTACTCCTATTTCATATTATATGAAATGCTGTTTCATATAATATCATGAACTTGTAGATAGATTTAAAAATCCCTGTGGACTTGAAGGAAATGTTCTGACAATGTGCTTTGGGAGTCTATCTGTTCAATATTTTTATCAATGTATTTAGAACACACAGGGTATGCTCATTAAATGTGCAGTTGACCAAAAGCTGAGCTGCAGAGATAATATACCATAGAAACAGTTGAGATCCAAAAGAATCTTAAAGACTAAAAATAATGAGGTAAATCTTAGATGAAGAAATTTCAGGTTTAAATGTAAAGTTCTGTGCATTACTTTCAAACACTCCCAAACAAGTACAGGATGAGAAAAACAGATGAAAGGTAAACGTGTGAAAAAAAAACTCAGAGATTTTAGTTGACTTAATGCAAATCACCAAGTTCTCAAAAATGCAATGCAGTCTGAGTACATTTTAATGAAAACGTAATATTATACAGAGTTTAAAGATCATTAAAACATATCTAGAATATTGTACTCTGCTGGGTGCAAGTGGCTCACACCTATAATCCCAGCACTTTGGGACGCCGAGGCGGGTGGATCACCTGAGGTCAGAAGTTCGAGACCAGCTTGGCCAACATGGCGAAATCCCGTCTCTACTAAAAATACAAAAATCACCAGGGTGTGGTGGCAAGCCCCTGTAGTCCCAGGTACTCGGGAAGCTGAGGCAGGAGAATTGCTTGACTCTGGGAGGCAGCAGTTGCAGTGAGCCAACATCATGACATTGCACTCCAGCCTGCATGACAGGGCGAGACTCTGTCTCAAGAAAAAAAAAAAAATAATAATAGAGTATTATACTCTGTAAACCACCTGTAAGAGGCGCATAGTCAAACCTATGCCAGTTAAGAATAACCAGGATGATAAAGGTACTTGAATCTTTGTAATATTTAAAACAAACAAACAAACAAACAAAACAAAAAAAAAAAAAATGAAGGTAATGGCGGAAGTGAACCAGAGAGAACATGAGGACTGCTTTTGGATACTGCTACTGCCTGGACAAAAAGGATTTAATGATCAAAAGTATGAATCAGAACCAATGCATAGAAGTGGGAGAGATTTTAGCTCGATGTAAAGTATCAAGTCTTTAACAAAATGAAATAGGCAAGCTTGGGGGTTAGAAAATCTCCAAATTAGAGGCTAAATAACTTGGTACACATGTCTTAAAGGTGACAGGAAAAGGGACTGTTGAAATGACTTCCAAGAGCCCTAATCCTGAATTTGTATTAGTGTACACAGAGGGGAAAAAAAGCCTAACCAGCTAATCTGTACTCCATAATTTTCTACTATGTGTTCAGCATTGTGTTGGCAAAGAGGCCAACGTGCTCTCTACCAAGACTGGGGAGACAACACTAGCACGCATCACACATAACCAGGTATAATCATGACAGTATAAAATTCCACGCTGTGCATTAGGGTCAGAGAGAATGAGCACAGAAGTGCAGAAAAGAGTCATCTTTAGAAGCGGAATAACCAAAGGCCCCATGGAGGTAGCCTGATTTGCTATAAGCACTGAACAGTGGAAGATGTAGCCAAAGGAAGAAAAAAGAGGTCCTGAAACCCAGGGGAAGAGCATAAACAGGTGTAAGCACAGCCAGTTCGTAGCCACAGTGCTCTGTCAGGCCTGACAACGGCAGAAGAGACAAGCTGCAAAGCAGTGGTGGAAAAGATCAGATGGTGCCCTTGAAAACCAAATCGAGGAGTTTAGACAAGGAAGGAAACAGATCTACTCAAGGTTTTCAATCATTCAAGCAGTAGAATCAAAATTGTGCTTAAGGATGATGAGTTTTGCAATAGAATAAAAGATGAACAAGAAGGGCTAAGAGATCAAAAATAGGGCAACTGGGCAAGAAGTGAGGAGGGCCTGGACTAGGATGCTATCCAGGTTGGAGAGAATGGAGGAACTACTTTACAAAAATAAAATCTGTTTAACTCAGTCACTGGCTTTACATGGGGAATGACAGAAAGACAAATCAGACAAACAGCCAAAGTTCTGTGTTTGCATAACTGGCAAACAGCAATGATACTAACACAAAGCAGCAATTGTGAGAGAACACAGAAATCTGGTTAGGGACACGTTTCATGACGACAGTTAAGACTGAAAACTGGAGATACCATTTGTCGAGTTGCTAGCAGAGACAAGACAGCTAAAGAGAAACAGATAAGCCATCTAGCTTACTGGTGAGGTTGAGAAGAAGCATCCCAAGACTCTACTCACCCTGAGCACAGATGCAATCCTCACTGCCAGTCATGCACTCATAGAACACCCCGTCCAGGCTAGGATGGAGCAAGCTTATTTTTGCATAATGAGAAATGTCCCCTCCTTTCTCTCCATATCCTTCTTACTCTTCAAGACATACATCAAGTTTTAGTTCCATGACACCTTTTTTTTTTTTTTTCTGAGATGGAAGCTCACTCTGTCATCAGGATGAAGCACAGCGGTGTGATCTTGGCTCACTGCAACCTCTGTGTCCTGGGTTCAAGCGATTCTCCTGCCTCAGCCTCCTGAATAGCTGGGACTACTACCACGCCCAGCTAATTTTTGTATTTTTAGTAGAAGCGGGGTTTCACCATGTTGGCCAGGATGGTCTCAATCTCTTGACCTTGTGATCTGCCCTCCTCGGCCTCCCAAAGTGCAGGGATTACAGGCATGAGCCACTGTGCCCGGGCCTATGACACTTTTAAGGCTCCCCTGGCCCACATATGGTCTTCTTTCTGAACTTGTATTACTTCTAGTATTCATCATCAGCATAAGCGCATGTTTCAGTAGCTGTATTCACATTTTTTAAAATATTATTTTCTAGCTATTTGCCAAACCTCCATAAAGTCACCGAAAGTCCAGTATTTGCATAGTGAGCAGGACTAAATGACAGGAAGCACTCTTCTAAAACTTCACTGAATGACTTAAGCCCACAGGATCAGAAACAAATTCAACTTCATTGTGCATGTCCCAAGTAAGCAACAGGCCACTAAACTCGTAGAAGATGCTGGGATCTTGGTAAGGGCTGACTTACACACACATTTTCAAGCAGTTTTGCCTGCTTTACTAAGACCAAGATGCCCCAGCCCAGACTGACTTGCCACTACTCCTTTCTGCTTTTACATTTTCTGAGCCTTCATCTGCACATGTCCTTTCATGAGCCTCATCTTTCCATGTGTACTATGGTTCCACCTAATCTTCACTAACTGTTCCGTTCAGTCCACAAATGTGGCTAAGCTGCCTTCCTTCCCTCTTTCCACTATGCTCACTTACAAGCCAAACATAAACTCTCTCAACTTTCTCTGCTACTCTTTTTCAAGATACCAAACTCCCTGTTTTTACTCCATTACTACACCAAAATGCTCAAAACAGCAGTCTTGGTGCCTTCTTACCCACCCTGTACTCTGGCTTGTGGCTCAAACTTGACCCATCCTCTCAGAGTCAGGTCCAATGTCATTTTCCCTAAGAATGTTACTCTGACTTCCCCTTATCTGGAAGTATTCATTTCTTCCTTCCAACTCCCTAGCATTTTATTTATACCTCTTCTCTTGGAGCACTTATTTTCCACCTAATATTATAGCTATTTGTGTTCATATTTTATCTTCCCTACCAGACAAGATGGTAGACATAATGGTGACTAAATCAGATTTATCTTTATGATCCTATTCTCAGTTCTTAGGAGAGTTCATAAATCTTGGTTGAATGAACCTATACTATATAATATAAATGGTATAGCAGAGAATACAGACCACTGAGCTGTAAAGCAGATCTAATAGTGTAACCACAGAGAGACAGACACCATCTCTGGACTTAGCATCAAAGTGAGGGGGTACAGTAAGTCTAGCTCTAACACGGTATGACTTGATTAACATCAAATGGTATAGAAAAAGAAGAACTCAAACTCTCAATCCCAAGTTCCTAGTTTCTTTTGGTCTAAAAAACAGGTAAAAAATATATATATAGATTTTCTTTCCATTTTGTTTCTGGAGAAAAAGTATCCTAAAGGGGCTGCATAACACAATGCTGAACAATCGGGAAGGAAAGGAAACAACATGGATCACTGCTAACCCCATCTAGTTCCTAGGCACAATCCCTGTGCGGTCACTTCCATACCATGTTAGGGTGGCTTCAGCAGCATCCTTTACCCTCATAGATGCAGGGTTTGGCTCCTTATCTCCTTTGTACTTGACCTCTTGCTCGCTGTTCCTGGACTTACTTCCTGAGATACCCAGTTCCACAATCTCCAGTACTTCCTTAAGGCAGTCCTAAAAGCAGGAAAGGCAGATCAATTTTTGTAACACATCTTTCTCATGAGAAGACAAGGAAATCCAACCACATGCTAGCAGTGGTTGTGTTTTGGTGGAAGGGCTCCAGATTCTTGCTAATTTCTTTAATTAGTATATATTAACTTCATAGTAATACAATAAACTTTACACCCCCACCCCCCAATTTCTCTTTAAAGAACTAAATTTTGGTGTTTAGAGTGTTAGATAAATAAATTCAATTCAACTTTCTTGTTAAATTACCAAAGACTGTAAATCACAAAAGCACAAACCAAAGAGATTAAATAATAATTCAGTTAAGCCTGGGATAGTGTAACCACAGAGAGACAGACAGCATCTCTGGACTTAGCTATCAAAGTGAGGGGGATGGTTTAAGACATATTATTAATATCCAAAGGAAATCTTGTCACTGACATTTTTAGGTAATTTCTGGTATTATAACTTCAGAAGCCATAATGAAAATGACTAAGATTTAATCAACAATATTATTCCTTAAACTACATAAAGGTCTCCATAAATATCGAATGATCTCTCCTTTTATTTGCACTGTAAATTCCTTATAACACCTGCTTCCCTATAAGGAAGACATTACGTGGAACAATGGTAGGGAACGTGGACTAGTTATCTGCGTCCACTTGAGAGTGAAGAAATGAGTATGGAGTAACATATTTCCATAGAAGCAACCTTTAGGACGAGCTGTGCTCTAGGTTTGCAGTCTGGCAATCATCTGCCCTTCTTTGTTTGGTGAAGGGTGACCGAAGTGCCTACTAGCTATCTCCAGGCTACCATCCTTTCAAGAAACAACAGTCTTGATAGTTCAGATAAATTAGTCAAGGTCCCATCTTTCTGAAGAATTTCTCTATGACTTAATTTGCAACCAAATGTAAGCAAAATGAACAGTTTTCAAGTTGTACCCAAAAGGACAAGTGTTTCACTGTAATCTAACAAGTATTTTCAGTTTATAAAGTGTACAATACTGTATTTACATTTAGATATTCTCTTTCAAAAGGCATTTTGCTAGCACACATTTTTGTTTTTACTTAATGGTTTAAAATAAAATAAACTCACCTTTTCATCAAGCATATCAGGGTGCTCTGTCAGCCAGACACAGAGACACTGAAAAGCTGCCACTATCATGGAGTGCAGATCCCTAGAGTGAAAAGGAGCTGGCCGACTACACTGATACACAATGTAGCTGCACACAGAACTGATGGCTCGCTTCCGGTCTCCTGAGTCAACCATCACCTTTACCTAAGCATATTCATTTGGAGAACAAAAACAATCAGCCAGGAATTACTGTACCAATTTCAAAGCATTTGCACTGAAGTTTGACCTATTTGACAATGTGATACATTATAGGAAGCCTTGCTTTTTTATATTATGTATATATAGGAACAGATTATTTCAGATGTATTGTAATACTCCCCCCAAAACAGTGGCATTTTTCAAGTGCTGAAACAGTATTTCATTTTAGCATAGTTTTTCATGCCCTAAAACCCAAACCCATTGGGTACACCTGTCCATCATTGCCAGAGACTGAAAGAACATGGGCACATTTTTAAACCCCTAACCCAACCTCACAGTGATGCTCTAGGTTCTGCAGAAAGTTCTGTGCAGCTGCTCAGAGGCATAACTGTCATACAGTAAATTGCCCAATATTTCAAGTATACAACTGGTCAATTCTGACGTAAGTATGCACCTGTGAACTACCACCACAATCGACAGTGGATATATCTATCACCTCCAAATCTCTTCATGCACCTTTGTAATCCTTCCTCCTACTCCTCTTTGCCCCTCTCCCTAAGCAACCGCTGATCTGCTGTCACTATGGACTAGCTTGCATTTTCTAGAGTTTAAAGAAATAAAATCATTTAAAAGTCATACAATATGTACCTTTTTTTGGTCTGGTTTCTTTCACTCAGCATAATTATTTTCAGATTTAGCTACACTTTTGGGTGTATCAATTATTCATTCATTTATATTGCTGAATAGTAGTCCATTACATGGATATACCACAATTTATCTAGTTACCTATGAACGGACATTGGGTTATTTCCAGCTTCTGGATATTATAATTACAGCTGCTATAAACATTCATGTACAAGGTATTTGTATCGATATATGTTCTCTTATCTCCTAGGAGTGGAATTATTGGGTCATATGTAGGTGTATGCTTACCTTTTTAAGGAACAGCCAAGCTGTTTTCCAAAATGGTGGTTCCATTTAACATTCCCATCAACAGTTCCTCCACATCCTCACCAACATTTGGTATGGCCAGTCTTTTATACTTCAGCCATTCTAAGAGATTTGCAGTGGTATCTCATCATGGTTTTAACTGCATTTCCCTAATAATTAATGATATTGAGTATTTTTTCATATGCTTATTTGTCATCTGTGTATCGTCTCTGATAAAACATCTATTCAAATCTTTTGCCCAATTTTTAATTGGGTTGTTTGTTGTATTATTAAGGGCTTTTGTTGTTGTATTTTGTCTTCTTAAAAGATTTTATTAGAAGTCTTTACAAGGCAACATCCAGACTCCAGATCCAGCTGCCAAGGAGACCCTATTACGCAGCTGGGGCTGGGTAGAGCATGGCTTCCTAATCTGTCCTGAGATGGGCATGGCGAATAGTATCTCATTTTTAGGGTCCACAGTGCTCACGTGGTCAGGCAGGGGATTCTTAAGGCCAATCTTACCACTTGGGCACAGAACGTATGAGCTTCACTCTGACGCGCAACAAACCCTGTCTTATCAGCACATGGTAGATGGTGGTATCAATGTAGCAGTTAACAGGGTCCCTGCTATGGATCATCAGATGACACACAAAGTTCATGGATTCAGTTCTCTGTCCTTAGAGTTTCCCTGACACCATGAACTCGCAGCCCTTGCCCCACTCTCCATAATGAACCATAGCACACTACAGAAGGCTCTCCTCACAGCAAACCCTAATAGTGGTTTACAGTACAGACTCTGTCTGGGCAATGGCATAGAGAATTCTTTTAGGCCACCTTTTCAGCATAAAGCTTTACCTGCCCTCAAGGAAACCAAACCTCTTCTGAACTACCTCGGCCAATTCACAGATCCAGTGGTTCTTTTCACGAAGAACATTCTGCATCCTGGAGGCTAAGGTAGTTATTTCTATCCTGGTTGTTACAACTTGGACCTTAACCCCAGAGTAGTCACCTTCTGCAAGCTTCTGAGTGAAGAACTCGCTCAGTTTACTTCTTAAGATGCTATCAAACTTCCTCTTCTTAGAAATTTTCACTGCCATATTGCTGCTGTGCACCACCAAAAGGAAAGGCTATTATTGGGTTCTGAGAGTTCTTTATGTAATCTGAATACAAATCTTTCATCAAATATATGCTTTGTAAACATTTCCTCCCAGCCTGTGATTTGTCATCTCACTCTTTTAACTGTGTTTACTAAAGAACAGTAGTTTTAAATTTTGAAGTCCAACATACCAGTTTGTTCTTCCACAGCGTAACATCTAAGAAATCTATCCCAAGGTCACAAAGATTTTCTCCTGTTTTCTTCTGGAAGTTTTATAGTTTAGTTTATACATATATATTTATGTAATAGAGACAAAGTCTCACTATGTTGCCCAGACTGATCTCATCTTGCCTCAGCCTCCCAAAGTGCTGGGATTATAGGCATGAACCACCGTGCCCAGCCAGTCTGAGTTAATTTTTGTTCACAGTGCAAGGTATGAATCAAAATTTTTTGTTTTTTGTACATGAATATCCAATTGTTTTATAGTACCTCTGGTTGAAAAGACTATCCTTTCTCCTTTGAATTACCTTTGCACCAAAAATCAGATAACCACTTATGTATGGATATACTATTTTCTTCCACCAATCCATTTGTCCACCCCTATGCCAATACCAGGCTGTTTTGATTTACTGTAGCCTTACAGTAAATCATGAAATCAGGAAGTGTTAGCCCTTTATGAATTGTTAGGCAGGTCCAGAGCAGTGCTCCATCTAGGACTAATTATTCCTTACTACTGAGTGTACTAAAGGTCACAGGAAACAGTACCTTGCTCTCAAAGACAGCAGTGTGGTCCTGTGTGTCTCACAAATGGCTGTTTTTTATTTTCTGTACCAGTAAGTGCTTCTCGCAAAATTATGATGTCCATTCTGGAGGATCTTTGAGGTAAACTCTAAGTGGTGGTAAGAACACCTTAGGTTTTATCGCTTATTTTGTTTCTTATGGCTTAGGTAAGTCACAGCCTCTGACACCTATTCCCACAACTAAAAAATGAGGATTTGAACCGTATCATCCCAGACAGTAGCACCTGTTCATCAACTTTTTGTTCACAAAATATTTTCTATATTTCCTCAATTATATATTATATGTAAGATAATCTTGCTCACCTTACTGATAAGAAAACACTTAGACATTAGAGAAAATCCAAAGAAAGTGAAACTCTCACACATTGGGAATGTAAAATGATTCAGTCACTATGAAAAACAGTTTGGCAGTTCCTCAAAAAGTTAAACATAGGGTTACCGTATGACCCAGTAATTCTGCTCCTAGGTGTACATTCAAAAGAATTGAAAACTGGTATTCAAACAAATACATGTACATACATGTTCACAGCAGCACTACCTGACAACAGCCTAAAGATTAAAACAACCCAAATGTCCATCAACTGATAAACGGATAAACTGGGGTATACACACACAATGAAATATTATCCAATCATAAAAGGGAATACAGTTGTGACACATTCTACAACATAAATGAAACTTGAAAACATTACGCTTAGTGAAAGAAACCAGACACAAAAGGTTACACATTGTATGATTCCATTTATATGAAATGTCCAGAATAGGTGGATCCATTGAGACGAAATGCAGACTGGTGGTTGTCAGAGGAGTGGGGTGGGTAGACTGAAGCAAAACTGCTTCATGGGTATGGGGCTTCCTTTAGGGATGATAAAAACATTTTAGACCTATAAGTAGAAGTTGCTCAACACTGTGAATGTGTCAAGTCACTGAATTGTTTGTTTTTAAATGGCTAATTTTATATTATACAAATTTCATCTCAAAAGAAAGAATACACTTAGAAAAGCACAAATGACCACCAAGTTCTAAGTTTCCACAAAACTGAAATAATGGCTGTGAAAGAAATCTGAAAAGTGTAGCTAAGGCTGGGAGCAGTGGCTCACACCTGTAATCCTATTACTTTGGGAGGCCAAGGAGGGTGGATCACTTGAGGTCAGAAGTTCGAGATCAGTCTGACCAACATGGTGAAACTCCATCTCTACTAAAAGTACAAAAATTAGCTAGCTGTGATGGCGTATGCCTGTAATCCCAGCTAGTCAGGAGGCTGAGGCAGGGGAATTGCTTGGAAGCAGAGGCTGCAGTGAGCCGAGTTTGCACCATTGCACTACAGCCTGGGCGACAGAGTAAGACCCTGTCTCAAAAAAAAAAAAAAAAAAAAAAGTGTAGCCAATTTTCACTTATCTCTGATAATGGAGGATGGCAGAGCCACAGGTAATCCCAAATGGTATACATTAGGATAACCATTTTTTACAAAATCAATATGTATTTTATTATCATATGCAAATAAATAAATGACAAGTATTGAAATGTTTCCTATAATTTAACAGTAAAAATCTCTTTCATACTCTTTGAATCTATTTTAAAAAGTAAAGTTCATTTCATAGAATATCACTTGGAGGGTTAACTTTGCACACTTTGGATATAAACTATGTTTGAGTATGATCAACACTAAAATACCCACACAAGGGGTCAAGAGATACAGAAAAAAGAACCACGGCCCAAGGCTGTTGGGTTAAAATAAAAGGACTGTCTTCCTCACCTTTGCAAGGCCAGAGAGGAGCTCTAAAGCTGCCAGTGATATGCTCATGTCTTGGCGCCACTGGGAGTTGAGTCTTTGGGTGACGAGATGAATGCTGCGAATCAGGAGCCCAGCAGCTGAATCTGTATTAAGAGCTAGGATATAACCCCAATGCCACATCCCACAGGGAGGGAAAACAACTAAGCATTAGTAACGAGAAGCACAGCATCCACTAGGCACAGACCACAGCAGCCACAGTGAGAACGACAGGCACCCACACAGTGCTACGTTCCCCACCCCACTGGATTGAGTGCCAAGCCCAACTACACAGTGCACAGGCATATGTGCTAGACCAGAGCAGCTTCTAGCTCCTGGTTCATGCACTTTCACACAACTGTGGGATTTGGCAGTTTCAGTGTCATTTTTATAACAACGTAAATCTTAAAGTTTCTAAATTATCAACTCATAGAGAGGTACATTTTCAAAAAGAGTGATGAAAAGGCTATCAATCATTTCCTTCAAACTTTATAGAGGAAAGAATTCTAATTTTACAGCCTCCTCAGACGCTGGGAAGTACTCTAAAGCAAGCATCTGTTGAAATTACTTACAGGGTTTAAGCCATCAAAACTCACATGCAATGCCTTTTCAAACACACTTTAACATTTAATTCTCCAGGATTACTTTAATACTTCTAAAAAAATTAAATAACCAAGCCACACGTATTTTTATTTGGGCTCCAATCTATATTTAAAAGCAATCACTAGTTAGCTAGTAGGAAATTAGGAAAAATTAAATAAGGACAAATTAAACTGAATTTATAAAGGAAGCTTTAGGGACATTATACCTGTCGATCCTATCAGAAAGAGGGCAGTGACAACAGAAAAAGGAATGATCATTAAAGAGAGACACTCATGCGACACTAACACAAATCAGGATTTCTTAGTAAAAAATAGTTTACGACATTACAAGCAGAGCTCACTAACACCAGTTCAAAATGCTAAAACAAACAATAATCACTTAAAACATTTATATTAGAACACATGCAGTAATGAAAAATTTCTTTTTTTCTTTGTTTTTGTTTTGTTTTGTTTTGAGATGGAGTCTTGCTCTGTTGCCCAGGCTGGAATACAGTGGCGCAATCTCGGCTCACGGCAACCACTGCCTCCCGGGTTCAAGCGAGCCTCCTGCCCTGACCTCCCGAGTAACTGGGATTACAGTTGCCTGCCACCATCCCCAGCTAATTTTTGTATTTTTAGTAGAGATAGGGTTTCACAGGCTGGTCTCGAATCCCTGACCTCAGGTGATCCACCCACCTTGGCCTCCCAAAGTGCTAGGATCACAGGCGTGAGCCACTGCGCCCAGCTAGTATTGAAAAATTTATTTAGCTTAAAGATGTTTTAGAAAGCATGAAAAATAATTTTCAACCTATAGAATGCCTAAATCTACATACACAGTGAATAAGATAATTTAAATAACTTCTTCACAAATACAATATTTAAATGTGTCAAATATCCACATAATGGCTTTATATATCTGACATGTTCAAGGATACTTGTTGCAAACTTAAACCATAGAAACATGCCTCACGAATTCATCAACTCACGAACATGGCTCATGACATGCCTCATGAACCTCATGAACATGGCTGATGAACTCTCCAGATGATTAAAAAATTAAACTCACATCTAAGAATCTAGATATCACTTCAATCTAGTTGGATAAGTGCTCACAGATTCAATACACCGTTAGTACTTGTGCAGAAAAACATAAAGGTACCCACAAACTCACAGAACCCATAAAACAACTGCCCAAGGTAGGGGACAACCTTGTATAGGATGCTTGGCTGGCAAATGTTTTAGTTGGCAGGACAAAAAATAAAAATGTTTCAGGGCTAATGAATCTAGTGAGCTATAGTAGGGGGTACACAGGTTTTAACATGAAGACACGCTTTCCTCTGGGCTGCTATCTAATACATCCCCCATCACCCTCCTTGCCACACTGCAATAACTGCCTTATTGGACATCTCTGCCACTACACTGTGAGCTCTGAGGCAGAGCCCACATCTTATTTGGTTCTCTACCACCACACATAGTAGAGAATTCAGAAATGTTTCCTGATCACCCATTACCATCAATTATAAAATCTAATATACTACCCCAAATCTAATATACTACCCAAAAGCTATACAGCTAAATTAAAAAGATTTGTTTTCTTTTTCTTAGCTTAAGACTGACATCCTCTCTACTACACTAAGGTACATAAAAAACATGAACATTAAAATTTTTAATGTTTTTGTTTTATAAATGTAAGCATTAAAGTCATTCTATTAAACTTTGAATTTCAAAAGAAACACAACTAACCATAATCTCTTAAGAGAGCTTGAGCAGGTCTCTCACTATCGGGAGTCGTGGGCTCCGTGCTTCCACCACTTGTTGAACTAATACCACTATTGGTGCGACTATGACTCTTCAGGTTATTTTCTCCACCACCCTAGTCAAATGAAAATGAATCAAGTGTTTGAGGGTTACATCACAGTTTACGAGTATAAATAAAGGTCAATCATTAAAAACCATGTTGATAAAGCAGAATGTGCCAACTGAATAGTACAAACTGATAGTAATAGATAGAAATTGACAAGGGATTAAAACCACTGTGGTATTTTTTTACATAGATACATCTACTGGAGGGTATGAAGGGTTTGACTACTACAGGTGCCCATACTGGGGTCTTCTTTGTCACTATTTACAAAGGGCTGGCCCAGCTTTTTCATCTTTACTAGACTTCACTAGATTCCAGGTCCTTAAAAAAAATACCCTAGTGCCTCCCAAGCAAAACTTCAGAACAGAAATATAAGCTTAAAAAGCATGAATAAACAAACAGTAACTTTCAAATATAGTTATATCAGAAAACACAAACAATAAAATACCAGGATTAGTATTAACTCCCATATGTATAGGGGCTAATAAACCTATCTGTTAGACTTCCCTCGTTTTTCCCCCATATGAACACAGTTCATTATACTCAGATCAGTAAATTATTATTAACCATCTACTGAGACACGAATGTAATTTCCTCAATAATAATTTGATCACCCATCCTACATCTACTCAACTTACTACATATACCCAACTTACCCCAGTATACCCTATTAACCCCCCCATTCTCCTGCCTCTACTCCAAGTATAGGGATGATATATCTTGAAGACAAAGCAGAGAGCACTGGAAGTCTCTGAGAAGCATTTTTGATTTAGAAGCATTGGTGCTTTGAGGGACCTGTAAACTTAGGTCTAGAGGGGTTACAAAGAATTGATGGGAAAGAAAAAGTTAAAGTAGTTGCTTGCTGGCTAGGACTTTTCCTAGGTTATTCCACCAAGTTTGCCACCACAGCAAAACAAGTAAGAGTTTAAGTAGATACTGTTCAGAAATAAAGACTGGATTTAGCTGTAGTTTCTCTCATACAGAATCTCTTGGGAACCTGATGTACAGCTGATGAGGCACTGAAAAGTAAACCTCAAAATATATGTTATTTTTAAAAAGAATCCTTCTGAGCCAATGAGCAGGATTTACAAACTAAAGGCCTTTAAAATTCACAAAGATGGACATTTTGGAATATAATTTACATAAAATCCAAAAGTGATATTCTCTGACAGATTACATGTATGCTTCTTACCATCTCCATCTGGCAACCAATGGCTTCCAGAAGTGCTGAATCTTGAACAATATTTAACATTGCCCCTGCAACAACAACAAAACAGTATTTTATATAAAATACACAAGAACACTAAAACGGCTAAAACATTTTAAATGATTAATAGTAGAGATAAGAATATAATTTTGGTTGAGCATTCCTGAAATACCCATGAAAGTACAGTTGGCTCTTAAACAACATGAGCTTGAACTGTACATATGCATGTGTTTTTTTTTTTTTTTTTAATAGAGACATGGTTTCACTGTGTTAGCCAGGATGGTCTTGATCTCCTGACCTCGTGATTCACCCACCTTGGCCTCCCAAAGTGCTGGGATTACAGGCGTGAGTCACTGCGCCTGGCCCATATGCAGATTTCTTCAATAAACATGTTAGAAAGCTTTCTGGAGATCTGTGACAATTTGAAAAAACTCCCAAACTGCATAACCTAGAAATATTTAAAAAAAAAAAAAAAAAAAGGCCAGGCACAGTGGCTCATGCCTATAATCCCAGTACTTTGGGAGGCCAAGGTGGGGCGGGAGGTCAAGAGTTCGAGACTAGCCTGGTCAACATGGTGGAACCCCATCTCTACTAAAAATTACAAAAATTAGCCAGGCGTGGTGGTGTGCACCTGTACTCTCAGCTACACAGGAGGCTGAGGCAGAAGAATTGCTTGAACCTGGGAGGCGGAGGCTGCAGTGAGCCGAGACTGCACCACTGCACTCCGGCTTGGACAACAGAGTCAGACTTCATCCCAAAAAGAAAAAAAAAAAAGAGAGAGAAAGAAAAGAAATATTTAAAAAATTAGAAAAAGTTAAAATTGGCTGGACATACTAGCTCACGCCTGTAATCCTCCACTTTGGGAGGCCGAGTCAGGAGGATAGCCTGAAGTCCTAGGAGTTTGAAACCAGAGTGGTTTCAACAAAGCAAGACCCTGTCTCTAAAAATAAATAAAAAATAAAAAGCTAAAATTTATCAAAAAACTTACATACACAAACACTTACAGACCATACATGATGCCATTTGCAGTCCAGAGAAATGTAAACTAAGTTGCAGTATTAAATAACTGCATAAAATTAACTGTAGTACATACTGTACTACTGCAATCATTTTGTAGCCTCCTCCTGTTGTTACTGGGGTGAGCTCAAGTGTTAATGAGTATTCTGCTTAAAATACAATGTGATGTTAACCATCTCCATGTGAGTAGTTCATCTCTCTCATAGACTGAATACTGCAGTATCCATGGTTCTCATATATTTTCATCATGTTTACTGCAACACCATGAACCTTGACTAACACCATGGGACCCATAGGAAGTGCCACTAGTGATGCTGGAAGTGCTCCCAAGAAGCAGAGAAAAGTCATGACATTACAAGAAAAAGCTGAGTTGCTTGATATGTACTGTATATTGGGGTCTACAGCTGCAACTGTCCAACAGTTGAGATGATTTATCTTATAAACAATTTATGGTATCAATAAATACAGTACTAAAAATATATTTTCTCTTCCTTATGATTTTCTTTTTTTTGAGATGGAGTCTCACTCTGTCACCAAGGCTGGAGTCCAGTGGCATGATCTCAGTGTACTGCAACCTCCACCTCCCGGGTTCAAGCAAATCTCTGCCTCAGCCTCTGAGTAGCTGGGATTACATACAGGCGCCTGACACCATGCCAGGCCTTTTTTTTTTTTTGGCATTTTTAGTAGAGATGGGGTTTCACCATCTTAGCCAGGCTGATCTTGAACTCCTGACCTCATGATCCACCCACCTCCCACCGGCCTCCCACAGTGCTGGGATTATAGGCATGAGCCACCACGCCCAGCCTTTTTTTTTTTTTTTTGGAGACGAAGTTTTGTTCTTATTGCCCAGGCTGGAGTGCAATGGCATGATCTTAGCTCACTGTAACCTCCGCCTCCCGGGTTCAAGCATTTTCCTACCTCAGTCTCCCAAGTAGCTGAGATTACAGGCATGTGCTACCACACCCTGTTAATTTTTGTATTTTTAGTAGAGACGGGGTTTTACCATGTTGGCCAGGGCGGTCTCGTGAGCCACCCGCCTCGGCTTCCCAAAGTGCTGGGATTACACCGTGTATTTCTTAATAAAATATTCTTTTCTCCAGCATACTTTATTGTAAAAATTCAGTATATATTAATAATATTCATAAAATGCAAAATATATGTTAATCAACTGTTATTAGTAAGGTTTCTGGTCAATAGTAGGCTATTTTTAGGGAATCAAAAAGTTATATGTGGATCTCAACAGCTCAGGGAGTTGGCAAAAAACTCCATTTGTGAGTCTAGAAAATTGTGTCCACAATTAATGGCTTTTGAGACTTATGAAACCCTAAAAAACTTTTTGCCCAGATACAGACAATTCTAGTCACCTATTAATTAGGTGTCTCTGGATAAATATGGTTCTTGGCCACTGTGACCCATCTCTTCAGGATCTCTCTCTCTGTTTTAGAGGCCTTTTAGAAACCATTTCATGGATTGTGTTCCTGTTGGAAGGACATACACCCCACCTCCTCAGGGGCATGAGGGCTTAAACAGAATGTCTGATCCCACTTTTGAACAGATAAAAATCTAAGATGCTAGGAAGAAGCCTAATTCTTGTCTTGCTAATGAAGGGAAGAAAGCAAGCCTCTAACCACTGCCAAGGTCAAAGCATTCTCAGAGATCAATTGCTCCATAAGTAGGGAGTTCTAACTGCCACCCAGGTTTGTGGGCTGGGATGGTATTTGCATTCACATGGTTCAGTGGGTACTCCTGTTATGTGGTTGAGGAAAGCCCTACTTTCCTAAGAGCTTCCACTGTCAAGGGTAGTGATCTCAATACCCAGGGTTGCACTTCAGTGGCACTGAGACACAGAAGCAACAATTGAAAACCCTTTGCTTGCAAATGTAATACATTGCTGTTTACCCAATTTGAACATCATATTAGAGGAAGAAAAGAAGAATTCCTCTGTTCATCAGGGTCTCTCTGAAGATTTTCAGGGAGATAAGACTGTCTGTCCCTTAGTGCTAACAATAGATCTGTCAATCAACAAATACCTTATGATATATTTTGAAAAACATGTAAAAAGGGGGGAGTTCAAGCATTTAAACAAACAAAATAATTTCAGGTTCTGTGCTGTGAAAAAAATTATGAAATAAGATCATCTTTAGCAAAGTCTGTTAGGGAAGCTCTCTCTAAGAAGATGATGAAGAAAAGCTAAACAAAAATCTAGGGAAAGAACATTCCAGCAGGAGGGATACAAAGTAAAGTTCTGAAGAAATCATGAGCTACTATGTTCTAGAGAAAAAGGACTAGGAGGAAAGTACAGACTGACGAGACCTGTAAGTAACGGGCAGGAGGAAGAGGAAGAGGCAGGAAGAAGAGGGGCAGGAGGAAGAGGAAGAGGCAGGAAGAAGAGGAAGAGGCAGGAGGAAGAGAAAGAGGCAGGAGAAAGGAGGGCAGGAAGAAAGGAGGAAAGAAGAGAGGGATGGGAAGGAGAGGCAAAGAGTGGAGAAAGGAGAGAAGGGAGAAGAGAAAGAAAAGCAAAAGCACAAATAAAATGGCCAACCAAGACAACTGTAACACTTTACTTCCCTCATCTCACCACTTTAAATTTTCTTACATTAAAAAACTAACTGTGCCTCTGATTCAGAATAAGTAGAGCTACATTAGGTTTAGGCTCCGGTCACTGACTGCCGACTCCTCATCAGGCCTGCAGTCAACAGTACTGGGTTTCACTTACAACATAATGTGTGAATACAAACCTAATATCATTTGGGTATTGTTGGGGTCCGTTTCTGTTTGCAAGGCACCTATTAATATATTCACAAGTCTCAACTTCAGGGACAGAAAAGTTATTGGTTTATCATAAGTCGAGCTGTCATCATTACTAAACTTTCCTTCCAGGACCACCTATGGAAAAAGCAAATAATATTTAACATCAGCTGTTGCAGCTCATGATGCCCATGTGGGAATAGCCAGAGTGGAGGAACAGATCAGTCTAATGAGAAAGGCTTTCAGTCTAATATTAGCCACTGTGCTAACTCTGTCACTAACACTCAATATGTTAATAGATGTCCTCAGCCTATAACTGCTTGAAAACTGGTAGAAAAACTGACAGAGAAGAAAAAAAAAAAACAAATCACAAGTCAACTTTGTTAATTCACTTGAAATAACTTGAATGAAATAACTTGAGTTGAAAAATAAAACATCCCCTGTTCCATTTTTAACATTCGATTTGACTTAAATTAGTACACAAAACAGAATATAGAATATAAAAAAACTTTAACAAAACATTACCTCAGATTTGACTGTGCCAAAATGATGAGGGAGGGGCAACAAAGAAAGTAGGATATTAATGGAGGATCTTCGCAATTCTGTTGGATTTACATAGCTTTTGAATTTTGAGAGCTCTCTGCCAAAAAATAAAAAGATATTAGTATTTCTGAACTAAAGTACATTAGCTACTGCCAAATACATATAATGCCAATTTTTCCAAATCCTAGCATTGTGTATATGTGTATTGTGTATTTCTAAGTTAAACTGTTACTGAATTACACTAGAAGTTGATCGATTTCTTTATTTAAAATGTAAGGCCTACTCTACAAAGGTAAGACTCCTGTGTTGGAGTTGTTCTCACCCTTCTAGACCAGGCCAAAAACAATTCAACAAGCCCACAGACAAATCAGAACTGAAGGAGTTCAGGGATGAGGTGCGTTTGGACACACTACACTCATTAAATGTGGCCTGAGTTCTCCTGGACTATGAAGACGACTAGACAGGATACATTAGGAAACTGGGGAGGAAGCACCAACAGACCAGGCCAAATCAGACAGTTGATATAACAGCAGAGAATGATAGCTTACCTGTCAGGCAAAATGGTTTCAAGAGCTGAAATAAAGTAAGGAACCACAACATCAATCCCTTTCAAGTCACAGCAGAACAAAGGAGGAGAGTTTAGAATAACGCTGGCCAAGACAGGATGGCACACATAATCATTTATCTGCAAACCTTGAATTAAAAGCATGTAAAATCTAGGAAAGCAAGAAAAAAATTTTAAACAAACTGCTAATCAAAAGTTTTCATAATTATTATTTGCTACATAGTTATCTGAAAGTCTATTTCCACTCTTCACTATTTTTACCCTTTAAAGAAAGGGCATTATTGGAATTACTGGAATTTACTAGAATTTTACCCTTTAAAAGGTATTACTGGAATTACTGGAATTTTACCCTTTAAAGGGTATTACTGGAATTAAAACAATTCTGAATTATATACACTAAGACCCAAATCATCTTTCTTAATGAAGAAAAAAAACCATTCATGTCTATTGCACCTTCTCAAAGTTTAAGTCTTGCAACTCAAAGTTCTAGGGGCCTGCAAATAAGGCAACCAGAACAGAACAAAACAATAGGCTGCAGTACTTTTCAATAAACTGGGGGAATTGCTGAGTTAAATTCCATAACAGAAAAATGTTGCAACATTTAGTAATTCCTAGGGAAAAAAAGTATGTTTTCATTTTTGTCCCTTCCCCATTATTCTTGGGGGGACAATGAAAGAAAGAAACCTGCATTTGATCTTCTGTATTCATCATGAAGGTCACCTGAATAAGATTCCTTTTAGGAATATGCCTGAATATACCTTAGTTTTTAACTCCACCCCCAAACTCTAATCAACTTACTAAGCATTCAATCCCCCATTACTTAAGAGCAACTACACTGTTATACTCTTCTACTGTGAGGCGAGTTTCTCTTCTCTGCAAAACTCTTCAGAAACAACTTCATCACTTATTGGTTATTGCTTAACCCATTTCAATCTCTCTCCCTAGAACTCAACTAAAACCATACTAGCAAATAACCAATGGGCTCTCGATTGCCAAATCCAAGAGACATGATTAATTCTTAACTCACTCTGCCTTTTGAAAGCATTCAACCCTTTGACTACTCCCTTGTCTCCCTGTGCTTCCCTGATTTCTATGACCATTTTCTTTCACAGGTCCTCTTACTCTACCTGCCTCTTAATGATGGTGTTCCTCAGTCTGACAACCTTAGTTCTGGAAGCTCTCTCTTTTACTAACCTGATTTTAAACACTTCTTAAGTCACTAAATGTAATCAAATCATTCTAACCCACACCTCTCAACTGAACTCCAGATCTGTTAGCCAAAAGTTTACTGGATATCTGGATGTCTACTGATTACTATGGTACTTCTGTGCACAATATCTGGCACAAAGTAGGACTTAATAAATATTTGTTGACAAATATCCCATAGGCACTTCAAATTCAATCGATTCAAAATTAAACTGATCACTTGCCCTCTCATGAATCTATTGTTTTAGTTTGTCCTACTACCACCCATTCAGTCTTATGGTTCAGTCAGAAAGTTCATGGTGATAGCGTTCTCCCCTCCTACTAGAGTACCATTTAGGATATCTCCCCAGCCCAGAGTTCCTGAGAAACGTGCCCCCACAACAAGGGGGTGAGCTCCAACACCCTTATGTGACCTACTTACACAACTGTAGCTGACTAGACCAGAGACAGGCAGATTAATTAGATCCTCCTTCCCAGGAGTCTATAATTAAAATTCAGAGATACTAATTGGCCCTGATGGTCACCTAGACCAAGGTCACGAAAACTGGGTACTTTTTATTTATTTATTTATTTTTGAGACAGAGTCTCACTCTGTCGCCCAGGATGGAGCGCAGTGGCACAATCTTGGCTCACTGCAGCCTCTGCCTCCTGGGTTCAAGCAATTCTTCTGCCTCAGTTTCCTGAGTAGCTGGGACTACAGGGGAGTGCCACCATGCCCGGCTAATGAAAACTGGGAACTCAGAAACACACTACAATATGAGAAAATGATCTGCAGAGATGAGAAGAATGAAGCAGTTCTGGGAGACCAGGAAGACAGAGAGAGAGGAATAAAGTTGTTTCGGTCCTTGAGTATCTGCTCTTCATGAGGTCATACTGCATTTTCTGACCTTAGAATTTAATAAATATAACTAGCTTCTCACAACTTACTCTCCTTTTACTTAAGTCAGATTGAGAAGGTTTCTGTTGCTGAAAGCCAAGTGCCTATAGTTAAGATAACCCTGCCTAGTTGCCTGTATATACCATTCTTTTTCATATTCATAAAATTCTGTACTTAGTTCCCTCTGATAGGGTCAGTTTAATTCTATCTCCTGAGAACCTAACAAGTATGCAGATATCTAAATACTCCGTTGATATTAACCTCACTTCTGCACCTGTGTGAATGATCAGTAAAGGAAGGCAAAACAGCGTCAAGATGAACGGGAGGCCATTATGAGTTAGTTGAGGAGAAAAGTGACAAAGTCTAAAGTATAATGGTGGATAGAGTGAAAAGAGCAATCAGAAAGAGGGTTAAGGAGCAGAAAGGCAGGAGTTGGCTGATCAACTAAAGATACAGAAGAAGAGGATTCTAAAATGATTCTTCGTTTCTGCCCTAAGCAACTGAATGGATGGCAGAGGCATTAACAAAGATGGCTGAAGCCATAGATTTGGAGAAGATGACCCTAACCAACTTCCTAACACAGTCTAAACACTAACCATCCTTTAAAAGTCCAGCATAATCATTCAATCCTCCATAACTCTTTCCTGAATCCCCTGGAGTAAATAAATGTGCACTGCTTCTTCCCCTGAATGCCCATACCACATTATCTGTACCTCTTCCATCAACATCCTATTCCTGTTGATCATTGTCACGTGTACACATGGCTTTGTCTGTGGCTCTGCCCAGAAAATAAGCTCCTTGGAAGCAGGATTTACAGCTGACTTATTTCTGGACTGCCTACATGCGAATACTGTGCTAAAAATTTGTTAACAAATTATTGTGGTCCTTCGAAATCTCTCCATATTAAAAAGATTCAAATAAGATGACATAAATAGCACTTCTAAAACAAAAAGGGTCTTAAGGGTCTTTACCAAATCAGACGAGACAGGTAAAATGAAAGATTTCAGGCAAATGTCGATCACTTACAGACATCTGTAGGTATTTCTGACCAACATTCACTCATCGGTTCAGTCGGCCAAGCAACGCTACAATGGCTTCACTATCAAAACTATATAAATGAAAAAACAAACAAAAATTCCAAGACCTGGATAAATAAGCTGGCAGAATCTCTTCTCCAGTCTTCTTGCTACAAAAAATCCTACACAGTGTCCCACAAGCCTCAGCTCTTCCTGCTTCATAGTTATCAGGAAATTCACTTGCATCAAACATAGGATTGGAAACCATGGTGTCTGTGGACATTTGTGACCCTTTCCGTCGAAACTCCATGCTAGCTTGTGTTGTAATGGCTGGGGAGAGAAAAGGAAGGTTTTATTATATTTGCAATATGCCAAGTAGGCTCATGGGACCCTGGACACAAAGATCAAATGTTGGTGTCATTAAATAGCTACTTGAATCCAATAAGTGCTTTTGTTTAGCAACTATGTCTTAATGTTTTTAAAAAGGGCTCTCTGAAATCTTCTTTGAAAATAGGTTACAATTAATTTACAGTGGCATTGTCAGTTTAACAGATTGTACAAGAAGCATTTTTCAACTGAATTTTTGATCAGCAGAGTACATTTGTATATATCTGTATCCACATACAGATATATAATACAGAATTTGGCTTTTCTATTATTTCTTTTCTGTTTTTTCTTCCCCCTACACAATGATGCTTAAACGTTAAGAAAAATAGCTACTGCAATTTACACATTACCCTAGATGGACATCCTAATTAAATGGGCAACCCTATACCAGTCTGTATACTTTAGGGAGAGGGCAAAGTAAGGATGAGAAGTGGGCAGGGAGAAAAAGAGAGCATTCCCACAACCCACCCAACTCCAAAACACACACCAAAGAATCGCTCAACCAAGCAAAATGAGAATGAATTTTAACAACCACAGACAGCAGCTAACTTGAGGCTGATAAATCAGAAAATTGGATTGATAAAAAAGATTATCATGGTCATTCGTTATCACTGAAACAGAAGCCCTTTGAAAGTTGCTTTTATTTTTAACAAAAGATTTCACAGTTTATTGAAAATCACTCTGAAATCTTTTATTACTCTACATGAAATGCTTAAATTATTTTATAATAGATTTAATAGAATGCAGAGTCAAGCATAAATCTTTATGCAACTTCCCATGAGCCATTTTTAGTCCTGAATAAGCTATCCAGCAATAATACATTTGAAAAACACTACATGCAGAATGCATACAAATCAAACACTAAATCTGTATAAAAATAAGCTTAAAGCTTTAAAAAAAAAAAAAAAAAAAGCCAAAACACAGTTAGTGCAAAGTCCTGGAATTCATGACATGACCAGACTAGTATACAGAAATAATGGGACTGATTCAGGCAGATTAATTTGCTTTTGCCAACAATCTTCCCCATTCAAAACACAGAAAAGTATTTTTCTTCCCAAGTGCAAGAACTACAAGAGACAATGACAATCAAATTTTTAATGGAATTATGAAAAAAATAAAAACATGACTGCAATTAAGGAGAAGCTTCTGGTTCCTACTTACAAGATTTATAAGAAAGAAGAATTTGGATAAAAGATGCTGCAAGATAATAGAAATAAATGGAAACAAATCAAAGGACAGTAGTAATTATAAAATACTTTAAAGATGGTGAAATTTTACAATAAATTAAGAAGCTTTTTAGCTTTTTAAAAGTTAAATTAAAAGCTTTACGATACCACAAGCTAGTTCAAAAACACAGGAAATTGTGCATTCAGGTCCAAAATTATGATTTTTGTATCATGCAAAACAATGAACGAAGAAAATTACACAACTACAAAGAATTGAGGTTTTGAAGTGCCCATAACGTGCATTAAAATTTTAGTTCATTAACCCTTCCCAGCTCAATGTTACTTTTACAAAGCACAGTGTACTGTCATGTAAATCTAAAGCTAACCAGTTCAAAGAAGCAAACACTTTAAGTTAGAGGTGAACTGCATGGCAGAATTCCTTGATGGCAGCCAGTACTTAAAAACAGTTAATATACCCAAGCCTCCCACCAGACTTGAGACCTCAAGATTGGCACCTAGCATTCTAACCCCTTTAACTATTTAGATACCTCATATCTCCTGGGTAATGTAACAGCCTTTATCATCTCTGAACACAATGAGGAGAAAAGGAGCTTCTATCCTCTCCCCAGCAAGGAAAAATTTTAAAGTAAGATGTTGTTCATATATGATTTGAAGTCTGGTTTTTATCTTCTGGTGCAAGAGGGTGAGCAAAGCTGTTACAAACTCCCTGGAGAGCAAAAAGATCTATAAGTTCCCTTTAAGCAAGCCCACCAACCAAGTAGCAGGTTGAGCCATTCTAGATTCATGGATTTCAGTGTCAACAGCTCTATACCCAAAAGTTACATTGTAAGAATTACATCTTAACAAAAATAAAAAAGAAAAACAGGACTGATTCATTCTAGAAAATGCAAATTAATAAATATAAACATGGTACAGAAAACTCAAAATATAAGGTACACGAACATAAAGACAAGCATAACCCAAAAGTCGTCTTTTAAAAGTTTTCACTTATTGTAAGTAAGCACATTTACCTATCCCAGAAGCACTACTTTCAAACTGTGAATAAAATTATAATATGAAAATGGCAGAATATAAAGTGCCTGAATTTGAACAAAATAAAGCAAGCAAAGATATCCCTAAACTCAAACATGGCATTCTCAAATTATATTCCTAGAAATCTTTATATTCACAATTTTTCTAAATTAAAGATTTGTAATAACATTCTAAATAATTACATGTGTATAATGTTCACAGACATAGACCCTGGTTCTGAGATGATAATAATAATAGCTAAGAATTATAATAACAGCTAAGAAACCATTTCTAAGAGAAAGCAGAGACCCTTCTGGCCATTGTATTAGTTTTATCCTTGGAATTAACAGTCTCCCTAGAGATACATCAACTAATGTAAGTAGACGTCTTTTTGTCTTATTTCCAACCCCAGCAGAAGAGTGCTTTCTTACCAAACAACCAATACACTCATTAATGCATATATCACAGTACCTTGCCCATAGTAATAGCAGCTCAAAAAATGTCAGCCATTGTCATTTTTTAGCTAAGACATATTATAAATATTCAAAACACTGCACTACCCCACCCATCCATCCTGCACCCTATGCCAAACATAATGGTTAAGATGACAAAAAAAAAAAAAAACACCAGCTCTTATTTAGACAGTTTCCTTTTTATAATAAAATCTAAATGAAGATATCAGGGTTGAGTTATTAATTCTCCACCAATCAATCTTATTAAGTTAAAGAGCAAGTAGTATTTTTGAAAGTGTGCCCTTGAAATAAAGTTCTCTAGACTACAAATCTGAGAGGTTACAGTATAGTGTGAAGCAAAAATTTTCTGATGTTTACATGTACTAATGAGTGAATGGCTGTCAAAATTGAAGAAAACACTTCCTGCAATGTAAATTTCCAGTTCGAATTTTTAATTCTTTATATAAATTGTATTATCCTGGCTGACATGAAGGGAACTTCCAGGTCACCTACTGAAAGAAATCTGATTCAACAAAATGTGGCTAACCTTAAGTATGTCTAAGAAAACCAGACAAAAGGCCAAACCTCATAGAACATACATAAAAAGAACAGGGAAGAAATCTTCTAAAGTTCTGTTACTTCAGCTGGAAGGGGTTAAGCACAAGACATCGCTTGATCAGAAACAGAGAGCTTTTTAAGATACATATTAATCTTGCAGGTAGGAAAGACTAAAAGGAAAAAGAAAAAGGAAAAGGAAAAAAGTGGTAACATATTTCTTGAGTAATATTTACCAGTCATGCTGCTGTCTCTGTTTATCCCATTATGAAGTTTACAGTGAACAAATGCTGCATCAAATAACCACGATCCAAAGAGATTCAAGATGCTGTTAACCTTTGGTCTCCGAGGGGCAGGCAGTGGCCGGGGTTCTGAACTAGTCTGATTTGGACTTGACAGAGGAGAGGTGGAAGACGTCTGGTGCTGAACTTTAGAGGCATGAGCAGTACTAACCTATTAGACGAACACAGGAACACACCCATACCAATGAAAAGTTTGAGAAAACAGTAAGACTTTATAAAAAGAATGGCAGATGAAAAAGCCAACCTTATATAGCTTAACAATGGTGATATAAACTCTTACTGTGCTTGTCTTCATGGTGGCCTTATTCACAGTAACAGCCCGGTGCCTCCGGTTATGTGGTGGGGTGGTATTGACAGCAGCACTTTGAGGCATACTTAATCTATTCACGGGTGTTGGGGGAGCACTGTCTGATCGGGGTCTAGAAATACCTTAAAAAAAAAAAAGGCAAATGAAATTATTCTTCATAGGTCAAAATATGTGATCAGAAAATTTTTCCCAGCAACCTAGTGAAGGCTTGGGACACATAGACTATAGCAGAGATTGCTAGTTGCCTCTCAGTATCTATTCACTGTTTCTTCCTGAGTAACAGAACACAAACTTTAGCTGGACATGGCTACCCAGAAAAAAAATGACTCAATTTTCAAGCTCCCTTTGCACCTAGATGTGGCCATATTTTGACCATAAAGAAGTTGGTGACTGTTGGGTAGGTCTTCTAAGAGATCTTCTTAAAGGACCAATTATATGCAGACTCTCCTTCCTAATTCCTGGACAGGATGTTTGGAACTCACTCAACCATCATGGCCCATGAGGCACTGTGCAAAGAATGGAGAGGGCCTTGGACCCCTGCTGGTGATGGAACCATTATACTGGCCCTGTACAGCCTAGCCCTAGATTTAACATATGTGAAAATAAGCTATCTTGTTTGTATTAGGATTTTTGGTTGTTAAGTGGCAGCCAAACTTAATCGGAGCTAACATATTAACTGTACGTTAATAAGCGCACATAAATATTTTAGAAAATGACAGATATTATAAATCACTGCCTTTCAACAGGTTAAAAATTTGAATTTTCATATATCTAAAATAAATGTGAAAAAAAGCTTAAAAGAATGGCTCACTAAAGGTATAATTTTGCTTTTTAGAGATATACACGAGAATGGTCCCAAATGCATTTTCATCTGCATTTTCTTGGATAGCTAGTATGCACGAACACTCTTTTCTTTTGCAATCATTTACTCTTATCCTTTGTCCATTTATCTACTAGCCTAATTCTTGTTCTTAGCACCTTGTTTGATGTATCAGGTGGGTGCAAAAGTAATTGCAGTTTTGGCCACATTAAATGGCAAAAACTGCAATTACTTTTGCACCAACCTAAATATTTACATAAAAACGATAACCCTCTGGCTATTTTATCTGTTGCAAATAATTTTTCTTCGCTTGTTATTTGTCATCAAATCTGTTCATCTTTTCCTTTGGATGTTTTCTAATAAATCCTAGGGTTAGCCTCTAGAGTTATCTAAATGAAGCTCTTCATACATCTAGCAACATACACAAAATTCACCTAAGAATGCATCCACCAGACAGCTGATTCCACGCATGGCACGAAAAAATATTTGAGGCAGATGTTTAAGGCAGGGATACTGATTCAATTCTTGCGGCATTCCGCTCACATTCAAGAACTGTTCCTGAAATTTGGGAGTAGAGCTTATAATAGCTGGGTTACTCAAATCCACAGGATTACTATTAAAAGAGAGAAAAGAATTAATCACAAATTTAGAAATTTCTATAGCAATAAAATACATGTAATCTAATTTAAGAACAGGACTGTTTGTGCCTATTTCTTTGATTCAGAGAAGAGACTGATTTGTATTTAATGGGTTAGTGATTCAAATATCATCACTTCTTTACAGAAGATCTGCAGAGTGGTTACATGAACATTGCCTATTCAGAGCATGAGAATCAAAGTAAGACTAGAAAAAGTTTTAATTTTTTAAGAGTATACATAGACACTTTTTCTAATATGTTTAGAATTAAGCAATAGAAGATGGACATGGTGGCATGTGCCTATGGTCCCAGATACTCGGAAGGCTGAGGCAGATCACTTGAGCCCAGGATTTCAAGGCCGAGGCTGCAGTGAGCTATGATCATGCCAATGCACTCCAGCCTGAGCAACACAGCAACACGCCATCTCAGGAAAAAAAAAAAAAAAGAAAGAAAGAAAGAAAAAAAAAAAATTAAGCAATGGAATGGTAAAGCTATGTCAACAAGAACTCCAAGGAGAAAATTTTACTTTAATATTAACATTTCCAATTAAAAAAAAAAACCTATATTTGAAAATCAGGATTAGTGTTATAGTTTTATGCTGTGTTCATGTGTATGTACTAAAGCCATACATTTCAAAACAATGTATTTGTGTTTAATTACATTTTATGTACAGTTTGAAATATTTCCATTAAAAACAGATTACAATTTTTCACTCAAATGGTTTGCTTAGCATTCCATTAAGAAGCCTCTCCAATTCAAAGTAATACTGATAATCTAAAGCCGGTGAACAGAATTTCCACTACCTACAAGGCAAAAGAACTAGCTGAGAAATAGGAATCAGTGATCTATACATGCTCTGCCTTTGAAAACCTCTTTTTCCACCCACCAAAAGAATTTCAAGTAACTGTAATTGGGGAAAGGGGAATGTGTATGCATATAAGAAAAATGGGCTTCCAAGCATACTGTTTCCACAGAACTGTACTAGTCCATCAAGTAAGGCAGAGGAGGGGAGATTCGTCTCTACCAGCAGTGCCTGCTGGGGGCTGTAGTTCAACTATTCAGAAATTAGAAGAACAAGGAGTAAAGCTGAAATGGAACTACACCTAAGTCCAGCAGAGCTTGGTTAAATTCGTGTCTACGATACATCAAAAACTGGAGAGAGAAAGGTTCATACCAGTTTCTCCAAAGGTAAACCAGGAATGATTTTATTGGCACCCAAATATTTAGAGAACAGATTCAAGAAAGTAAGTAAAACCTGAAATGAGAATGGGTAACAAAGGATACGAAAAACTAAAAGAAACTGCATTCCAGCAGTTCCAAATGCCCTGTGTACCTGATGCATTTGGGGAACCTGTTAAAAATCCAGATTTCACCTAAATGCACTGAAACAATCTCCAGATGGGGCCTAAAGGGCAGGTGGGCATACACAAGTCCAAAGACAAGCATTTGAGAACACTATGGGAAACAAAAATGAAAAATATTTTTTTGTTTTCCTGGAAAAAGATAAATCACTAACATACAATACAAAATATTGATGCCTATCTCCCCATCATATACAACCTTCATCCTAGGAAATTTGCCAACAATCACAAATAATCACAATCATAAATAATCCTCACGACCTGCCACTCACAGCTTATTTAAGAAAGGAGGTAAAATTGTCCTAAAGGAGGTATCCAGATGTCTGCCATAGACCTAATTAATGAAGATAATTTGATCCAATTTTCCTTTTGGAGAAACTAAGCAAAGGGAAAGCCCCCATGAACTGAAAGGACAAGCACTGAAGTCAAGCAGTATCACAGCTATTTACACGACTGGGCAGTTATCAAGAGACTGGATGTCCCCCTCTCAAAGGCAGGAGGGAACAGGGACTCAGGAGGAAGCCTGCTGGAGAAAGCGAACAATGCGCATGCACAAGAGAATCAAAAGAGCAAAGAGAAGCAAATGACAGTGATTTGTCCCAAGGCTGCCTTGATTCCTCCCCAACATGAGAAAGGGTTGCTCGCTGCTTCATAGAGCCTGGTAAGACTGCTCTGTTTTCACATAATCTCTTTTTCTCACCTGCATTTGCTTAAGTAGGCTCCTATTTTTGCCACTGAAAATAACTCTAACTAAAGTACCACAGTCAGCTCAAGAAGAATATCTAAGAACTACCTCTAAAAAAGACTCTAGAACTAGAGTTTTGCTGTTCATTTATTTCAAACTTTTAAGGAACATAAAACTTTGACACAACAGACCATAAAAAAGGATAGGAAGTTTTCCTAGCCAATTCATCAAAAGATAGAACTACAGACAATTCAGAAAAACACTAAAAGAAAAGCATTCCATAACCAAGCAAAACTTTTCTTTCAGGAATGATAGATGGTTCAACATTGGGAAATTAATTAATATTTCACATCAACAGATGAAAGAAGAAAAACCACTTAATTGCTTAAATGGATCCAAAAATATTATTTGAAACAATTCAGTACTACTCCTGACTTTATTTATATTTTAATTTTATTTATTTATTTTTTGAGATAGTCTTGCTCTGTTGCCCAGGCTACAGTGCAGTGTGTATGATCTTGGCTCACTGCAAATCTGCCTCCCAGGTTCAAGCAATTCTTGTTCCTCAGCCTCCTGAGTAGCTAGGATTACAGGTGCACCACTATACTTGACTAATTTGTTTTTTGCTTTTTTTTTTTTTTGGAGATGGAGTCTCGCTCTATTGCCCGGGCTGCAGTGCAACCTCTGCTTCCCGGTTCAAGTGATTCTCCTGCCTCAGCCTCCCAAGTAGCAGGGATTACAGGCATGCGCCACCACACCCAGCTAATTTTTGTATTTTTAGTAGAGATAGGGTTTCACCAAGTTGGCCAGGCTGGTCTCGAACTCCTGACCTCAAGGGATCCGCCCACCTCGGCCTCCCAAAGTGCTGGGATTACAGGCGTGAGCAACCATGCACAGCCCGTTTTTTGTATTTTTAGTAGAGATGGGTTTCACCATGTTGCCCTGGCTGGTCTCGAACTCCTAAGCTTGCCACCCGCATTGGCCTCCGAAAGGGCTATTATTACAGGCGTGAGTCACCGTGCCCAGCCTTTATTTTCAAAAATTTTTAATTGCCTCCCAGCACTTTGGGAGGCCGAGGTAGGCGGATCACGAGGTCAGGAGATTGAGACCATCCTGGCTAACACAGTGAAACCCCGTCTCTACTAAAAAATACAAAAAATTAGCTGAGCATGGTGGCGGGCGCCTGTAGTCCCAGCTACTCAGGAGGCTGAGGCAGGAGAATGGCGTGTATCCGGGAGGCGCAGCTTGCAGTGAGCAGAGATCGCACCACTGCACTCCAGCCTGGGCAACAAAGCGAGACTCTTATCTCAAAAAAAAAAATTAAAAAATAAATAAATAAAATTTTTGATTGTTTAGGAAAGCAGGAGCATAAAAAAGAACATCTAGCATTGACAACCAACATCCTACTCAAAATTCCATATATTAGAGGCATTCTAAGAAAATCAGAACCAAAAAAGGTGCCAAAACAGTATCACTTTAATTCAACAGTGTTCTAGAAGTTCTGATGGATGCAGTAAAATAATATACAGAAATAACTGTAATAATAGCAACTTTCAAGGACCTACCATGTACTAGGCATCATACCGTTTTACATGCTTTTTCTTCTTCAATTCTTATAACGAGATGGTACAATCATTATTCCCATTATGTAGATTAAAAAGAAACTGAGGCACAGGGAGAATAAATTGTTCAAGTTCACAAAGAAAAAACTAGCAGAATTTGAACTCAAGTCCAAGTCTTACTGCATCCAAAGTATTTTTAATTAGTCACCAAAACAAGTATGAATTATCAGAAAAGAGACACTTCTTATTTGCAGGTATGTGTCCATATCTCAGAAGAATCAGTGAAATACTCAGAGCTCTTTTAAATGCCATATATAATATACAAAATAACATGAAGTAAAAAATGTTCTTTACAGCAGTAATAACCATCTAGAAGAAGAATAGCAGAAAAGAGTTAGCTTTTCACAGCATCAGCAACAAATACCTAGAAATAATGGTAAAGAAAATATTAAAAATATTTGTGAAGAAAACTGTAAAACATTTCAATAAGATATGCAAAATTCTGAAAAAAGAAAAAGACATGCTTTTAGAAAGGCGGACTCAATATCAGATATCAGCGTTTCCTAAATATAAATACAGGCTTAATACCAGTCTCATCTTTGGCAGAGTCTGGCTAGCTCTTCACAACTTTCTTTTATTCTCTGTTCTCTTGCAATTAAGTGTGATGTGTGTCTGAGTTCTGGCTAATGGAATATGAGTAACAGTGATTTATATTACTTCAAGGCCGGACACATAAAACCCTCCCACAAAATTTTCCTTGCTCTCTGTTCCCCATCTGCTAGCCAGATACGAAACTCCTGCTTATAACACTGAGATCCTAATGGAGTCATCTGTTGAAGATGAAAGAGCCTCTGCCAGCTGGGTCCCCGAACGACTATGTGAACAGAGCCAGTCCTGATTCCAGACTTTATAAAAGATTTTCAGGTTCATTTGCTAAAGCAGAACATATTCCTTACCCTAATTAATACACAATCCAAACCCCAGAAGATTTCATTGAGGTTTTTCCTTCTGTTTGCTTATGTTTTGTAACTTGAAAAATTGGTTCTAAAATTGATCTGAAATGTTAAACAGGCAAGAAGAAATAAATACTCTAAGAGAAGGAAAAAGAGAAAAAGACATTAAACCTACGAAATATCAATAATATTATAAAGTTAGGCCGGGCGCGGTGGCTCAAGCCTGTAATCCCAGCACTTTGGGAGGCCGAGACAGGCGGATCACGAGGTCAGGAGATCGAGACCATCCTGGCTAATACGGTGAAACCCCGTCTCTACTAAAAATACAAAAAACTAGCCGGGCGAGGTGGTGGGCGCCTGTAGTCCCAGCTACTAGGGAGGCTGAGGCAGGAGAATGGCGTAAACCCAGGAGGCGGAGCTTGCAGTGAGCTGAGATCTGGCCACTGCACTCCAGCCTGGGCGACAGAGCAAGACTCCATCTCAAAAAAAAAAAAAAAAAAAATAAAGTTAAAATAATTAAGAGTGTGACTCTGACATAAAAATAAATGAAGAAATTAATGAAGTAATATGTGAACTAAAGATGAATTCCAGGCCGGGCACGGTGGCTCGATGCCTGCAATCCTAGCACTCTGGAAGGCTGAAGCGGGTGGACTGCTTAAGTCTAGGAGTTTGAGACCAGACTGGGCAACGTAGGAAGACCCTATCTCTGCAAATTACATGCGTGCATGCGTGTGTGTGTGTGTGTATATATATATAAAGACAGATCCTGAGGTATATAAAAGAACTTACTATTACAAAGGAAACAACATTGGAAGAAATCATAGGTGACTATCTGATCAAAGAACACAAAAGAAATAGAAAATGATCACAGAAAGACATTTAAAAACTAAGATCAGTGACAGAAAAACACAAACTAGAACTACAAAATGGGAAGAAATGATACAAAATGATTAACATACCTAACTTATAAAAAGGTCATAAAGAGTAATTCAGAATCACTGATACACAAATAGAAGAATTAGGCTAGTCAAACCAGAAAGAGAAGAGATGCAAGGAAAAACTTTAAGAATCAGTTTACAACAGAATAAATGTCCCACAGAGCACACAGATGCAGCTGGAAGAGGGACAAGTAAAAAGTAATGAAGCTGAACTGAAAAGAATTACTATATAAAAGACAGGGACAGCAGGATGTAGCAGTATACTCCTCTGCAAAATTTTAGGGTGTATCTCCCACTGAAACTTTAAACAGGCGCTTGGAGGAGGGCTCTGAGAGGCAGACTGACCAGTCAGTGCTGGACACAGAGAGGAGCAAAGCAACTTCCAGTCCCCAAAGAATGTGACAAAATCCCAAGAGAAAGATCATCAGCCAGGCTGCAGCAACAGGCAAGAGAACAAGTGCGGCATCTACCACAGGGAACACGTTCCTAGAGAGTGTAAACCAAGAGCGGCTGAGGACAGCCTAACCCTGCTGGGACAGGGACAGCAGGAGGCACAGGATAGAAATGTGCTTGTTGTCCAACAGGGTTCCATTTGATGAATGGTGCTTAGCGTCCACATTCTGAATTCAAACAAGAGACTTACAGCATGGTTCCTGCCCTAAGACACTTTGATGAATGGTGCTTAGCGTCCACATTCTGAATTCAGACAAGAGACTTACAGTATGGTTCCTGCCCTAAGACACTTACTGGGTAAATAGCACATGAAATAATAAAATAACAATACCTTAGCATGTGTAAAAAGCGAAACCACGTCTGTGCAACACACTCATTATCCATTTCTGGAGGGATCAGACTGGCATCTTCATCGGGAACTTTAAATGGAGGAAATGAAGGCCCATATGTAAAGCGCAGCAATCTAGAAAATAAATGCACACCACTGAGTCCATTTCTTAACAGATTGAAAAATACACTCAAGCACAGAAACATGAAAGAAAATAGATGAAACGTGTGTACCTCACATAAGTGAACAAGACATATGGAAACTCTCATTCATAAAACAGACAAACTGAAAGAGGATTTCTAGTTTTTTATGTTTGGGATGATGAATATGCTAATTACTCTGATCAATCACTATACATTTTTAATACATACATCAAAACATCACTATGTAATCCAAAAATATGTACAACTATTATGTGTTCATTTAAAAAAAAATTTCACATTGAAAACAAACTGGAGACTTCCAAGATGATTTCTAATGGAAAGAAGCTGGGAAGAAGAGAGTATATGCTGGTGTATATATTTTATATGTAATACACATGTGTTATTATTAGCATCTTCTTTACAAGATACACGAGTTTTTGGGTAAAATAAACAAGTATACCAAAAAAAGAATGTTTTAAATTATTTAAGATACTTAAAGTATTTATAGATAATAATAAATTTAATAATTTAAGATACTAATTTATAGAAAATTATTTAAGATACTTAAATTAATTATAAAATAATTATTAAAATACTGCTACTTCCTGCTGTCCTTGTCTTTTATATAGTAATTCTTTTCAGTTCAGCTTCATCACTTTTTACTTGTCCCTCTTCCAGCCCCATTCGTGTGCTCTGTGGGACATTTATTCTGTTGTAAACTGATTCTTAAAGTTTTTCCTTGCATCTCTTCTCTTTCTGGTTTGACTAGCCTAATTCTTCTATTTGTGTATCAGTGATTCTGAATTATTATTTATGACCTTTTTATAAGTTAGGTATGTTAATCATTTTGTATCATTTCTTCCCATTTTGTAGTTCTAGTTTGTGTCTTTCAGCTGTCAGTGATCTTAGTTTTTAACTGTCTTTCTGTGACATACATTTACATATATGTTTCACATGTATACATTACATGTTACTTATAAATCATAGCTATTTATATACAATTATACTTATATAATTATATAATCATACAATATTTAAATTTTTTAAAAGATTCATCTCACTGCAAATTTCTGCAATATAACTAAGTTATAATAGTTTTACATGAAGTTTAGAATTTCTGATATACCATAAAAATAACTCAACCACTCAGTTACTTAATAGTAATATTCTAAATGTATTAAAACTATTCAAAGCCCTTTAACTCAATTATTCTCTATCTAAAGATAATATAATCAGAATACATATAAAGACTATGTATAAAGCATTCATATCACCAATATTTTTTAAATAAAATAATGGGAACAACATAAATATCAAAACAGCAGGGGAAGATGGCAGGATTGCTTGAGGTCAGGAGTTTGAGTCTGCAAAGAGCCATGACTGCACCACTGCACTCCACCCTGGGCAACAGAGCAAGACCATATTTCAAAAAAAAAGAAAAGAAAAAAAAAACAACAACGCTGGCACAGTGGCTCATGCCTGCAATCCCAGCACTCTGGGAGGCCAAGTCTAGTGGATCACTTGAGTCCAGGGGCTTGAGGCCTGCTTGACCAATATGCAAAACCTCATCTTTACAAAAAATACAAAAATTATCTGGGCATGGTGGCATGCACCTGTAGCTCCCAGCTGCCCCGGGAGGCTGAGGTGAGAGGATAGCTTGAGCCTGGGGAGGTTGAGGCTGCTATGAGTCCTGATCATACCACTGCACTCCAGCCTGGGCAACAGAGCAAGACCTTGCCTCAAAAAAAAAAAAAAATAACAACAACAATAACAAGGCAATTATTAAATGAATCATATTCCAATTACATAATGGAAAACTACAAAACCATTAAAAATATGATCTCAACAGCTCTTTAATGAGAAAAAGTATGTGTAACTAAAAGTGACAAGAATCAGACATCAAATGAAACAAGCAGACAATATTATATAGAATAATTTCAAACTGGTATTTTTAAAAAGGGAACTAAATGGAAAAAATACATTAAAACGTTAACATGGGTTGGCTCTAAATGATAGGTATTTGTCCCTACATTTTCCAAATTTTCTATTATAAGCATGTAATGTTATCACAATCAAGATAAAAGCATTACTTAAACACAGATTCATAATTTTTTTAAAGCAATTGTCCTGCCTCAGCCTCCCAAAGTGCTGGGATTACAGATGTGAGCCACCACTCATGGCTAGATTCATAATATTGATGTTGTCTGTGATATATGAGAATCAACAAAATATTCCAAAGTTTCATTTTTTAGTTTAAATAATAATAAAGATCTAAACATTTTATTAACTAAGAAAAAGAGAAGTCTACCTTCTGATACATAATACTACCTACAAAGTTTTTGTTCCTGTCACCCCTTCTCTTTGCCCCCAGTCAAAAGTGAATGAGATCAAGACTCTAGATCTAACTACCAGTTTACAGGAAATACAGCGGGGCAGAGGAATATGTTAAATTAACAATGTGGACGTAATTGGAAAAATCCAGAATGTGAAACACTCTGTAAGACAACCCAGTTTCTTCAACAAAAAAAATTGCAAAGAAAAATAAAGCAGAAACCTAGGCCTGGTGTGGTGGCTCAGGCCTGTAATACCAGCAATTTGGCAGGCCAAGGCAAGAGGACTGCTTGAGCCCAGGAGTTCAAGGCCAGCCTGGACAACATGGAGGAACCCCATTGTGATCAGAAATATAAAAATTAGCCAAGCATGGTGGTGCACGCCTGCAGTCCCAGCTACTCAGGTGGCTGAAGCAGGAGGATCACTTGAGCCTAGGAGATTAAGGCTGCAGTAAGCTGTGATTGCACCATTGCATTCCAGCCTGGGTGACAGAGTAAGAAACTGTCAAAAAAAGAGAAAGAAAGACAGCAGAAACCTATACAGTTGTCCTTCAGTATTATGGGGGATTGATGCAGGACACCCCTCAGATGCCAAAATCCATGGATGCTCAAGTCCCCTTACATAAAATAATTTAGTATTTGCATATAACCTACACACATCTTCTTATATACTTTAAATCATCTCAAGATTACTTATAATACCTAATACAATGCATACACATCCCTTCATTCGCACAGATTCAATGCAGTACTCAGTAGAAGGCAAATTCAATTTTTACTCTTTGGAATTTTGTGAAATTTTTTGCCAAATATTTTTGATTTCTGATTGGCTGTGTCCATGGATACAGAACCCACAGAGGACCAACTGCACCTGAAAATTTGAACACCGATTGGCTAACTGATATTAAAGAATTGTCAACTTTTTTAGGTGTGATAAAGGTATTATATTTTTTAAAGAAACCTTATCTATATCTAGAGTTATACAGGTATACCTTGGAGATCTTGCAGGTTGTTTCACACTACCCTAATAAAACAAATATTGCAAAAAGCAAGTCATGCACGTTTTTTTGGTTTCTCAATGCATATAAAAGCTATGTTTGGACTACACTGCAGTCGATTAAGTATGCAATAGGATTATATCTTTAAAAATCAATGTACATCCTTAATTTAAAAATATTAATATTTTACTGCTGAAAGATGCTAATAATCATCTGTGCCTTCAGCAAGTCATAATCTTTTCCCTTTTTAAAACTTTCCAACTTTTATTTTAGATTCAGGAGGTACATGTGCAGATTATCTGGGTATACTGCATGATGCTGAGGCTTGGGGTAAAAATAATCCCATCATCTGGGCTTTTCAACACTGCTCCTCTTCCCCCATCAGTAGTCCTCAGTTTCTAATGTTGTCATCTTTATGTCCATGAGTTTTACATCCAATGTTTAGCTTCCACTTATAAGTGAGATCATGTGATACTTGGTTTTCTGTTCCTGTGTGAATTCACTTAGGATAACAGCTTCAAGCTGCATCCATGTTGCTGCAAAGGACATAATTCTTTTTCATGGCTGCATAGTATGCCATGGTGCATATGTGCCACATTTTCTTTACCCAGTCTACCACCGACGGGCATCTACGTTGATTCCATGTCCTTGCTATTGTGAATCGTGCTGCTATATATAAGAGTGCATGTGTCTTTTTGGTAGAATCATTTGTTTTCTTTTGGATATATACCCAGCAATGGGATGGCTGGGTTGAGTGGTAGTCATATTTTAAGTTCTTTGAGAAATCTTCCAATTGCTTTCCACAGTAGCTGGAACTAATTTACATTCCCACCAGCAGAGTTTATAACCATTCCCTTTTCTCTGCAGTCTTGCCAGCATCTACTGTTTTTCTGACATTTTAATACCCATTCTGCCTAGTGTGAGATAGTATCTCACTGTGATTTTGATTTGCATTTGTTTGATGATTAGTAATATGGAGCATTTTTTCACATGTTTGTTGGCCACTTGTATGTCTTCTTTTGATAAGTGTCTGTTCATGTCTTTTGCCTGTTTTTTAATGGGGTTGTTTTTTGCTTGTTCAATTGTTTTAAGTTCCTTGTAGATTCTGGATATTGGATATCTGTCAGATGTATAATTTGTGAATATTTTCTCTCATTCTGTAGGTTTTCCGTTTACTCTGCTGATAGTTTCTTTTACGTGCAGAAACTCTTTTGTTTAATTAGGTACCACTTGTCAACTGTTTTTGTTGCAATTACTTTTGAGGACTGAGTCATAAATTCCTTCCCAAGGCAAATGTCCAGAATAGTGTTTCCTAGGTTTTCTTCTCGTATTCTTATAGTTTGAGGCATTACATTTAAATCTTTAATCCATCTTGAGTTAATTTTTGCATATGGTGAAAGGCAGGAGTCCAGTTTCATTCTTCTGCATATGGTTAGCCAGCTAACCCTGCACTGTTTTTATTGAATAGAAAGTTCTTTCCCCGTTGCTTGTTTTTATTGACTCTGTCAAAGATCAGATGGCTGTAGTTATGAAGCTTTACTTCTGGGTTCTCTATTCTGTTCCATTAGTTTATGTATCTGTTTTTGTACTAGTACCATGCTGTTTTGGGGACTGTAGCCCTGTAGTATAGTTTGAAGTTGGGTAATGTGATGCCTCTAGCTTTATTCTTTTTGCTTTAGGATTGCTTTGGCTATTAAAGCTCTTTTTTGGTTCCAATATGAATTTTAGAATAGGTTTTTTCCTAGTTATGTGAAAAAATGGCACTGGTAGTTTGATAGGAATAGTGTTGAATCTATAGATTGCTATGGGCAGTATGGTCATTTTAATGATATTGATTCTTCTAAACCATGAACATGGAATGTTTTTCCATTTGTTTGTGTCATCTAGAGTCATCTTTTCACTGGTAGAGGGTATTGCCTCATTGATGGCTGCAGACTGATCAGGATGGTGATTGTTGACGGCTGGGGTGGCTGTGGCAGTTTTAAAAACTAAAACAATGAAGTGTGCCACATGGACTGACTCTTCCTTTCACAAGAAAATTTATCTGTGGCATGCAATGCCATTTCATAGCATTTTACCCACAGTAGAACTTATTTCAAAATCGGAGTGAATCCTCTCAAACTCTGCCATTACTTTACCAATTAAGCTTATATAATACTCTATATACTTTGCTGTCATTTCAACAATGTTCATGGCATCTATACCAGGAGTAGATTCCACCTCAGGAAACTACTTTCTTTGCTCATCCGTAAGACTTCTCATCATTAGTTTTATCATGACGTTGCAGCAATTAGTCATCTCTTTGGGCTATACTTCTAATTGTAGTTCTCTTGCTACTTCTCCACCTCATCTGCAGTGACTTCTTCCACTAAAGCTTTGAACCCCTCATAATCATTCATTAGGGTTGGAATCAACTTCTTCCAAAGTCCTTTTAATGCTGATATGGCAGCTATAGCCTTACAAAACGTACGGCTGACCCTTGAACAACATAGGAACTAGAGGTACTGGCCCCTCATACAGTTGAAAACTCTATGTATAATGTTTGAGTCCCCAAAAACTTAACACTAATCTAATCAGAAGCCTTACCAATAGCAAACAATTAACACATATTTTGTTTGTGTATTATATATGGTATTCTTACACTAAAGAAAGCTAAATAAAATGTTACAAAGAAAATCATAAGGAAAATCAGACGCAGTGGCACACTCATAGTCCCAGCTACTTGGAAGGCTTGAGGCAGAAGATATTGTGTCGGTACAAAAGTAATTAAAATATGGCAAAAGCTGCAATTACTTTTGAACCAACCTAAATAGCTTGAGCCCAGGACCTTAAGAGTGTAGTGCACTATGATCACACCTATGAACAGCCATTACACTCTAGCCTGGGCAACCCAGCAAGACCCCGTCTTTAAAAAATTATTAAAAAGGGCCATGCACAGTGGCTCATGCCTGTAATCCCAGCACTTTGGAAGGCAGAGGCGGGGAGGCTCACATGAGGCCTGGGGTTAGAGACCAGCCTGACCAACATGGAGAAATCCTGACTCTACTAAAAATACTAAAAAATTAGCTGGGCATGGTGGCTCACGCCTGTAATCCCAGCTACTCAGGAGGCTGAGGCACGAGAATCACTTGAGCCTGGGAGGCAGAGGCTGCAGTGAGGCTGAGGTTGCAGTGAGCTGAGATCATACCACTGCACTGCAGACTAGGTGACAAAGTGAGACTCTGTCTCAAAAAAAAAAAAAGTCGTATAAAAGAGAAAATACATTTACAACACTGTACTGTGTTTACTGACACCATAAGTTTACGTCATCTTTTCACAAAATCAATTGTCTGCCTGAAATGGCAGGTGACCACAGCTGCAGACCTCAAACGACAGAACACATCAAGCAATTCAACTTTTTTTTGTAATGTCATGAGTTTTCTCTGCTTCTTGGGAGCACTTCCAGCACCACTAATGGCACTTCGTATGGGTCCCATGGTATTATTTATTCCAGGTTTACAGTATTGTATTAAATATGATGAAAAATGAAAACTGAGACATCACTTTTTACTGAGATACACTATTTACTGGAGAGATTAACTGCTCAAGCAGAGATGATTAGTGTCACATGGGGTTTTAGGTGAATATTCACAACACTTGAACTCATTGCAATAGCAACAGGAAGTGGCTACAAAATTATTACAGTAGTATAGTATGTACCACAGTTAATTTTATGCAATTACGATTTATACTGTAGCTTTTATGTTTACATTTCTTTACCTGTTGTTTACATTACTGCAAATGGTATCATGTATAGTCTATAAGCATTTGTATGCATAAGTTTTAATAAATTTTAATTTAGTATAACACATTTGTGTATATTTTATGGTAGTAAACAATATAAGACTAGCATGTACATATATTTTATGCACATGACATACCTTTTTTTTCTTTTTTCAATATATCTAGGCTACATGGTGCACATTTTTTCAAATTGTCTCAAATCTCAAAAAAAAGTTTCCACTACATATAAGTGGACCCACACAGTTCAAAAACATGTTGTTCAAGGGTCAACTCTATTTCTTAAACAAGATTTGAAAGTCAGGCTGGGCCAAGTGGATCATGCCTGTAATCCAAGCACTTTGGGAGGCTGAGATGGGTGGACTGTTTTGAGGCCAGGAATTTGAGACCAACATGGTGAAACCCCATCTCTACTAAAAATACAATAACTAGCAGGGTGTGGTGGCATACCTCTGTAATCCCAGCTACTCGGGGGGCTAAGGCACAAGAATCACTTGAACCTTGGAGGCGGGTTCTACAGGCACAAGCCACCATACCTGGATATTTTTTTATTTTTTATAGAGACGGGGTTTGTCAAGTTGCCCAGGGTGGTCTCAAACTCCTGAGCTCAAGTAATCTGCCCATGTCTTACCCCCAAAGTGCTGGGATTACAGGCATGAGCCATTGCACACAGCCAGAATAAATGTAACATCATTCTTAGTATACAGGCTGCCAAGGCGAACACAAATTTAACATCATTCTTAAGGGCCCTAGGATTCTCCAAACGGTGAATGAGCACTGGCTTCAGCTTGCCAGGCATTGACTTCTCTCTAGCTATAGAAGTCCTAGATGGTGTCTTCTTCCAATACAAGACTGTTTAATGCACACTGAAAATCTGTTGTTTGGTGACGCCACCTTCATCAGTGATCTTAGCTAGATCATCGGGATCACTTGCTGCAGCTTCTCCATCACACTCGCTGATTCAGCTTGCACTTTCACGTTATAGACATGGTTTCTTTCCTTAAACCTCATGAACCAACCTCAGCCTGTTCCTAAGCTTTCTTCTGCAGCTTCCTCACCTCTCACAGCCTTCACAGAACTGAAGACAGTTAGGCCTTGCTCTGAATTAGGCTTTGGGTTAAGAAAATGTTGTGACTGGTTTGATCTCCCATCTAGAGCACTCAAACTTTCTCCATATCATAAATAAGCCTGTTTTGTTTTCTTATCATTCCTGTGTTCAGTGGTATAGCATGTTTAATTTCCTTCAAGAACTTTTCCTTTGTATTCACAACTTGGCTAAACATTTGGTGCAAGAGTCCTAGCTTTCAGTCTATTTTGGCTTTCAACACACCTTCCTAACTAAATCATTTCTAGCTTTTGATTTAAAGTGAGAGACATGCAACTATTCCTTTCACTCGAACACTTTGAGGCCATTTTAGTTACTAATTGGCCTAATTTTAGTATTATTGTGTCTCAAGAGTGGGAAAGAGACGGGGAACAGCTGGTCAGTGGAGCTGTGAGAACACAAACAACATTGATCGATAAAGTTCACCATTTTACATAGGTGTAGTACGTGGCACTCTGTAACAACGACAATGGTAACATCAAAGATCACTGATCACAGGTCACCATAACAGATAATTGTAATTTAAAAGTCTGAAATACGCAAGAATTACCAACATATGACAGAGGCACAAAGTGAGCACATGCTGTTGGCAAAATGGCACCAAAAGACTTACTTGATGCAGGGTTGCCACAACCCTTCAATTTGAAAAAAAAAAAAAAAACACATGAGGCTCAACACAGTGAAGTACAATAAAACAAGGTATGCCTGCATATTAAAATCGGATTTAAATGAAAAAATAAGTGTGGAAAAAAATGAACCTAAGAGTGTACTTACAAAACAGTGATGGTATTATATATAAATGGCAAAAAAGTAAAATTATTATTATAAAAAAACTACCTACTTTGATTACAAAGTAGCATTTATAGTATGGTCCCATTTCTGTAAAATTATATATAAATATACATGGTAGGATTTCAGGAGAACTTTTCTATTATACCTTTCTATGGTTTGTTTCTTTAAAATAATGATTATGCATATTTTAGTAATCAAAATAAGAGTGGAATTTTTTTTTGTGGGGGAAGTAGGGTATAACATTTACCTGTTTCTCAAGAATACTTGATTATTCTGAAAGGTTTTAAATGGGCACTAGCCAAACTGTTATATCTATGTTTAAAAAGTGGCTCAATTCTGTATCTAAAGTACAGTAACAACAGACCCAGCCTTTGTTACAATGTATTCCATGAATGCCAGAAAGCTGCCTAAGGTCAGACAGGGATTGAAGGAAGGTAGGGCAGTGACAATAACCTACCTGGAAGTGAGCGCACAAATGACCTTGCTCCACTGCTCCACCACTGCTGGGTGATGCCTCCAGTTAGCCACCATCTCCTTGGCTGTTTTCCAATAAGGAGGTGTTGGGAAGCACCGAGTACAAGCTAGTAACCACACCTCAAAGAGAACACCAATCAACTTCTCTGCTAGATTCTCAGCAATGCCACCTTACCAACGAAAAGAAAACACATCTTTGGCAAACTTATTTTTAAAGCAGAATCTTTAAGTCACTGATGTGGGAGAACTGGTCAAAAAATTAAAGTAAGTGCAATGTTAAGTTTTGACTTTCAAATAATCATTTAATAGTAAAAATGAGAAGTAATGCTTAGGAGTTCCTGTGCCCAAAATCATAGATACATCAAAAAATTTCTACTTTGAAAGATTTCAAGTTGTCCTGTTCAATTCTTATTGAAGGCCTTAATCCTCCAGCAAGGGGGACAGGCGGACACAGGGGAGAAGGTAAAGGATGACTGACTATGATGACTGACTACTATGAGTCAGTTTCTATGCCAAATAGTTCATACAAATGACCTCATATAATCCTCACATTAATTCTGCAGGATAGGTATCTGTAATACCTAATACCAACTACTAATTATATCCATTTTGAAGATGAGAAAACTTAGATTCGGAGAGTTTAAGCAACTTCTTCAACTTCATGCAGCCAGTAAGTGAAGGAATCACAACAAACACCCATGTCTTTTTACCTCCAAACTTTGCCATACAATGCTCCAAGTATTTGAAAGCCACCCTTCAAGGTGGGGAGAGAGAGAGAGAAAGACAAATAATGGAGCAAAAGGACTGGTGTTGGGAAGGACAGAGCCTTAACCATGAAAATGGGCTGTTCCCCTGTTCTAAGTCCTGGAACCAGGTGGAAAAATAGCAGTGGTCTTTACACTGCACAGCTTCAGAAGGCAAAGTTGGGACTCACAGGAAAAGTTATAAGAATGTGTGTTTCAAATGAGCAAAACCAAAGTTTCAACAACAAAGAGCCCAAGAAGGGGATGAATTGTCTGCCTCATGCTGTTGAGATCCCTGGCATGAGGAGTAAGCAATAGAGAGCTGATGAATCAATGACTGGCCAGCTATTGTCAATACCAGACAAAGTATTCCTATCAACGCATCCCTTCCCACACTGAAATTCCATGCTTCCTTTTAGCTATTTCCCTGAACACTGCATCTGTGTGAGAACACAAGCACAGTCACATGTGTTAGTAAACAGAGTATACCGATAAATAAGCAACAAGAGAACTTGGAACTAGATGATCAACTTATAATTTATATACATTGTGCTATATACAAAGCAGGGATTCTGTAATACACTGTAAAGTCATAAAACTGGAGGCATTTTAATGGCTAGCTAATGAATGGCAAACTGGCACACTTCCAAATAGAACAGTTAGAAGACTTTGGAAGTTTCATTTGCTGAGTAAAATATCTTCTGTCACTATCAAGTTTTCAGACTCTACTTTGATAACTACTTTGTAATACCATTATCTATAGGCTCTAATTTAATTGGTTAGTTGTTTCTTTTTTTTCTTTTTCTTTTTTTTTTTTTTTTGAGACAGTGTCTTACTCATCGCCCAGGCTGGAGTGCAGTGACACGATCTTGGCTCACTACAACCTCCGCTTCCCAGGTTCAAGCAATTCTCCTGCCTCCGCCTCCTGAGTAGCTGGGATTACAGGCGTCCACCACCACACCTGGCTAATTTTTGTACTTTTAGAAGGGATGGGGTTTCACCATGTTGGCCAGGCTGGTCTCGAACTCATGACCTCAGGTGATCCGCCTGCCTCGGCCTCTCAAAGTTCTGGGATTACAGGTGTGAGTCACCACGCCTGGCCAGTTGTTTCTTATATAGGCTCTATCCTAACTTTTTTTTTTTCTTTTTGAGACAGAGTTTTGCTCTGGTTGCCCAGGCTGGAGTACAACAGCATGATCTTGGCTCACTGCAACCTCTGCCTCCTGGGTTCAAGTGATTCTCCTGTCTCAGCCTCCCAAGTAGCTGGGATTACAGGTGTCCACCACCACGCCCGGCTACTTTTGGTATTTTTAGTAGAGATGAGGTTTCACTATGTTGGCCAGGCTGGTCTCAAACTCCTGACCTCAGGTGATCCACCCACCTTGGCCTCCCAAAGTGCTGGAATTATAGGCGTGAGCCACTGCACCCAGCCTATCCTATTAAATGAGCTACTGTTCCCACCATTATCAAACATGCATAATTCACTGAGTCCCTCCCTATATTAGCAAAATTATTACTGAAGATAAAATAACTTCATTAGTGCTAAAGTTATATTGTGCCTGAGGGTTTCCATTCTAAGAACTGTTCATCTTCGTTTGTAAACCGTTATGCCAAAATTTAAATCCCCAATGAGTCTACCACTCACTGAGTTTAAAGATGAACTGTATTTGGAGCTCAGAAATAAATCAGAAAAATAAATAAATAAATAAACAAACCTTGAACAGTTGGTGGGGCCAGAAGTATGTCATTAATCTGCAGAAGAAACAACAGTAAGACTTCCCAGGTTTCTCGGGCCATGAGAGATGACTCACGGGCCAGTTTCTGAATGGCTCTCAGGACCTGTAAGCATAGTCGAATCTGACTGGAACCCTGTTCCTGTCTGAAGAAGATAGACAGATATCACTGGCAAGCCTGAAGAAGAGACAGCAACAGCTTCAGGACAGGTGACTTATGGATGTGGCAAGCAGTGGTCCAGTGAAGCTCCCTAATATTATCAGCAGAGAGGGCTAGGCATACCATCTTCAGTTTAAAGCTACTTCTTACTCATCGTAAAGTTCAGCTCTCTGGGTTCTAAACCTACCACTCCTATGAGAACTGGAAAGCTTCTGGGAGGAAGGCGGGAATACTAGAATATAAACTTCACTTCTGGATTTTCTATGTCTAACACATGCCTAACACATAATAGCAGGCACTCAATAGGTTTTTGTTGAATTAACAAGTAAATACCCACAGCCACCCTTGCTGCTTACATTTAAGCAGAACGACCTTGGTATTCTTGTTTAATTTTTAAAAACACATATTTGCAAGAATTCTACATGTGATTTTACAGTGCTCATAGTCCCTCTGAAGCTAAGGTCTATTAGAGAAGGGCCTAAGGGCCAGAAGGAATAGCCTAATAGGTCCCCAAAATTGATGAGGTATGTAGGCATTGCTTCAGAAATAAATACGTGCTACTGCTGCTCTAATTTTAGAAAAAGACACGTAGCCAGAGATGGAGGCTCCAAGGTTCCCAGGATACCCTGGAACAACAGTTTTAAAACTCACTGCAGGACTGTTTTTTCCAAGGGAAATCTCATAAAGAAGAATTATCTATATAACAGATCAAAGTATTTTGGCTAGGACTGAGGATGAAGATAGAGGTCCAGGCCCGAGCCCTTACCCTCACTTTCCAAAGTAGAACAGTGAGAATTTTGAGAATAGCAGGAAATCCACTGTATTAGCAAGTGGTAAGCTGGCCTCCAGATCTCTTATGGGAAACCCAAAAAAAGCATCTAATATTACTGAAATAAGTCTTGAGGCCAAGTTTCTACATATTGTCATTTGTCACAAAGAACTGATAGAAACATATCTGAATCAGATTGGGGAGTTTCCTCAAGAAATTCCAGAAAATGAAGTGAGTTCCCTTAGAACTGTCAACCCAACCTTAGAATAGAGATTCTCAGATTCTGGGCTATGATGTGGAAAACCGGTCACTTACCCTAGAGTTGAAAGCAAATGACACCACTAAGTTTTCCCTAAAGAAGTCACACCTAAAGCAAAATGATGAGAAAATTGCCTAGGAAGAGCCAAGCACCCTCAGGAGTGGGGAGATGTTCCACATTCAGCTAAAGGTGGATCTAGTCCAGGTAAAGCCCTAAGGTTCAAGCTTGTGTCTACTGCTCTGGCTTACTTGAAGAAGAATAAAAAACTACGGCCAGGCGTGGTGGCTCAAGCCTGTAATCCCAGCACTTTGGGAGGCCGAGACGGGCACATCACGAGGTCAGGAGATCGAGACTATCCTAGCTAACATGGTGAAACCCCATCTCTACTAAAAAATACAAAAAACTAGCTGGGCAAGGTGGCAGGCGCCTGTAGTCCCAGCTACTGGGGAGGCTGAGGCAGGAGAATGGCGTAAACCTGGGAGGCGGAGCTTGCAGTGAGCTGAGATCTGGCCACTGAACTCCAGCCTGGGCAACAGAGCGAGACTCCATCTCAAAAAAAAAAAAAAAAAAACCTATATCATAGCCCCAAACCTAATCAAGTAATGTAAGAGGAAGTCCAGAATAAGAAATAAAAATACCACTAATGGCCCTGAAACTGACACTCTTCCAAGAGTGCATGCCTCCTACATGGTAATTTAGGCCTACCTACCATTTCCAGGCCTACCTACCATTTCCTGTCCAATGACAGGAAAGGAAATACCTGTTCCTCAGGTACTGAGGCTCCTCCTCACTCAGAAGGCCTAAATTCAGATGCAGGGTCCAAAGTTCTAAAGCTAACAAGGTAACCTTTACATAAAAACAAACAGAAGAGCTAAACACCAGAGATCTCCTTTTCAAAAATATCAAGTTACTTTTTAAAAAGTAACTTGTGATCTTCAGAAAAACTGCTTTAGAACAGTGGTGGTGAATGACGGCCAATGGGTCAAATCTGGCCTGCTATCTTTTATTGTAAATAGAGTTTACAAATCTGGCCTACTATCTATATTCTAAGTGAAGCTGTATTGGAACACAGTAATGATTACTCATTCACATACTGCCTATGGCTGCTTTCATGCCATACCAGCAGAACTGAGTAATTAAAACACCACATGACCCACAAAACCTAAAATGCTATCTGGCTCTTTGTTAACCCTGCTTTAGAACAATAATATGTTTTTTTAAAGTACAGTATAGTATATGTGAGCAATTAAAACCTTAATCACCTTTAAAAGGTGATTTACTCTTCGCTCAATCATTAAAAAAAAAAAAACTGATGGGCAAAAGAGAACGGTTACATTCATTCTGACATAATCTCTAGCAAAATGGTAAAGGCAGTTCCCTCTATTTTGAGTGTCAGTTTTTATAAAAACAACCAATTAAGTAAACTTAGATGACAGTTTTGTGAGCTATCAGAATCAAATAAACAACTAAAACTTCAAATAATGGGAGATGAGATCATAACACCAATACTTAGCATTGAAAATATTCAGCTAAGTTTCCTAAAACACTAGCCAGGAAGAGAACTCTAATTCTCAGTTGAGTAGCCTCTCAGAATTTACTAACACTTATGCATGCACACTTTTGAGAAAACAAGATAATTACCAAATAGCAAAACCATTTATAAGGTAGTCATGTATCTCAAAAGAGAAAAAGCAAAGGCACAAGCCTAATTAACTCAAATGCCATTAATTTTTTTTCATCAATACAAATTAGCTGAGCACTGAGAGGTAGCAGGCTTACAAAGAGGAAAGAGACACAGTGACAATACTACTCATGAGACTATCGCAGGCATGAAGAAAAAGCCCAGTAGTCTCCTAAAAAGATAACAAGAAAGTATTAAAACTATTATATCATTTTAGAAGAACCTGCTTATAAACAATATTCTAAGTACTCCCAACTGTTTCCTGTTTTTTTTTGTTGTTGTTGTTTGTTTGTTTTGTTTGTTTTGTTTGAGACAGAGTCTCGCTCTGTTGCCCAGGCTGGAGTGCAGTGGTGCGATCTTGGCTCACTGCAACCTCCGCCTCCCAGATTCAAGCGGTTCTCCTGCCTCAGCCTCCCATGTAGCTGGGATTATAGGCACATGCCACCACGCCCGACTACGTTTTGTATTTTTAGTAGAGACAAGGTTTTGCCATGTTGGCCAGGCTGGTCTCGAACTCCTGACCTCAGGTGATCCACCTGCCTCAGCCTCCAAACGTGCTGGGATTACAGGCATGAGCCACTGTGCCCAGCCTATTTCCTGTTTTTAATTCCATTTGAAATCAATAAATACAAGCAACACGCATTTAATTCACACCTAAGGTAAGTATTAAGTACTAAAATACCAGTACTGCACCAGATACTGTGGAAGCCTAAAATAGAGACAACACAGTTCCTGCCTTCAAGTTGGTTAGATGGGGAAAGGAGACACACATTTTAAAAGATAAGCAACAAAACAGCAAGAGATACAAGAGTGATACAGAAAGTATCACATAGGTTCAGAGAAGGTGTGAGTGCTGTGGGCCTGAGTGGTTAGGTAGGACTTCTCCTCACAAGGCGGAACTAAAGAACCAACAAGAATGAGATGTGGTGATGGAGAGAAGGAGGAGGAAGAAGACAAAAAGACATCATGACGGGAAAGATCTTTAAGAGGTCTTAGAGGAATGTCTGACTTATGAGTCTGACTAAACAGCAGCATTCATGCAGAATTAAGAACAGCTCGTTTGGTTAGGGGCCAGACTACACCAGGCATTTCATGCATGGTATGCTGTTTACACCTGAGCCAACAGACCAGAGTTCCGGAGAGTTCTCTTTTTTAATTCAGATTTTCCAAAGTAATCTTCCTTCTATATTTAGAAAGTTAAAAACTTACAGAGCTGGTTTTCAAAGTCCCTCACTGTTTGACAGAGCAAAAGCTCTAACCAGAACTTTACCAAAGGGAGATTGCCCTACTGCTCCTTGAAGGTATCCTACATTATGATATTTAAGGCCTTTGCCTAAGAAGATGGAAAAAAAGTTAGAAACAAACTATCAAGAGTAATCTTTTGGCTTACTATAAAGTTGCCCATAATTGTTTCAAGTGTCTTCATTCTCTCATAGGAAAGATGCCTCTTAAGGTAGATACATCTCCCTTAGTTGTGTTTAGCCTAAATGGAAACAAGAATTGTGACAGGCAAAAGTATATATTTTCTTGAGTAGAAGGGAAAGATGTTACAGTATTTTAATATCTAAGAGGTATGAGATTTTAGAAGCAAAGCCAAAAACTTGTAAAGAGCACATACCTGTTAAAAACACCTAGTAAACATTACATAAGCCCATCTTTCCTAACATTCACATTAATACAATCTTTAACTGAACTCACGAAGTCACTGTTCAGAGGACTAACAATGAAATCAGCTCCTATACTACAGTAACATTTATGAATATTTTACTATGCCCCTGATAATGGGCCAGATAGACAGGTACAGCTTACCTTGGTACAAAAAGATTTTGTAGGTGTTTTAGTATACTTTGAACATATTGATTAGGCTCTTTAATAACTGGCAATGGAATAGAATCTTTCGGCAACACTAAAGCCATAATCCAGTCTGTATATACATCAACGCAATATTTTACAGTCTCTCCATCCAATGGAAGGGTCAGTCCATAGCAAATTACTTCCATGGTCCATTTTACCTAGACAAAAGAAAATATCCATACAGAATTATTATACATGCCTATCTCAGTAGACTGATTTAAAATGTCAATCTCTTTTATTGCCAAAAGCCTCTAAATTGATATTCATCTCAATGTATCAGATTTATTTTAGATAATGCATTTTTCACACATCAAACACACAATTTCCCAAGCAAAAGATTTAAGAAGAAAATAAATTACTTATTTTTGACTATCAATCCTATGCTGGTTTTTGCCCTTTAGATATTATTATTATTTGCTCTGTGAATTAAAAAGTAAATACAGGTCACTTCAATTTTCCAGAGATTAGAGACACAAAAATAGAACATTTTAGAGTTTTTTCTCCACTTATGTGTAGCATTTAGAAATCATATAAAGTCAGTCACATTCCATCTCCAGATTATGCAAATGAACAAACAAGAAGAAAGATGAACTGTTTGACTCTTATTTTACAACTGTTTCCTCTGCCCCCCCAAAAAAAATACTTAAAATGAAGAACAAACACAGCTGAGAAAGGACTGAAGCTGGGTAAGATCTTAGCAAGGCATTTAGCCGCACTGAATGAGTCTCTGCCTCCTGACCTAGCTGAATCACATCCTAAGGACTGAGAGAACTTGCCTAAGAGACTGCTGAACCACTAGGCTGCCTGCAGTCATAACTGTAGAGATTAAATAATCTGGCCCAAGTCACTGGTTTATAAAAGGTAGAGCTGAAAACTTGAATCCTGGTCTTCCAACTAGAAGGTACCACTGGGCAACTTTTTCCAAAATGACTTTGGCACATTAGTCTACTATTATTCTGTCATGTGGTATCTGGACCAGTTACAAATCCAGCCATTCTACCATCATCTGAGCTATATGTCACCATCTATGAGAAACCCCAATTTGCAAAAAAAAAAAAAAAAAAGGAGGAAACTGTATTCCAGACATTGCAAACTGGAAAGTTTAAGTGAATTCCAGACAAAACTTTGAGACAAATTACTAAGCAATCAGTGAACACTTACAAAAGAGAAGCATGATTACCAAGACCCAGCCTGCTCAAAAAAATCAAGTCATGCCAAATGAGCTTCATTCCTTTATTAACAGGGTTACTATTTAGAGGGCTGACAATGGTGTAGTCCTTGCAGTTTACAAAGCACTTTCATAAATATCATCTAGCCATCACAATAACCCTATGTAGACAGGGTAAACTATCCTTACTTTATACATAAGAAAACAGAAGCTTAGCAAGATTATGCAATTTGGCACAAGTCACTGGTTTATAAAAGGTGGAGCTGAAAACTTGAACCCTGGTCTTCCAACTAGAAATTTGAAGCTATTCTCACCATGCCATTAACAGAGTTCTCCGGCAAATGGGTATCTGGGTGTTAGCAAGAAATCTGGGCAGACCCAGGATCTCCTTGTGGACAAGATGGAGACATATGGCCCAAAGGATGGTAGAATGGCTAGATTTACAACTGGTCAAGATACCACATTACAGAGTAACAACAGATTAATGTGCCAAGATCATTTTGGTAAAAGATGCTCAGTGGCATGCCAAAGGCTCTGCCAAGATTTTAACTTAGGGGGAAAAAAAAGAAAAACAGTGCATGCTGATCATCTGCAGATATCACAAAGCTAAAAAGGATGGCCAACTTGCTGGACAGAAATTCAGGATTCAAAAAGACTTCAACGGCTTAAAACCAAAGTTAAATCTAACAAGATAAATATATATATTACATTTTTTAAGCTCAAAAGCAACTACAAAGGTTAAGGGTAGGAAATATATGCTTTAACTGCAATAAGTGTTAAAGAAGCCTATAACAGCACAGTGAAGCTGTGACAAATTTGGAGCAGGGTGTAGCAAGATTTAGCCACATAATAGAAGAGATTCTAAAAGACATTGCAGGTCCCTGATTATCAGATGAAAAACCAAGAAGATATCTTTGGTGGCATCTTCACACAATCGTTTAATTTTATAATTCTAGGCCGGACATAGTGGCTCACACCTGTAATCCCAGCACTTTGGGAGGCCGAGGCGGGTGGATCACCTGAGGTCAGGAGTTCAACACCAGCCTGGCCAACATGTCAAAACCCTGTCTCTACCAAAAATACAAAAATTGGCCAGGTGCAGTGGCTCACACCTGTAATCTCAGCACTTTGGGAGGCCAAGGTGGGCAGATCACCTGAGGTAGGGAGTTCAAGACCAGTCTGGTCAACACAGAGAAACCCCCATCTCTACTAAAAAAAAAAATACAAAATTAGCCGGGCATGGTGGCGCATGCCTGCAATCCCAACTACTTGGGTGGCTGAGGCAGGAGAACTGCTTGAACCTGGGAGGCAGAGGTTGCGGTAAGCCAAGATCACGCCTTTGCACTCCAGCCTGGGCAACAAGAGCAAGACTCTGTCTCAAAAAATAAATAAATAGGCCGGGCTCGGTGGCTCAACGCCTGTAATCCCAGCACTTTGGGAGACTGAGGTGGGCAGATAACAAGGTCAAGAGATCAAGACCATCCTGGATAACACGGTGAAACCCTGTCTCTACTAAAAATACAAAAAATTGCCCAGGCATGGTAGCAGGGCGCCTGTAGTCCCAGCTACTTGGGAGACTGAGGCAGGAGAATGGTGTGAACCCGGGAGGCGGAGCTTGCAGTGAGCCGAGGTCATGCCACTGCACTCTCGCCTGGGCGACAGAGCAAGACTCTGTGTCAAAAAAACAAAACAAAAAAAGGTGTAATTCTGGAGGACACAGGAATTCTCATCTCTTTTCAAGGGTGAGAAAGGAGAAAAACAAGGGCTACACCAGAGCACCTCCATCTACTCATGTACCATCTCATCCCAGGAGAAGGCAACAAGGGATCACAAACACACCAGGAGGAGAAGCACTAGGGTCTGTGCTAGTCCTCAGGGATAAATCTAGGGTCCTCTGAAGAGAGAAAAATGTTTCTCAGACTGAAGACCTTTACTCCTCAGAGACCCATGGCTGAGGGAGGATAACTGCCCCTAGAGCTACAAGTTTTAGTCTTATATCTAAGTCTAATCTCTCCTTCACAGGAAACCAAAAACCAAACAGAAAAAAAGGGTCTGAGACATAGGGTACAGGTTTTGCTAAACGTGAAGCCTGAAGGTTACATGAGCTTCTTCAAGACAAGGGACAAAGTTTTAATCCTGCGTCTTAGCCAGAATTTATACTAGCAAGCTCCTCTACTACTCCATTCTCAGGGCCCCTTCACGACTTCCCAATAGCAACTTTTTAACTTCAGCCTACACCGCTGAACCCAGGAACAAAGGGCCAGCTTCAGGGCAAGCCATTCCAAGAGCCCCTATCTTTAGAAACAGTAAACACCCAGCCTGGGCAACATAGTAAGAACATCCCTATAAAAAAATTTTTTTTAATTAGCCTGGCGTGGTGGCACGTGTCTGTAATTCCTGTAATTCCAGCTACTTGGGACTCACTGGGATGGAAAAATCATTTGAGCCCAGACAGACCGAGGCTGCAGCGAGCTGTGGTCATGCCACTGCACACTAGCCTGAGTAACAAAGCAAGACTCTGTGTCAAAAAAAAAAAAACAGCAAACACAACCCCAATTCCAATCACCTAGGCTTAGGCCAGAAGGGCTTGGCTTCTCTGCAGCACTCTTAAACCTGGAAGTCAGAAAGGGGTAGGTAGGTATGGGGACAAGGGAGAGCTTAAGCACAGCATACGCATAGCCTGAAAACTCGACATGAGTCTTCAGTCAGGGGCCATCTAGAGGTAGGGATGAGGTCTTCCAACCACACTCTAAATGGAAATCAGAAGACTAAGCCTAGAGCTTTGGGGAAAGGGTTTGACATTCAAGTCCCTGTCTTGGCCTTTAGCTTAAGTGGAGAATTCACCATAACTAGTAAAAAGTCCCAACAGCAAAACAGTACAACTCATTCCTTACAACCTCCACAAACTCCGAGTCCCAGCCCTCAACTCAAACAAGATCAAAATTGAGAAGTCATACTACGTTGGGCAGAAATCCGTTAAAAAGCTGACGTTATTCTACTACAGCTCTTTTCAAAGAAAAAAGAACAAAAAAGTTAACATTAAACAAATTCTTCAAGAACAAATGTACATTTTCATATAAGAGAATGAAATTTAGAAACACTTACTTCTTTGTCAGTTTTTAACAAACTCTCACTACCAGCCACTGAAGGGGTACCTAACACCTGCCCAAGAGGACGGACTACAGCATTTGCCACCTCTCGTCCAACACTCTCTGGATAGCTGTGCAGCACACTGGTATGGCCTTGATCATTCTGAATCACCAAATGCAGTGACCTCCACTCAGAGTACATCGTGCCACTAAAGTACAATCCAAATGGCACCTGAAAAGACAAAACAGAAATGCATGTCAAATTATACTACTGGAAATTAACAGAAATAAATAGAACAGATGTATAGACTTTCGGCATGATAAAGAATGCTGCAAACATCTTGCCTCTGAAGACAGAAAAAATATATCTAAATGTTTTGAGAATATCCCAGAACCTCAGGGTAAGATTAGGTAGGAAGGCAGAACCTGCAGCTCTCTGAGCACCTCCCCAAAGGAGCCCTCAGAAGCCCTGGGGCAGAGCTGGAGAAGATGGCCATTGGGCAGGGGAATAACATGATCAGATATGGGACATTCACAGCATGAGGGAACCCTCCACATGGTTCCAGGACAGAAAAACATGGGAGAAAGGAATGTCCTAAGTAGGAAGGGGAGACAACGGAGAACTTACTAAGACCCAGGTTTTCAGTCAACAGTTTCAGAGTACCTACTATCTGCTGAATACATATCCCTACAATTTCTCAGCACTGTCCTCAAATTACACTTAAAAATTCTTTGAGACTGTTTCATTCTCTGAAACAGTGGTGCTGAAACTACCAGTACTGGAACACTGGGAAGTCACAGTGTTCTTTAGGAAACATATTAAGAGCTGCCACTTATTAAGCATTTAATACATACTACTCATATAATCACTAAAACAACCCTATGAATATTCAGTAACACTATCCCTATTTCACAGATGAAAAACTGGAGCATAGAGAGGTTTGCTTCTTACCTGAAGCTTTAAAGTTATAACATGGTAGAGCTGGGTTTTTTTGTTTTTGTTTTTTTGAGACGGAGTCTTGCTCTGTTGCCCAGGCACACTGGAATGCAGTGGCGGCCATCTCAGCTCATTGCAACCTCCACCTTCCAGGTTCAAGCAATTCTCCTGCCTCAGCCTCCCAAGTAGCTGGGATTACAGGCGCCCGCCACCACGCCCGGCTAATTTTTGTATTTTTAGTAGAGAAGGGGTTTCACCATGTTGGCCAGGCTGGTCTCGAACTCCTGGCCTAAGGTGATCCACTGGCCTTGGCCTCCCAAAGTGCTGGGAATACAGGCGTGGGCCACCGCACCCAGCCAGAGCTAGGTTTTGAACCCACATCTGTTGGGCTCCAGGGCATATGCTCTTAGCCATGATATGTGCTGTCTCTCCCTATTCTAAACACTCTCCAACGCAGGTACTTCTGCCTATTCTGTACACGCTCCATAAAACGATATCTAAGTCTACTGCACATAGGAGGGACATCAGCTGCAGAAAACATATCTGTATGAATGCAATGTAAATATTACAACCATAAATCCCATACTCATAAAGAGGATAAATATGATGATTAGCCCTCTCCAATTCATTTCTGTTAACTTCCACTTTCTACTTGTTCTGAAATCTGCCCAGCGAGCAGTTTAAGCAAACTCAAGGTTATAATTAATCTTTAAAAAGTTCTATCCCTAAAAGTTACCTTTTCCTCAAACTGGGAAGAAATTAGCATTGTTTAATTTTATCCTGAGAAACCTTATCCCAGCTCACCAAACATCAAGAGCTTATGACATTTTTCTAAGACTAACTCTATTTAAGTATGAAGAAAAAATTTTAAAGAATTTTTTAAAAAAGAAGAGCATATCACAGGGCACGCTGGCTCATGCCCGTAATCCAAGCACTTTGGGAGGCCAAGGCAGGCAGATCACAAGGTCAGGAGTTTGAGACCAGCCTGACCAATATGGTGAAACCCTGTCTCTACCAAAAATACAAAAATTAGCCAGGTGTGGTGGCGGGCGCCTGTAGTCCCCACTACTCAGGAGTCTGAGGTAGGAGAATGGCGTGAACCCGGGAGGCAGAGATTGCATTGAGCCAAGATTGCACCACTGCTCTCCAACCTGGGTGACAGAGCGAGACTCCGTCTCAAACAAACAACAACAAAAAAAGCATATGACATTTGAGAATCACAGAGCTACAGAATGAAAATCAAACTCTTTAGTATGAGAGTCAAAGTCATTCACAGTGTGGTCCCAAACTACCTTTCTTTCTCCTTTCCATACACAGGAATCCATATACTTTCCCTCTCATCCGATTCAATCTACTCAGCTTCCTCTGGAGTCTGAGGGACTCTGGGCCCGGGTACCCTTCAGTGACCCTATAAGGATCCTGTAATCTCCTCCCTCCTCTTCCTCCTCCTCTGGATCTTTCTCTGAAAACGGGAAGGCAGGAGGAATGGGCCATCATCTAATAAGGCACCCACAATTCAAAGGAAGAACAGATGCATCTGACTACTAAAATTGCCTCAGTTGCCTCATGATGTATAAGGAATTCCCCCAAGGATATCCTGGTGTCCCCCTGAAATAAGCACTCTCAACAACATAAGGGGGGAAAGGGAAAGTTCTGATAGAGAGCCATCACCATCAAAAGACAACTGATTCCCACACGTTTTTTCCTTGCTTTTTAAATTTAACATATATACACATACTTATGTGTATACTACATATATATACATATAGTATAAATATATACACACCGTATAGTCTCTTACACAAATGCGTAAGAATATTATACTACAGGGGTTTTAGTTTTAGTGTGGTTTTACACCCTTTTCATTTTTTGTTAGGTGTCATTCCCTGTCCAAACAATTTACTTTATGAACAGACAATCCTGTTAACATCTTAACATTCCCTCCTGTATTTTGTGCCACTCAAAACTTTTTTTTTTTTTTTTTTTTTGAGACAGAGTCTCACTGTCACCCAGACTAGAGTGCAGTGGCACGATCTTGGCTTACTGCAACCTCCGCCTCCCGGGTGCAAGGGAATCTCCTGCCTCTGCCTTCCAAGTAGCTGAGATTACAGGAGCATGTCACCACGCGCAGCCAATTTTTGTATTTTAGTAGAGATGGGGTTTCACCATGTTGGCCAAGCTAGTTTCAGGCTCCTGACCTCAAGTGATCCACCCATCTTGGCCTCCCAAACTGCTGGGATTTCAGGCATGGGCCACTGCACCCGGCCTCAATCATATTAAAATAACTTACATACATGCATAGCTAGAGATTGTACAGGTACCTCATGAACATCCTTCTAACTAATAACAGATTCGTTTTAATGGCTAGATAATTTTCCATGGCATTTGTGTGGCCTAATTTACTCAACCAGTCTCCTAATGATATGCATTCACTTCATTCCCCATTTTTTTGTCACCAGGAAATAATGATGCAATAAACATATTTGTTAACATACCCTTAAGAAGCAGCAGCCTTTTTACTTCTGTGGAATAAGTTCTCGAGTTAAACTGCTAGATAAAAGGGTACATGTATTTTTAATATTATTAGGTCTTACCAGATTGCTTCCCAAAAAAACCCGTAACAATTCCCGTTTACATTAGGAACAGATAAGAGCCAATCTCTCATTTCACCCCCTCCCTGCTAGAAATCAGCATTATTTATTTATTTGTCAACTTGATAGGTATAAAATAAAATTTCATTGTTCTAGCCAAAGATTTATTTTACAGCTTCCGGTCTTGAGTCTGGCTTAGAAGGTTTTACCCTCCCCTGGGAGGCCGAGACGGGCAGATCACGAGGTCAGGAGATCGAGACCATCCTGGCTAACACGGTGAAACCCCGTCTCTACTAAAAAATACAAAAAACTAGCCGGGTGAGGTGGCGGGCGCCTGTAGTCCCAGCTACTTGGGAGGCTGAGGCAGGAGAATGGCGCAAACCCGGGAGGCGGAGCTTGCAGTGAGCTGAGATCCGGCCACTGCACTCCAGCCAGCCAGGGCTACAGAGCAAGACTCCGTCTCAAAAAAAAAAAAAAAAAAAGAAGGTTTTACCCTCCCATCCCCTCTATCAATGTTTTTCAAACTGTGGGTCACGAAACTATCAATGTTTTTCAAACATGAAATAAATGTTTGATAATAAATAAATGTTTTTCAAACATGAAATAAATGTGAGTCATGAAATAAATGTTATGGATAACATTTATTTTAATTAGATGGTATACGATATATGATAAAGGCATCACACAGAATAAAGGTAAGCAATGTTTCTGTGAAACTTGATTCCTTTGTAATATATGCATATGTTCTGGATCACAGTGGAAAACGCATTTTTTGTTCTTTTTTTCTTTTTGTTTTTTGAGACGAAGTTTCGCTCTTGTTACCCAGGCTGGAGTGCAACGGTGTTATCTTGGCTCACCACAACCTTTGCCTCCCGGGTTCAAGCGATTCTCCTGCCTCAGCGTCCTGAGTAGCTGGGATTACAGGCATGCACCACCACACCCGGCTAATTTTGTATTTTTAGTAGAGGCAGGGTTTCTCTATGTTGGTCAGGCTGGTCTCGAACTCCTGACCTCAGGTGATCCGCCCGCCTCAGCCTCCCAAAGTGTTGGGATCACACGCGTAGCCACCACACCGAGCAGAAAATACATTTCTTACAGGTCTTAGTCCAAAAAATTGAAAACATAACCCTAACATGAATATGTAGTCTCCTAGATTTTCCTGCAAGATAACTGCATAATTTTTCACACTTAACTTGTATATTCATCTGGAATTTACTTCTGTAAGTGGTGTACAAAAGGTCCGATTTTACTTTCTTCTAAATGCACGGTCAGTTGTGTCAGCATCACCTCTTAAAAATACATCCTTTATGCACTAAACTGAAATACTAATTCTGTCATATATTAAATTTTCATTTATTCTAGAATCTATGAGACTTCTGTTCTATTCAACTATTTGTCTATTCCCATGCCAACCCATAATGATTTAAGTTCAGTGGTTTTATAGAATGTTTTTTCCAAAACTTTACTGTCTTTTCTAGACATTTATTCTTCAGTATACAATTTATTATTTTATCCAAATCAAAAAATCAACAATAAAGCCTTGCTAGAATTCTAATGGGAACTGCACATACCACCTTGCCAGCCTTGTCTTCTACTGCCACTTTCCCACAAACATCCCAAACAATGGCCACAAAGAACTACTGATTGCACAAGCCCAGCAAATTCTTTCTTACCCTAGGTCACTGGTTATGCTGCTCCCACTGA